GTTCAAAAAAACCACAAACTCAAGTTCAAACACGACACAACCTCAAGTTCAACAAAAACCACAAACTCAAGTTCAACCAACACATGATTCTCACGTTTAAAAATTTTCAGAACCTCAAGTTCAAAAAACACACAAATTCAAGTTAAACAAATAACAGGAATGCAAGTTCTGAAACGACACAAACTCAAGTTCTGAAACGACACAAACTCAAGTTCAACCAACACCCAAATCTCAAGTTTAACAATTGCCACAACCTCAAGTTCAACAAACACACAAACTCAAATTCAAACACACAACAAACTCAAGTTCAAACATGACACAAACTCAAGTTCAAAAACTCAAGTTCAGCCAATACCCAATTCTCAAGTTTAACAATTTCCAAAACCTCAAGTTCAAAAGCAACACAGACTCAAGTTCAAAAACACCACAAACTCAAGTTCAAACACGACACAAGCTCAAGTTCAACAAACCCCTCAAACTCAAGTTCAAACACGACACATGCTCAAGTTCAACAAATCCCATAAACTCAAGTTCAACAACTGCCACCAAGTAAAGTTCACTAAAAACCATAAACTCAAGTTCAACAATTGACAGAAAACTTAAGTTCAAAAAACACACAAAATCTAGTTCAAAAACACCACAAACTCAAGTTCAAACATGACAAAGTCAAGTTCAACCAACACTCAAATCTCAAATTAAACAATATCCAAAACCGCAAGTTCAAAAACAACAGAAACTCAAGTTCAAACACGCCACAAACTCAAGTTCAACAAATGTAAAAGTTTTAAGTTCAACCAAAACCCAAATCTCAAGTTTAACAATTTCAACAACCTCAAGTTCAAAAACAACAGAAACTCAAGTTCAAACACGAGACAAACTCAAGTTCAACAAACACACAATCCTCAAGTTCAACAATTGCCACAACCTAAAGTTCAAAAACACCCCCAACTCAAGTTCAAACAAGACACAAACTCAAGTACAACAAACGCCACAAACTCAAGTACAACAAACGCTACAAACTAAAGTTCAGTGAAAAATACAGACTCAAGTTCAACAATTGCCACAAACTCAAGTTCAACAAATGACCTAAACTCACATTTAACAATTGCCAAAAACTCAAGTTCAACAAACTCAAGTTTAAAAATTGCCACAAACTCAAGTTAAAAAATGCTGAAACTGAAGTTCAACGAACACCACAAACTCAAGATCAACAAATTTCAAAGTTTGAAGTTCAACAACACCCAAATATCAAGTTTAACAATTGCCACAACCTCAAGTTCAACAAACACACAAACTCAAGTTCAAAAACACCACAAACTCAAGTTCTTAACAACACAAACTCAAGTTCAAAAAACACACAAGTTCAAGTTCAAAAACACCCCAAACTGAAGTTCAAACATGAAACAAAGTCAAGTTCAACCAAATCCCAAATCTCAAGTTCAACAATTTCCACAACTTCAAGTTCAAAAACAACAGAAACTCAAGTTAAAACACGCCACAAACTCAAGTTCAACAAAGACACAAACTCAAGTTCAAAAACACCACAAACCCAAGTTCAACCAACACCCAAATCTCAAGTTTAACAATTGCCACAAAACTAAGTTAAAAAACCACACAAACTCAAGTTCAAAAACACCACAAACTCAAGTTCAAACATGACACAAACTCAAGTTCAACGAACACCCAAATCTCAAGTTCAACAATTGCCACAACCTCAAGTTCAAAAACAACAGAAACTCAAGTTAAAACACGCCACAAACTCAAGTTCAACAAAGACACAAACTCAAGTTCAAAAACACCACAAACCCAAGTTCAACCAACACCCAAATCTCAAGTTTAACAATTGCCACAAAACTAAGTTAAAAAAACCACACATACTCAAGTTCAAAAACACCACAAACTCAAGTTCAAACATGACACAAACTCAAGTTCAACCAACACCCAAATCTCAAGTTTAACAATTGCCACAACCTCAAGTTCAAAAACAACAGAAACTCAAGTTCAAACACGAGACAAACTGAAGTTCAACAAACACACAAACTCAAGTTCAATCAATACCAATTCTCAAGTTTAACAATTTCCACAACCTCAAGTTCAACAAACTCAAGTTCAAAAATTGCAAAAAAATCAAGTTCAAATATGACACAAACTCAAGTTCAACCAACACCCAAATCTCAAGTTTAACATTTGCCAAAACCTCAAGTTCAAAAACAACACAAACTCAAGTTCAAACACGCCACAAACTCAAGTTCAACAAACACACAAACTCAAGTTCAAAAACACCACAAATTCAAGTTCAAACATGTCACAAACTCAAGTTCAACAAACACAGAAACTCAAGTCAACCAATACCCAAATATGAAGCTTAGCGTTAAGGGGTGTTCAGACCAAACGCGACTTCGGTGACGTCGGCGATGGCTCCCAATGCAAGTCTATGGACAGCCGCGACCTGACGCGACTTGGCGACCGCTGGCTACCTGCGTCGCGTTGCCGAGGTTGCGTTGCCGAGGTCGCAGGACGCCAAGTCTCGTCGCTCCCAAAGTTCAAATATTTGAACTGGGCTACGGGATGTATATATGAGGGAATAAAGGAGGGAGATGGAAGGTAGGAGAAGCGGGTCAGCAGCGACCAGCCGTGTCCTGCGACCGCAGCTTTGGACCTAGTGTGAACACACCAGAGCACCACGCGACGCGACGCGACCTGGTCGCGGCTGCAATTACACCTAATCCGCGGAGCCAAATCCTTGCAGGTACTGACATTAGTCTTGCTGTGCTCAGACTACAATGATAGACGCATTGTGGATTGCGGAGATGAGCCTGTGATGCTTAAATATCGTGATGCCCGGCTGTTTAAATCTCCGACCTTGGCTGAATTCATAGCTTTCGGCGTATTTGTAGATGTCATATGTAAAGTGTTTTCAGCACGCAGAACTGAACTGGACACATATCTCGCCATTATTTCTGATTCAGCCATGACATAGGGAGGATCATTATTCTAGGAACATTACAAATCATTTTCAGCAAAGCTGCTAAGTACATTCAAAGATTCAGCCAAAGACTTGATCAGTCCGTAGTCGACCTGGCTCTAATCAGTTAACAATTCACCGAGCATCAAGCTTTTTCCTGCTTAATCTGCGGGTCTTTCTCTCACCTGGAGGTGAAAGTAAGCCATTACGCAGCAGTACGCCATTTCGGGAAGACATAATCAGCTGTTTAAAGTTTTCACCCCTGTCATGTATCTAGGCTTAGTCTGTTGCTGCACATCAGTCTGCACTCTGCGTTATAACCGAAGTAATCCAATAGGACCATGCCGCTTGAGAGTGAGTGGTATTTGCTTACAAATAAACTCCAAGTGGGAGCACCAGTGCGCACTTTTGATTGGACGCTGGTTGCCTAGGTGCAGGGGCCCACCTTCCGCCTTTTGCGGAAGGAGGGAACTTTTAAAGAGTCAGCTGCTTCAATCTTAATGCAGAAATAAGACAAAATGCAGAGGTAATAATAATAATAATAATAATAATAATAATAATAATAATAATAATAATAATAATTTTATGTTTAAGAGAGAGATACAGCAGATGATGATACTGTGGCATCGGAGTCAGCAACTCGCTTAACTTGGGTGTGCTCCTCTTGTACAAAGTCTACGGGTACAGTACCTGGAGGAACCTTATCCTACCTTGTCCACCCCTGCCCACACCTCTAATCGGTGCCCTAAAACTGTGGCTACAGGCCAACCACCCAAGCCTCTCTAAGCCTACTACTCGGAGAAGCCAAGTTACTCCAGGGACGGGCATCTGAAATCAGCATGCCCATGACGCACCCACCTGGTAAAACGGGAAAGAACAAAGCTGTCTACTCTGTCAAATGTCCTTGAGCCAGGGAAGGCACTGGCAAAGCATCCCAACGGCTGTTCGTGAAGCCATTCATTCAGACTGTGTTAGTCTGAGTGCAGCCTTGCAATCCTTAGTGCTCTCTGTTGACAGCTACTTGAGAGCTGGTTAAGCAAAATCAGCATTAAAGTTTATACGATTCTGCATGGTCTCACTTTACCTCTTTTGTACCACCTTCTCTGTAGCCCCAACGCCCTAAATATATCCATTGTATGTGCTTTAATAGTCCACAGTTTTGAATCTCGCACTTTTTTTCTTCTTCTAATATTTCCAAAACTAACTCTGTCTTTGTTCTTTATCCTCCATGTCCCGCTGCCTGAGAGGCCGGCCACTGGCCAGCCACTAAGAGTCTCTCTTTGCCACTGAAGAAGGGAAACCTATATCCAGATTGCAGCTTTCTGCTCACCTCTGCCTGCTCTGCCAATCCTGTTGGCTCCTACCTGAGTACAACTCTACGCATTCACCACGCATAGGCACAGCTACAACTGCATCTTCCATCGTCCCCGTCTCGACGCTCAAGGCTACGGGTCAATGGTCCCGATCAGCCTTTGAATGATACCTCAGGCCCAAGGCTAATATATTATTATTATTATTAGAATATTCCTATGCTCGATTAGCTACAAAAAAAAAAATGCTGCTGCTCCTTAATTCTTTCCCATATCTATTGCATTACGCATATTCCCAACTATAAATTTGTGTATGGATTAAATTAATCCTGATCCATGATCATGTTGTGAGGGTAACCAATACTATGCAAGCTTTGTAGGTGGGTAGGTTGCTTCATAGTTTCTCGCTGCTGGCTGCCCTCCCTCCCCCGTAGGTGCCTTCATGTAGCTCATGAAAGCTGGGGAGGGTTGCCAGTATGGCTGCTGCTTTTTCTGCCTTGGCTTTTCATATATGCACATGAAAGGGAGGGGAGGGCATTCCCTCTCATTGCCTTGGGATTCTATGCAAGCACATGAGAGAGCAGGGAACTCTCAGAACACAGCCATACCGACAATGTTAAAAATTTTTTTTGCTAGTAATAAATAATTGATTCTAACTAAAGTAGTCCTGACTGAAATTAAGCATGGCTGTAGTTCAGGCAGGACACAAGGTACAGTCAAGCTAAAGGTTAAAGCCAGCTGATCTTAAGCTAGCCCTCAGTCAGATGACAGCTTAGCTGATCGCCCTCCACACATCCTTCAGATCGCTACACGGCTCATTCCTTTCACATAGGTGCAGCTACAACCGCAGCTATGACGGCTCCTGTGTCGACCCTCAAAGCCATGGGCCAATAGTCGTCAGCTGCGTACAAATGCTATCTGCGCCCCGAGGCTCGGGACATTCTCGAAGCCCAAAAACTATGAGTACCCATAACTTTGGCACATAGATGCTAATTAAATGAAATATATAAACAACCTGCAGATAAATATCCATGCTTGGGCAACGGGTCTCTCTAACCCGTCTTTCTTTCAGCAGCGCTCACCTCCCCTGCTAGCTCCTAGACTGCACGGCATGGTTGTTTTGGGGGGTTCTGTTCATTGCTGCTCTACCCCTGCCTCCTCCGCCTTCATGATGGCACGTGGAGGGCGGGAAGGTGCTCTTCCTGCCGCTGGCCTTTCACCCCTGCCAACGTGGAGAACGGGGGCCCTGAACAGAACCTCGCGTGCGCTCCCTGCTATCGCCTTTCATGATGGCTCGTGAAAGGCAGGAAGGGGCTCTTCCTGCCTCGGGCTTCCACACAAGCGCGTGGAAGGGCAGGGACCCGGAACAGAATCATGCCGCCAAATCTAACTTGCACAATAAAGCTAAAAATTTGGACAAAGTGTACCTGACTGAAATGAAGCATAGCGTTAGTTCTGTCAGGACACAACGTCAAGCGCTGATCCACAGCCAATGGCTAGTAGCCACCTCAACCAGATGATAATCAGCTGATTCACACCTAGATCCTATTGGTTCTTTGCCTATAGAGTGCCTTATTTAAAACTGCACTAACCCAGCCTCTTCCTCTGCTCTGACAGCAAACCAGCAACACACTGCCACACCAGCTCCACCCTCGTGCCAGCTAATTGCTCCACTGTCCTTGAAGCGCTCCTGTTCCAGGGGGGTTTGTTCATTGCTGCTCTACCCCCGCCACCTCCGCCTTCATGATGGCTCGAGGAGGGCGAGTTTAACAATTTCCACAACCTCAAGTTCAAAAAGAACACAAACTCAAGTTCAAACACGCCACGAACTCAAGTTCAACAAACAAACAAACTCAAACTCAAGTTCAAAAACACCACAAACTCAAGTTCAACCAACACCCAAATCTAAAGTTTAACAATTGCCGAAGCCTCAAGTAAGAAAAACAACAAAAATTCAGGTTAAAACATGCCACAAACTCAAGCTCAACACCGCCACAAACTCAAGTTAAAAAACACCACAAACCCAAGTTCAAACACGCCACGAACTCAAGTTCAACCAAATCCCAAATCTCAAGTTTGACAATTGCCACAACCTCAAGTTCAAAAACAACAGAAACTCAAGTCAAAACACGCCACAAACTCAAGTTAAACAAACACACAAACTCAAGTTCAAAAACACCACAAACTCAAGTTCAACCAACACCCAAATCTCAAGTTTAACAATTGCCACATACTTAAATTCAAAAAACACACAAAAATTCAAACTAAAGTTCAGGGAAAAATACAGACTCAAGTTCAACAATTGCCACAAACTCAAGTTCAACAAACACCACAATCTTAAGTTCAAAAAATGCCAAAATTTCAAATTCAACAAATGACCTAAACTCACATTTAACAATTGCCAAAAACTCAAGTTCAACAAACTCAAGTTCAAAAATTGCAACAACCTTAAGTTCAAAAAACACACAAATTCAAGTTCAAAAACACCACAAACTCAAGTTAAAAAAAACACAAAAATTCAAGTTCAAAAACACCACAAACTCAAGTTAAATGAACACCACAAAGTCAAGTTCAACAAATGTCAAAGTTTTAAGTTCAACCAACACCCAAATCTAAAGATTAACAATTGCCAAAACCTCAAGTTAAAAAACAACACAAACTCAAGTTCAAACACGCGACAAACTCAAGTTTAACAATTGCCACCAAATAAAGTTCACTAAAAACCAAAGACTCAAGTTCAAAACTCAAGTTCAAAAATTGCAACAAACTCAAGTTCAAACACAACACTCAAGTTCAAACACGACACAAACTCAAGTTCAAACACGACACAAACTCAAGTTCAAACACGACACAAACTCAAGTTCAACAAACACACGAACTCAAGTTCAACAATTGCCACCAACTAATGTTCAGAGAAAAATACAGACTCAATGTTAACAATTGCCACAAACTCAAGTTCAACAAACACCACAAGCTTAAGTTCAAAAAATGCCAAAATTTAAAATTCAACAAATAACCTATATTAACATTAAAGAATTGCCAAAAACTTTAGTTCAACAAACTCAGGTTCAAAAAACACACAAATTCAAGTTCAAAAACACCACAAACTCAAGTTCAAAAATGCCGAAACTTAATTTCAACCAACACCCAAATCTCAAGTTTAACAAATTGCCACAACCTCATGTTCAAAAACAACAGAAACTCAAATTCAAAAACACCAAAAACTCAAGTTAAAAAAAACCCACACAAATTCAAGATCACAAAACAGCAAAATCTCAAGTTCAAACACGACACAAACTCAGGTTCAACAAACACACAAACTCAAGTTTAACCAATACCCAATTCTCACGTTTAACAATTTCCACAACCTCAAGTTCAAACACGACACAAACTCAAGTTCAAACACGACACAAACTCAAGTTCAAACACGACACAAACTCAAGTTCAAACACGACACAAACTCAAGTTCAAACAACACCCAAATATCAAGTTTAACATCTGCCAAAACCTCAAGTTCAAAAACACCACAAACTGAAGTTCCAAACGACAAAAACTTAAGTTCAACAAACGCCAAAAACTCAGGTTCAAAAACACCACAAACTCAAGTTCTAAATGACAAAAACTCAAGTTCAACAAACACACGAACTCAAGTTCAACCAATGCCCACTTCGCAAGTTTAACAATTTCCACAACCTCAAGTTTAAAAAAAAACAAAAACTCAAGTTCAGACACACCACAAACTCAAGTTAGAAAAACACACAGACTCAAGTTAAAAAATAACCAGAAAATCTAGTTCAAACACTTCACAAACTCAAGTTCAAAAACACCACAAACTCAAGTTCAACCAACACCTAAGTCACAAGTTTAACAATTGCCACAAACTTCAGTTCAAAAAACACAAAAGCTCAAGATCAAAAACACCACAAACTCAAGTTCAAACACGATTCACAAACTCAAGTTCAACCAAATCCCAAATCTCAAGTTTAACAATTTCCACAACCTCAAGTTCAAAACCAACAGAAACTCAAGTTCAAACACGCCACAAACTCAAGTACAGAAAAACACCACAAACTCAAGTTCAACAATTGCCACCAAGTAAAGTTCAGAGAAAAATACAGACTCAAGGTTAACAATTGCCACATACTCAAGTTCATCAAACACCACAAGCTTAAGTTCAAAAAATGACAAAATTTCAAATTCAACAAATGACCTATATTCACATTAAACAATTGCCAAAAACTCAAGTTCAACGAACTCAAGTTAAAAAAGTGCCACAAAATGAAGTTCAAAAACACCACAAACTCAAATTCAAAAAACACACAAACTCAAGTTCAAAAACACCACAAACTCAATTTCAAACACGATACAAACTCAAGTTCAACAAACACCACAAACTCAAGTTCAACAAATGTCACAGTTTCAAGTTCAACCAACACCCGATTCTCAGGTTTAACAATTTCCACAACCTCAAGTTCAAAAAACACCACAAACTCAAGTTCAAACACGCCACAAACTCAAGTTCAACAAACGCCACAAACTCAACTCAAAACACCACACAAACTGAAGTTCTAAAACGACACAAACTCAAGTTCAACAAACACAACAAGTCAAGTTCAAGCATCACCCGATTCTCAAGTTTAACAATTTCCACAACCTCAATTCAAAAAACACACAAACTCAAGTTCAAAAACACCAGAACCTCAAGTTCAAAAAACATAATAAACTCAAGTTCAAATATTCCACAAACTCAAGTTCAATGAACACCACAAACTCAAGTTCAACCAACACCCGATTCTCAAGTTTAACAATTGCAACAACCTCAAGTTGAAAAAAACACAAACTCAAGTTCAAACACTTCACAAACTCAAGTTCAACAAACGCCACAAACTCAAGTTCAACAATTGCCACCAACTAAAGTTCACTAAAAACCAAAGACTCAAGTTCAACAATTCCCAAAAAATCAAGCGAAACAAACTCAAGTTCATAAGTTGTCACAAACTTCAAACACGACACAAACTCAAGTTCAAAAACACCACAAACTCAAGTTCAAAAAGACACAAACTCAAGTTCAACAAACAAAACTAACTATTTAGAGTAATTTTGAGGTGTTTGAGAGGTTTTTTGTAGACTTACCCTAGTGGTCCTATGTTGTTGTTGATGTGAGGCGTTTCTTTTCCAGTAGTCTAAAATCTGTTGGAGGGGGAAAAGGTTCCAGCTGTCCAGCCGCGGCGGCAGCGGTGTGTCTGAAGTCCGGGGTCCTCGGCGGGGGAAAGAAGATAGGCGCTCCGCGGCAAGGTTTGCTGGGACTCGGTGCCGTCGGCGGGTCGAAGCTCGGTGGTGGGCGGCTTGGAGTGATGGAGGTGCGGCGTCTTCTTTCAGGTGGCGGGCGGCGTCTTCCTCGAGGCGGTGGTCGGTCTTCTTGGTCCAGTGGTCAGTGCTTTGTCTCAATTACAGGAACAGGAATTGCTCTTTAGTGCACAGCACTTAAATGTGCTTTTGACAGGAGAAGACATCCCCAGAGTTGGGCTCGAGTCATGGTTCGTGCTGTTCCTCTCAGACATGGTTGTGTTCTCTTCTCGATGTTTGTATTCCAGAATGGATGTCTCTTGGTTGTATTTTAAACTTTCAAGTTGTTTTAAGTTAATTTTAATGTAGTTTATTTATTTTAAATTTAGTTTTGCTACATTAAATTTGTATGCAATCGTAAGGGATTGTGGGTATTTTAGTTCTGAGGGATGAGAGCCTAAGGAATCAATCTTCCTGTTACAGCAAAGGATTGTGGGTAAAACCGTGAGTGAGTGAGGTACTTCCTTTCTGCCATGAGAGCCTTGGGAATCAATCTCCCTGTTGCAGCAAAGGATTGTGGGTAAAACCGTGAGTGAGGGAGGTACATTTTTCCTGGCATGAGAACCTCAGGAGTCAGTCCTTCCTAAGAAAAAAGAGGGGAGGGGAAGACAAACAAAAGCACAGGAACCCTAAAATGAAATAAAATAAAATAAAATGAAATAATATAAAACAATGAAAAAATAAAAAATAAAAGAAGAACAAAAGTGGATTGCAAAAGGGAAAGGAGAAGAAAAAAGGAAAAAAAGAAGTGTCAAGAGCAAATAGCAAAAAACGGAAGTGAGCTTAAAAACAGAGAACAGTTCCCTAAAAGACAGACAGAAATGTAAATTTGATCAATGTCCTAAGGGAAAATCTGCACGTGTATGTGTGTTCTTTTTTACTAGCTTAGTCTGGTGTCACTGATGGTCAGTTATCAATAAGTATTTATTATTTAAATTTTTGATGAAGTTGTTTGTAGTGGGGTTAGCTGGCTAATTTTAGAGTGTTAAAAAAGATGTTAGAGGGGGAGGATTTAGGTGGCACGGCGGTTCCCCTTCAGGTCTCTCTTAATCTTCAATATAGGTGACCCAACAGGGGTTACCCCCCGGCCGGGGTAGGCCGAGGCTGAAGATCACCTATTTGTCATCTGTGAAGGTGAAAATAAAGGGGCAGGGGAGGGAATAAGAAAGAGGGGGGGTGTTAGAGAAAAGTATTTATCTTTTCGTCATTGCTGTTACGGTTTAGATGTTTTTTGTTTAGTTTTCTGAGGAATGTAGTGTTAGTATAGGTTCCAAGGTGGAGGATTCTTTGGAATTCACTCTCACCCTTGAAACTGGAAGATCTTAGACTCTATAAAGGGGGGGGGGGGAGGTTGTGTGCACAGAAGGAGCATGGGCTCAGACTATTCTCGGAATGATATTGTGACAAGTCTGTCCGAAGGTAAGTGGCTGGTTAGGTGTGGGAAAGAGATAGAGTGATAGCCCCCGCTTTCGTCAGTTGACTTGGCGGTTTGAGGTAGGCTGATCAAGGACTTGCACTGGCCGGCGCATGTCGACCTGTCACATGTTCCAGTCGAGTCTCCGAGCTCAATCTGTGTGTAAAAATTATGTGTTGGTAGAAAGTTTAATGACTCAGCTCAGTTGGTATGCTATGCTGTCTATCTTTTAGACTATGTGTTTGTTGAGCAATTTTATGTATATATTATGTTACAGGGCTAGGAAAAGGTTAAAGGTTTTTGACGTTAGGGTTAAAATCACTGTCCAAAACCTTTGTAGGAACACTTTTCCAACCTTTTGGAGGGAGCTAGACTAGAAAAAAAAGAAAAAAAAAAATTGGGGTGTTCGGGCTTCCTGAAGGTAATACCCGGTATTAGGTTTTGGGGCTAGGGTAACTTTTAAGGTTTTTGGCGATATGGTTAAAATCACTGTCCAAAACCTTTGTAGGAAGTCTTTTCCAACCTTTTGGAGTTAGTTAGACAAAAAAAAAAAGATAAATGAAAAAAAAATATTTGGGGTGTTCGGGCTTCCTGAAGGTAATACCCGGGTATTAGGTTATGGGGCTAGGGTAAGGTTTAAGGCTTTTGGCGTATGGGTTGAAATCACTGTCCAAAACCTTTTTAGGAACATGTTTCAGACCTTTTGGAGTTAGTTAGTCCAAAAAAAAAGATAAATGAAAAAAATATATTTGGGGTGTTCGGGCTTCCTGAAGGTAATACCCGGGTATTAGGTTAGGGGCTAAGGTAAGGTTTAAGGTTTTTGGCGTGAGGGTTAAAATCACTGTCCAAAACCTTTGTAGGAACTCTTTACCATCCTTTTGGAGTTAGTTAGACCAAAAAAAAAACGAAAAATGAAAAAAAAATATTTGGGGTTTTCAGGCTTCCTGAAGGTAATAACCGGGTATTAGGTTATGGGGCTAGGGTAAGGTTTAAGGTTTTTGGCGCGAGGGTTAAAATCACTGTCCAAAACCTTTGTAGGAACTCTTTTCCAACCTTTTGGAGTTAGTTAGACCACAAAAAATAAAAAAAAATATTTGGGGTGTTCGGGCTTCCTGAAGGTAATACCCGGGTATTAGGTTTTGGGGCTAGGGTAACTTGTAAGGTTTTTGGCGATAGGGTTAAAATCACTGTCCAAAACCTTTGTAGGAAGTCTTTTCCAACCTTTTGGAGTTAGTTAGACAAAAAAAAAAAGATGAATGAAAAAAAAATATTTGGGGTGTTCGGGCTTCCTGAAGGTAATACCCGGGTATTAGGTTATGGGGCTAGGGTAAGGTTTAAGGTTTTTGGCGTAAGGGTTAAAATCACTGTCCAAAACCTTTTTAGGAACATGTTTCAGACCTTTTGGAGATGGTTACACCAAAAAAAATGTAAAATGAAAAAAAAAATATTTGGGGTGTTTGGGCTTCCTGAAGGTAATACCCGGGTATTAGGTTATGGGGCTAGGGTAAGGTTTAAGGTTTTTGGCGTGAGGGTTAAAATCACTGTCCAAAACCTTTGTAGGAAGTCTTTTCCAACCTTTTGGAGTTAGTTAGACCAATAAAAAAATGAAAAATGAAAAAAAAATATTTGGGGTGTTCGGGCTTCCTGAAGGTAATACCCGGGTATTAGGTTTTGGGGCTAGGGTAAGGTTTAAGGTTTTTGGCGTTAGGGTTAAAATCACTGTCCAATATTTTTTAAGGAACATGTTTCAGACCTTTTGGAGTTAGTTAGACCAAAAAAAAAAGAAAAATGAAAAAAAAATATTTGGGGTGTTCGGGCTTCCTGAAGGTATTAGGTTTTGGGGCTAGGGTAAGGTTTAAGGTTTTTGGCGTTAGGGTTAAACTCACTGTCCAAAACCTTTTAAGGAACAAGATTCAGACCTTTTGGAGTTGGTTACACCAAAAAAAAATGTAAAATGAAAAAAAAAATATTTGGGGTGTTCGGGCTTCCTGAAGGTAATACCCGGGTATTAGGTTATGGGGCTAGGGTAAGGTTTAAGGTTTTTGGCGTTAGGGTTAAAATCACTGTCCAAAACCTTTTAAGGAACATGTTTCAGACCTTTGGGAGTTAGTTAGACAAAAAAAAAAAAGAAAAAGAAAAAAAATATTTGGGGTGTTCGGGCTTCCTGAAGGTAATACCCGGGTATTAGGTTATGGGGCTAGGGTAAGGTTTAAGGTTTTTGGCGTTAGGGTTAAAATCACTGTCCAAAACCTTTGTAGGAAGTCTTTTCCAACCTTTTGGAGTTAGTTAGACAAAAAAAAAAAAGATAAATGAAAAAAAAAATATTTGGGGTGTTCGGGCTTCCTGAAGGTAATACCCGGGTATTAGGTTATGGGGCTAGGGTAAGGTTTAAGGTTTTTGGCGTTAGGGTTAAAATCACTGTCCAAAACCTTTTTAGGAACATGTTTAAGACCTTTTGGAGTTGGTTACACCAAAAAAAATGTAAAATGAAAAAAAAAATATTTGGGGTGTTCGGGCTTCCTGAAGGTAATACCCGGGTATTAGGTTATGGGGCTAGGGTAAGGTTTAAGGTTTTTGGCGTTAGGGTTAAAATCACTGTCCAAAACCTTTTTAGGAACATGTTTCAGACCTTTTGGAGTTAGTTAGACCAAAAAAAAAGAAAAAAGAAAAAAATATATTTGGGGTGTTCGGGCTTCCTGAAGGTAATACCCGGGTATTAGGTTATGGGGCTAGGGTAAGGTTTAAGGTTTTTGGCGTTAGGGTTAAAATCACTGTCCAAAACCTTTTTAGGAACATGTTTCAGACCTTTTGGAGTTGGTTACACCAAAAAAAAATGTAAAATGAAAAAAAAATATTTGGGGTGTTCAAGCTTCCTGAAGGTAATACCCGGGAATTAGGTTATGGGGCTATAGTAAGGTTTAAGGTTTTTGGCGTTAGGGTTAAAATCACTGTCCAAAACCTTTTTAGGAACTATTTTCCAACCTTTTGGAGTTAGTTAGACCAAATGTTTCGGGCCGCCGCCTTAGTGTGGCGAGTCTTGGGTCTTCCTCACTGTGTGTGTGTGTGTGTGTGTGTGCGTGTGTGAGAGTGCCTGTGTGTGCACGCTGCCTGCAGTTCACAGGTTGCCGTGGCTGCGGATCAATCAAGTGCCTGATCACCTCCACCTGGAAACTGCAAACACTGACTGGCTGAGGGCTTCTGCCACTTGAGAGGAGCCACTTGGGGGGAGTGGATAAAACTCCAGTGGACCTGCAGATCAGGGAGCACGCTGTACCCAGTGGAGCTCCCATGCCTCTTCCTCAGACAGATTGTCTTTGTGATTGTGAATTGGGATTTTTTCGTAGCTTGTGAGGCATTTTGGTTTGCACACGCCTACCTGCTTTCCTTTTTGTATCCAGCATTAGGGCTGAGTATTGTATTTGAGTTCGTTTCTTGCTGATGTGAGCAGATCTTTTTATTTTACTGGTAACTAACTCTAGGTTAGAGTCTCCCTGTGTTTTTTGGCAACCTGTCAAGTTTCCTTTAAGGCCTTTGTTGCCTCTCTTTTTGTTGTTACTGCCAATTTTACTTTTGTTAATAAATAACTTGATTTGATCATTTAACATCTGGTCGGTTTTATGTTGCTTCCCTTCTCCCTTACACGAGCTGGTCGTAACATAAATGGGGGCTCGTCCGGGATACTAATCCGTTAAAGGAGACCCGGAAATCCGAAAAGTTTTTGTTAATAAAGGTAAGATTATTGTGTGTGTGTGCTTAGGTAGGTAAAATGGCATCGTTCGATCTTGACAGCTTCTTGTTAAATCCGTCACTTGACCAAATTAATAAGTGCAGAAAGGATAATTTGGTCGAGATAGCTGTGCACTTCAATGTCCTGTTTGCCAAATCAATCCTGAAAAAAGAATTAAAATCTCTAGTCAAAGGTAAGTTGGTGGAATTAGGTGTAATTGTTTTGCCGGTGCTCCCTGAGTCACCTGTGTGCGCACCTGGCTCTGAGACTGCGGCTGATTACACTGCACAAAGGGAGTTCAGTAAAGTGTCTGCTCAGCCCAAAACTCTCTTTACCTTGCCTCGCTATGATCCTCCTTTCTCAGGCAGCACTGATTCTCTGGGTGAGGCCAGACTGAAAGTCAGGCTGGCACGAATCCAGATGGAGGCTCAGGAGAGAGCCGAGAACCGGCAAGCAAAGCTGAGGCTTGAGATCCGTAAAATGGAGATCGAGGCTGATAAAGCAGTCAGACTATGTCAGCTGGAGCTAGAAGCTCAGCTGAAAGCAACCCCGGCACTGGATGCATCTGCAGATGCAATAATGTCACCTCCTTCCACCAGCTCTACCCGAGAGTCCTTTGACATCGGTAAGCATATTTCTCTTGTTCCACCATTCAGAGACTCTGAAGTTGACAGTTATTTTCCGGCATTTGAGCGCATTGCGACTGCACTTCAGTGGCCTTATGAAGAGTGGCCACTACTTCTCCAATGTAAGATCCATGGTAAAGCACAAGAAGCTGTAGCTGCTCTACCTTTAGCGGAGAGCTTGAACTATGAAAAGGTAAAGATGTCTATTTCACGTGCCTATGAATTAGTCCCTGAAGCTTACAGGCAAAAATTTCGGAACCACACAAGGGGCCCTGAACAGACGTATGTGGAGTTCGCAAGGGAAAAGGGAACTCTTTTTGATAAATGGTGTAACGCTAGTAAAGCTGCTGATTTCAGTTCACTCCGTGAACTAATTCTTCTGGAAGAATTTAAGAAATGTCTACCAGAGCGCATTGTTGTGTACCTAAATGAACAGAAAGTTTCATCTCTCTCTGCAGCCTCTGTACTGGCTGATGAATTTGTGCTAACCCACAAACCTGTGTTTCTGTCTACTTACGAAAAGCCTCGTGCTCCGGCACCACAGAGTGGACAAGCCAGAGTGTTCCACAGAAGGGATGAAAAAAGCTGTAACTATTGTCATAAATCTGGACACCTCATTGCAAACTGTCCCTCCTTAAACAGGAAAAAACAGAATGGCAACGGATCGCCCCCTAAAGGCGTTGGGCTCATTAAATCTGAGAAACGTGTAGAATCTAATGCTGTTTCTTCTGTTTGCCCAGATCCATGTTTTGAGCCGTTCATATTCGACGGGTATGTATCTCTGACAGGTGAGACTGCTGATCAGTGCCCAGTACGCATTTTGAGGGACACCGGTGGCTCTCAATCTGTTATACTGGCTAGTGCATTGCCATTTTCGGAAAAGTCTTTTTGTGGTTATACTGTTGCCTTGCAAGGTATTGAGATGGGTTATGTCCCACAACCGGTGCATACAGTCCACATTAAGTCCTGGTTGATAAGTGGGGTTTTTCCTGTGGCTGTCATTCCCGCTCTGCCTATAAAAGGAGTAGTTCTCCTCATGTGCAACGACATCGCGGGTGGCCAGGTAACCCCTGCACTAGAGGTGTCTGACTCTCCGCAGAGCCCTGATATAGAAAATGAAACAGAAACTGCTCAGAAACTGTTTCCATCTTGTGCTGTAACTCGTGCGCAATCTCGTAAATTGGACGAATTCTCACTGTCGGATACTGTGCTAATGTCTGCTTTTTCAGATGTGGAAGTTGTGAAGGAGAAAGCTCCCACATCTCTGCTGTCAGAAAGTGCCGAGCCCGTGGGTTCTGCGAATCTGAGTTTGGCGCCGTCGGACAGTCCGACGCTGCCGGTGGGCAGTGAACGTCTCGCCGCTGCGCAGAGGGCTGACCCGACTCTGGCACGTTGCTTCAAAAGTGTGGTGAGTGCCGACAAAGCAAGTGGTGAAACAGTATCTTACCTAATGAATAAAGACATCCTGGTGCGTAAATGGACTCCTGCAGTGTCTGATTGCGAATATAGTGCTTTACAAGTTGTAGTGCCTTTTGTATACCGGCAGCATGTATTGTCAGTTGCCCACGAGAGCAAATGGTCAGGTCATTTGGGGGTGAATAAGACCTACAACCTCATCCTCAAGCATTTCTTCTGGCCTGGGTTAAAATCTGATGTAGCCAAATTCTGTCGCTCTTGTCATGTGTGTCAACTAGCGGGTAAACCAAACCAAACCATCCCACCTGCTCCACTCCATCCTATTCCTACCATAGGTGAGCCCTTTGAGCGTGTAATCTTAGACTGTGTAGGCCCATTGCCCCGCTCTAAAACAGGTAATCAGTACCTACTCACCATTATGTGTGCTGCCATCCGCTATCCGGAAGCCGTCCCGCTGCGTAAAATTACGTCCAGCTCTGTTGTCAAAGCCCTGACAAAGTTTTTCTCCACGTTTGGCCTCCCTCGTGTTATCCAGACCGATCAAGGTACAAACTTTCAGTCTCGGTTGTTCAAACAAGTCCTTAAAACGCTCAATGTCCAACACTCCGTGTCCAGCGCGTATCATCCTGAATCCCAGGGAGCGTTAGAACGTTGGCATCAGACATTAAAATCCATGCTGCGTAAATACTCCCTAGAGACAGGTAAAAGTTGGGATGAAGGGGTTCCTTTCGTGTTGTTCGCCGCTCGTGACGCTGTCCAGGCATCCTTAGGGTTTAGCCCCGCAGAGCTCGTATTTGGCCACACACTCCGCGGTCCGCTTAAATCTCTGCAAGAAAAATTCCTGTCCTCTGAAGTCTCACGTGAAGAGAACGTACTTGATTTTGTGAGTAAATTCCGCAAGCGTTTACACCGTGCAAACTCGCTCGCTAAAGAGTGTCTTTTGTCCTCCCAGACTGTGATGAAGCGTCGTTATGACCGATCTGCCGTCCCACGCCGATTTGATGTTGGTGACAAAGTGCTGGCCTTGCTGCCGATCCCTGGTTCTTCTCTCTCTGCTAAATTTACCGGTCCCTATGAGGTCCGTGAATGCCTCAGTGACCTCAACTATGTTATTGCTACACCGGAGAGAAGGCGTAAAAGTCGTGTTTGTCACATAAACATGCTCAAACCTTACTTCACACGCGAACCGAACCCAGCTGTCGCTCCACCAGTGGTTCCCCCAAAAGCTAATACTATCGCTGTCAATGCTCTGATTGTCACTGAGTCTCCTACCATTGCTGATGAGGATGATTTACAGACGTGTACCTCATCGCATCAAACCGCGCGACTGCCGAATTCGGAGTCACTGAAAACATTGTCGTCCCAGCTAAGTCATTTGACCCGCGCGCAACAAAGTGACCTAATTGCTTTGATCGATAATTTTAAGTGTCTTTTCGGCGACGTTCCAACTCGCACTACTGTTCTGCAACATGACATAGATGTCAACGGAGCAAAGCCCATCCGACAGCATCCATACAGACTCAACCCCGTGAAGCGCCAGCTCATGAAAAAAGAAACGGATTATTTGTTAAAACACGGTTTGGCTGTGCCAAGCTCCAGCGCTTGGAGCTCTCCATGTTTGTTGGAGAAAAAATCAGACGGTACCCCTCGTTTTATCACAGATCTGCGAAAGGTAAATTCAGTAACTGTCAAAGACTCGTATCCTCTTCCTAGAATGGAAGATTGTGTCGACACGCTTGGCAGCGCTAAGTACGTCAGCAAGCTGGACCTATTGAAAGGGTACTGGCAAGTCCCGTTAACGGAGCGCGCATCTGAGATCTCCGCGTTTGTGACTCCTGACTGTTTCTTGCAGTACACCGTCATGGCGTTTGGCATGTGTAACGCCCCGGCCACCTTCCAGCGGCTCGTTAATACCGTCTTGGCCGGGCTGCCAAACTGTAACGCGTACTTGGATGACTTAATTGTTTACACAGTGACGTGGCAGGAGCACCTCCGCATCCTCGAACAGGTGTTCACTCGTCTTGCGCACGCGACCCTAACGCTAAATCTCGCCAAGTGTGATTTCGGTAAGGCCACCGTCACCTATTTAGGACGACAGGTTGGGCAGGGTCAAGTTAAGCCTCTCGACGCCAAGGTAACTGCCATAGCCGAGTTTCCGGTCCCAACCACCCGCAAGGCGCTCCGTCGTTTTCTGGGCATAGCGGGTTACTACCGTAGCTTCTGCCGCAACTTCTCCTCCGTTGTTCAGCCGTTGACTTCTCTAACTAGTCCCAAAGTCGAATTTGACTGGTCCCCTGCCTGTCAGCATGCGTTTGACAGCGCAAAGTCCCTCCTTAGCCACGCCCCTGTCCTTGCAGCTCCTGACTTCTCCCAGCCGTTCAAACTTGAGGTAGATGCCTCTGCAGTAGGTGTCAGGGCTGTCCTGTTGCAGGAGGATAGTGATGGAGTTGACCATCCAGTAGGATATTTTTCCCGCAAATTTAACAAGCATCAGGTGAACTACTCAATCATAGAAAAAGAAACCCTTGCTTTGTTATGGTCACTTCAACACTTTGAAGTATACGTAGGTTCCAGCCCTCTGCCAGTGGTGGTCTTCACTGACCACAACCCACTCGTCTTTCTGCATCGTATGTATAACCACAACCAAAGGCTTATGCGGTGGGCACTGGTCATGCAGGATTACAATGTGGAGATCCAGCACAAAAAGGGGTCTGACAATGTTGTAGCAGATGCGTTGTCCAGAATGTAATGTTGACTTTGTTAACCCTTGTGGTTGTTTTGTTTATGACAAACCTCATTAGGAGGGTTTGCCTCTTAAGGGGAGGGGTGTTACGGCCGCCGCCTTAGTGTGGCGAGTCCTGGGTCTTCCTCTCTCTGTGTGTGTGTGCGTGTGCGTGTGTGAGAGTGCCTGTGTGTGCATGCTGCCTGCAGTTCACAGGTTGCCGTGGCTGCGGATCAATCAAGTGCCTGATCACCTCCACCTGGAAACTGCAAACACTGACTGGCTGAGGGCTTCTGCCACTTGAGAGGAGCCACTTGGGGGGAGTGGATAAAACTCCAGCGGACCTGCAGATCAGGGAGCACGCTGTACCCAGTGGAGCTCCCATGCCTCTTCCTCAGACAGATTGTCTTAGTGATTGTGAATTGGGACTTTTTCGTAGCTTGTGAGGCATTTTGGTTTGCACACGCCTACCTGCTTTCCTTTTTGTATCCAGCATTAGGGCTGAGTATTGTATTTGAGTTCGTTTCTTGCCGATGTGAGCAGATCTTTTTATTTTTACTGGTAACTAACTCTAGGTTAGAGTCTCCCTGTGTTTTTTGGCAACCTGTTAAGTTTCCTTTAAGGCCTTTATTGCCTCTCTTTTTGTTGTTACTGCCAATTTTACTTTTGTTAATAAATAACTTGATTTGATCATTTAACATCTGGTCGGTTTTATGTAGCTTCCCTTCTCCCTTACACGAGCTGGTCGTAACATAAATGGGGGCTCGTCCGGGATACTAATCCGTTAAAGGAGACCCGGAAATCCGAAAAGTTTTTGTTAATAAAGGTAAGATTATTGTGTGTGTGTGCTTAGGTAGGTAAAATGGCATCGTTCGATCTTGACAGCTTCTTGTTAAATCCGTCACTTGACCAAATTAATAAGTGCAGAAAGGATTTGGGGTGTTCGGGCTTCCTGAAGGTAATACCCGGGAATTAGGTTATGGGGCTAGGGTAAGGTTTAAGGTTTTTGGCGTTAGAGTTAAAAACAGTGTCCAAAACCTTTTTAGGAACATGTTTAAGACCTTTTGGAGTTGGTTACACCAAAAAAAAATGTAAAATGAAAAAAAAAAATATTTGGGGTGTTCGGGCTTCCTGAAGGTAATACCCGGGTATTAGGTTATGGGGCTAGGGTAAGGTTTAAGGTTTTTGGCGTTAGGGTTAAAATCACTGTCCAAAACCTTTTTAGGAACATGTTTCAGACCTTTTGGAGTTGGTAACACCAAAAAAAAATGTAAAATGAAAAAAAAATATTTGGGGTGTTCAAGCTTCCTGAAGGTAATACTAGGTATCTGGGCTAGGGTAATGTTAAGGTTTTTGGCGTTAGGGTTAAAATCAATGTCCAAAACCTTTGTAGGAACTCTTTTCCAACCTTTGAGAGCAAGTTAGACCAAAACAAAAAGAAAAATAAAAAATATATATTTGGGGTGTTCGGGCTTCCTGAAGGTAATACCCGGGTAGTAGGTTTTGGGGCTAGGGTAAGGTTTAAGGTTTAAGGTTTTTCGGCGTGAGGGTAAAAATCACTGTCCAAAACCTTTGTAGGAACTCTTTTCCAAACTTTGGGAATAAGTTAGACAAAAAAAAAAAAGATAAATGAAAAAAAAATATTTGGGGTGTTCGGGCTTCCTGAAGGTAATACCCGGGTATTAGGTTATGGGGCTAGGGTAAGGTTTAAGGTTTTTGGCGTTAGGGTTAAAATCACTGTCCAAAACCTTTTAAGGAACAAGATTCAGACCTTTTGGAGTTGGTTACACCAAAAAAAATGTAAAATGAAAAAAAAATATTTGGGGTGTTCGGGCTTCCTGAAGGTAATACCCTTCAGGTTTAAGTATTAGGTTATGGGGCTAGGATTAGGTTTAAGGTTTTTGGCGTTAGGGTTAAAATCACTGTCCAATATTTTTAAGGAACATGTTTCAGACCTTTTGGAGCTAGTTTGACCAAAAAAAAAAAGAAAAAGAAAAAATATATATTTGGGGTGTTCGGGCTTCCTGAAGGTAATACCCGGGTATTAGGTTATGGGGCTAGGGTAAGGTTTAAGGTTTTTGGCGTGAGGGTTAAAATCACTGTCCAAAACCTTTGTAGGAAGTCTTTTCCAACCTTTTGGAGTTAGTAAGACAAAAAAAAAAGATAAATGAAAAAAAAATATTTGGGGTGTTCGGGCTTCCTGAAGGTAATACCCGGGTATTAGGTTATGGGGCTAGGGTAAGGTTTAAGGTTTTTGGCGTAAGGGTTAAAATCACTGTCCAAAACCTTTTTAGGAACATGTTTCAGACCTTTTGGAGTTGGTTAGACCAAAAAAAATTTAAAATGAAAAAAAATTTTTTTTGGGTGTTCGGGCTTCCTGAAGATAATACTAGGTTTCTGGGCTAGGGTAATGTTTAAGGTTTTTGGCGTTAGGGTTAAAATCAATGTCCAAAACCTTTGTAGGAACTCTTTTCCAACCTTTGAGAGCAAGTTAGACCAAAACAAAAAGAAAAAAATATAAATATATTTGGGGTGTTCGGGCTTCCTGAAGGTAATACCCGGGTATTAGGTTATGGGGCTAGGGTAAGGTTTAATGTTTTTCGGCGTGAGGGTAAAAATCACTGTCCAAAACCTTTGTAGGAACTCTTTTCCAACCTTTTGGATTTAGTTAGACAAAAAAAAGATGAATGAAAAAAAAATATTTGGGGTGTTCGGGCTTCCTGAAGGTAATACCCGGGTATTAGGTTTTGGGGCTAGGGTTAGGTTTAAGGTTTTTGGCGTTAGGGTTAAAATATCTGTCCAATATTTTTTAAGGAACATGTTTCAGACCTTTTGGGAGTTAGTTAGACAAAAAAAAAAGAAAAAGAAAAAAAATATTTGGGGTGTTCGGGCTTCCTGAAGGTAATACCCGGGTAAGAGGTTATGGGGTTAGGGTAAGGTTTAAGGTTTTTGGCGTTAGGGTTAAAATCACTGTCCAAAACCTTTTTAGGAACATGTTTAAGACCTTTTGGAGTTGGTTACACCAAAAAAAAATGTAAAATGCAAAAACAAAATATTTGGGGTTTTTGGGCTTCCTGAAGGTAATACCCCGGTATTAGGTTTTGGGGCTAGGGTTAGGTTTAAGGTATTTGGCGTAAGAGTTAAAATCACTGTCCAAAACCTTTTTAGGAACATGTTTCAGACCTTTTGGAGTTGGTTACACCAAAAAAATTTAAAATGAAAAAAAATTTTTTTTGGGTGTTCGGGCTTCCTGACCTTAATACTAGGTTTCTGGGCTAGGGTAATGTTTAAGGTTTTTGGCGTTAGGGTTAAAATCAATGTCCAAAACCTTTGTAGGAACTCTTTTCCAACCTTTGAGAGCAAGTTAGACCAAAACAAAAAGAAAAAAATATATATATATTTGGGGTGTTCGGGCTTCCTGAAGGTAATACCCGGGTATTAGGTTATGGGGCTAGGGTAAGGTTTAAGGTTTTTGGCGTGAGGGTTAAAATCACTGTCCAAAACCTTTGTAGGAACTCTTTTCCAACCTTTTGGAGTTAGTTAGACAAAAAAAAAGAAAAAAAAAAATATTTGGGGTGTTCGGGCTTCCTGAAGGTAATACCCGGGTATTAGGTTTTGGGGCTAGGGTAAGGTTTAAGGTTTTTGGCGTTAGGGTTAAAATCACTGTCCAAAACCTTTTAAGGAACAAGATTCAGACCTTTTGGAGTTGGTTACACCAAAAAAAATGTAAAATGAAAAAAAATATATTTGGGGTGTTCGGGCTTCCTGAAGGTAATAGGTTTTGGGGCTAGGGTAAGGTTTAAGGTTTTTGGCGTTAGGGTTAAAATCACTGTCCAAAACCTTTTAAGGAACAAGATTCAGACCTTTTGGAGTTGGTTACACCAAAAAAAATGTAAAATGAAAAAAAAAATATTTGGGGTGTTCGGGCTTCCTGAAGGTAATACCCTTCAGGTTTAAGTATTAGGTTATGGGGCTAGGATTAGGTTTAAGGTTTTTGGCGTAAGGGTTAAAATCACTGTCCAAATTTTTTAAGGAACATGTTTCAGACCTTTTGGAGCTAGTTTGACCAAAAAAAAAAGAAAAAGAAAAAATATATATTTGGGGTGTTCGGGCTTCCTGAAGGTAATACCCGGGTATTAGGTTATGGGGCTAGGTTAAGGTTTAAGGTTTTTGGCATGAGGGTTAAAATCACTGTCCAAAACCTTTGTAGGAAGTCTTTTCCAACCTTTTGGAGTTAGTTAGACAAAAAAAAAAGATAAATGAAAAAAAAATATTTGGGGTGTTCGGGCTTCCTGAAGGTAATACCCGGGTAAGGTTTAAGGTTTTTGGCGTGAGGGTTAAAATCACTGTCCAAAACCTTTTTAAGACCATGTTTCAGACCTTTTGGAGTTGGTTACACCAAAAAAAAAAAAGAAAAAGAAAAAAAAAATATTTGGGGTGATCGGGTTTCCTGAAGGTAATACCCGGGTATTAGGTTATGGGGCTAGGGTAAGTTTTAAGGTTTTTGGTGTTAGGGTTAAAATCACTGTCCAAAACCTTTTTAGGAACATGTTTAAGACCTTTTGGAGTTGGTTACACCAAAAAAAAATGTAAAATGAAAAAAAATATATATTTGGGGTGTTCGGGCTTCCTGAAGGTAATACCCTTCAGGTTTAAGGTAATGGGGCTAGGGTAAGTTTTAAGGTTTTTGGTGTTAGGGTTAAAATAACTGTCCAATATTTTTTAAGGAACATGTTTCAGACCTTTGGGAGTTAGTTAGACAAAAAAAAAGAAAAAGAAAAAAAAATTATTTGGGGTGTTCGGGTTTCCTGAAGGTAATACCCGGGTATTAGGTTATGGGGCTAGGGTAAGGTTTAAGGTTTTTGGCGTTAGAGTTAAAATCAGTGTCCAAAACCTTTTTAGGAACATGTTTAAGACCTTTTGGAGTTGGTTACACCAAAAAAAATGTAAAATGAAAAAAATATATATTTGGGGTGTTCGGGCTTCCTGAAGGTAATACCCGGGTATTAGGTTATGGGGCTAGGGTAAGGTTTAAGGTTTTTGGCGTTAGGGTTAAAATCACTGTCCAAAACCTTTGTAGGAACTCTTTTCCAACCTTTTGGGTTAGTTAGACCAAAAAAAAGAAAAATGAAAAAAAAATATTTGGGGTGTTCGGGCTTCCTGAAGGTAATACCCGGGTATTAGGTTATGGGGCTAGGGAAGGTTTAAGGTTTTTGGCGTTAGGGTTAAAATCACTGTCCAAAACCTTTTTAGGAACATGTTTCAGACCTTTTGGAGTTAGTTAGACCAAAAAAAAATGAAAAATGAAAAAAAAATATTTGGGGTGTTCGGGCTTCCTGAAGGTAATACCCGGTATTAGGTTTTGGGGCTAGGGTAAGGTTTAAGGTTTTTGGCGTTAGGGTTAAAATCACTGTCCAAAACCTTTGTAGGAAGTCTTTTCCAACCTTTTGGAGTTAGTTAGACAAAAAAAAAAAGATAAATGAAAAAAAAATATTTGGGGTGTTCGGGCTTCCTGAAGGTAATACCCGGGTAAGGTTTAAGGTTTTTGGCGTTAGGGTTAAAATCACTGTCCAAAACCTTTTTAGGACCATGTTTCAGACCTTTTGGAGTTGGTTACACCAAAAAAAAAAAAGAAAAAGAAAAAAAAAATATTTGGGGTGTTCGGGCTTCCTGAAGGTAATACCCGGGTATTAGGTTATGGGGCTAGGGTAGGTTTTAAGGTTTTTGGCGTTAGGGTTAAAATCACTGTCCAAAACCTTTTTAGGAACATGTTTAAGACCTTTTGGAGTTGGTTACACCAAAAAAAAATGTAAAATGAAAAAAATATATATTTGGGGTGTTCGGGCTTCCTGAAGGTAATACCCGGGTATTAGGTAATGGGGCTAGGGTAAGGTTTAAGGTTTTTGGCGTTAGGGTTAAAATCACTGTCCAATATTTTTTAAGGAACATGTTTCAGACCTTTGGGAGTTAGTTAGACCAAAAAAAATGAAAAAAAAAAAAAAAAATATTTGGGGTGTTCGGGCTTCCTGAAGGTAATACCCGGGTATTAGGTACTGGGGCAAGGGTAAGGTTTAAGGTTTTTGGCGTTAGGGTTAAAATCACTGTCCAAAACCTTTTAAGGAACATGTTTAAGACCTTTTGGAGTTGGTTACACCAAAAAAAATGTAAAATGAAAAAAAAAAATATTTGGGGTGTTCGGGCTTCCTGAAGGTAATACCCGGGTATTAGGTTATGGGGCTAGGGTAAGGTTTAAGGTTTTTGGCGTGAGGGTTAAAATCACTGTCCAAAACCTTTGTAGGAACATCTTTTCCAACCTTTTGGAGTTAGTTAGACCAATAAAAAAATGAAAAATGAAAAAAAAATATTTGGGGTGTTCAAGCTTCCTGAAGGTAATACCCGGGTATTAGGTTTTGGGGCTAGGGTAAGGTTTAAGGTTTTTGGCGTTAGGGTTAAAATCACTGTCCAAAACCTTTTAAGGAACAAGATTCAGACCTTTGGGAGTTAGTTAGACAAAAAAATAAGAAAAAGTAAAAAAAAATATTTGGGGTGTTCGGGTTTCCTGAAGGTAATACCCGGGTATTAGGTTATGGGGCTAGGGTAAGGTTTAAGGTTTTTGGCGTTAGGGTTAAAATCACTGTCCAAAACCTTTTTAGGAACATGTTTCAGACCTTTTGGAGTTGGTTACACCAAAAAAAATGTAAAATGAAAAAAAAAATATTTGGGGTTTTGGGCTTCCTGAAGGTAATACCCTGGGTATTAGGTTTTGGGGCTAGGTTAAGGTTTAAGGTTTTTGGCGTAGGGTTAAAATCACTGTCCAAAACCTTTTTAGGAACATGTTTCAGACCTTTTGGAGTTAGTTAGACCAAAAAAATTTAAAATGAAAAAAAAAATATTTGGGGTGTTCGGGCTTCCTGAAGGTAATACGGTATTAGGTTTCTGGGCTAGGGTAAGGTTTAAGGTTTTTGGCGTTAGGGTTAAAATCACTGTCCAAAACCTTTGTAGGAACATTTTCCAACCTTTGAGAGCAAGTTAGACCAAAAAAAAAGAAAATGAAAAAATATATATTTGGGGTGTTCGGGCTTCCTGAAGGTAATACCCGGGTATTAGGTTATGGGGCTAGGGTAAGGTTTAAGGTTTTTGGCGTTAGGGTTAAAATCACTGTCCAAAACCTTTGTAGGAACTCTTTTCCAACCTTTTGGGAGTTAGTTAGACAAAAAAAAAAGAAAAAAAAATATATATATTTGGGGTGTTCGGGCTTCCTGAAGGTAATACCCGGGTATTAGGTTTTGGGGCTAGGGTAAGGTTTAAGGTTTTTGGCGTTAGGGTTAAAATCACTGTCCAAAACCTTTTAAGGAACAAGATTCAGACCTTTTGGAGTTGGTTACACCAAAAAAAAATGTAAAATGAAAAAAAAAAATATTTGGGGTGTTCGGGCTTCCTGAAGGTAATAGGTTTTGGGGCTAGGGTAAGGTTTAAGGTTTTTGGCGTTAGGGTTAAAATCACTGTCCAAAACCTTTTAAGGAACAAGATTCAGACCTTTTGGAGTTGGTTACACCAAAAAAAATGTAAAATGAAAAAAAAAAAATATTTGGGGTGTTCGGGCTTCCTGAAGGTAATACCCTTCAGGTTTAAGTATTAGGTTATGGGGCTAGGATTAGGTTTAAGGTTTTTGGCGTAAGGGTTAAAATCACTGTCCAATATTTTTTAAGGAACATGTTTCAGACCTTTTGGAGCTAGTTAGACAAAAAAAAAAGAAAAAGAAAAAATATATATTTGGGGTGTTCGGGCTTCCTGAAGGTAATACCCGGGTATTAGGTTATGGGGCTAGGGTAAGGTTTAAGGTTTTTGGCGTTAGGGTTAAAATCACTGTCCAAAACCTTTGTAGGAACTCTTTTCCAACCTTTTGGAGTTAGTTAGACAAAAAAAAAGATAAATGAAAAAAAAAATATTTGGGGTGTTCGGGCTTCCTGAAGGTAATACCCGGGTAAGGTTTAAGGTTTTTGGCGTTAGGGTTAAAATCACTGTCCAAAACCTTTTTAGGAACATGTTTCAGACCTTTTGGAGTTGGTTACACCAAAAAAAAAAAAGAAAAATGAAAAAAAAATATTTGGGGTGTTCGGGCTTCCTGAAGGTAATACCCGGGTATTAGGTTATGGGGCTAGGGTAAGGTTTAAGGTTTTTGGCGTTAGGGTTAAAATCACTGTCCAAAACCTTTTAAGGAACATGTTTCAGACCTTTTGGAGTTGGTTACACCAAAAAAAATGTAAAATGAAAAAAAAAATATTTGGGGTGTTCGGGCTTCCTGAAGGTAATACCCGGGTATTAGGTTATGGGGCTAGGGTAAGGTTTAAGGTTTTTGGCGTTAGGGTTAAAATCACTGTCCAAAACCTTTTTAGGAACATGTTTCAGACCTTTGGGAGTTAGTTAGACAAAAAAAAAAGAAAAAGAAAAAAAAATATTTGGGGTGTTCGGGCTTCCTGAAGGTAATACCCGGGTATTAGGTTATGGGGCTAGGGTAAGGTTTAAGGTTTTTGGCGTTAGAGGGTTAAAATCACTGTCCAAAACCTTTTTAGGAACATGTTTAAGACCTTTTGGAGTTGGTTACACCAAAAAAAATGTAAAATGAAAAAAAAATATTTGGGGTGTTCGGGCTTCCTGAAGGTAATACCCGGGTATTAGGTTATGGGGCTAGGGTAAGGTTTAAGGTTTTTGGCGTTAGGGTTAAAATCACTGTCCAAAACCTTTGTAGGACCTCTTTTCCAACCTTTTGGTGTTAGTTAGACCAAAAAAAAAGAAAAATGAAAAAAAAATATTTGGGGTGTTCGGGCTTCCTGAAGGTAATACCCGGGTATTAGGTTATGGGGCTTTGGAAAGGTTTAAGGTTTTTGGCGTTAGGGTTAAAATCACTGTCCAAAACCTTTGTAGGAACTCTTTTCCAACCTTTTGGAGTTAATTAGACCAAAAAAAAAATGAAAAATGAAAAAAAAAAATTTGGGGTGTTTGGGCTTCCTGAAGGTATTATGTTTTGGGGCTAGGGTAAGGTTTAAGGTTTTTGGCGTTAGGGTTAAAATCAGTGTCCAAAACGTTTTAAGGAACAAGATTCAGACCTTTTGGAGTTGGTTACACCAAAAAAATGTAAAATGAAAAAAAAATATATTTGGGGTGTTCGGGCTTCCTGAAGGTAATACCCGGGTAAGGTTTAAGGTTTTTGGCGTAAGGGTTAAAATCACTGTCCAAAACCTTTTTAGGACCATGTTTCAGACCTTTTGGAGTTGGTTACACCAAAAAAAAAAAGAAAAAGAAAAAAAAAATATTTGGGGTGTTCGGGCTTCCTGAAGGTAATACCCGGGTATTAGGTTATGGGGCTAGGGTAAGGTTTAAGGTTTTTGGCGTTAGGGTTAAAATCACTGTCCAAAACCTTTTTAGGAACATGTTTAAGACCTTTTGGAGTTGGTTACACCAAAAAAAAAATGTAAAATGAAAAAAAAATATTTGGGGTGTTCGGGCTTCCTGAAGGTAATACCCGGGTATTAGGTTATGGGGCTAGGGTAAGGTTTAAGGTTTTTGGCGTGAGGGTTAAAATCACTGTCCAAAACCTTTGTAGGACCTCTTTTCCAACCTTTTGGAGTTAGTTAGACCAAAAAAAAAGAAAAATGAAAAAAAAATATTTGGGGTGTTCGGGCTTCCTGAAGGTAATAGGTTTTGGGGCTAGGGTAAGGTTTAAGGTTTTTGGCGTTAGGGTTAAAATCACTGTCCAAAACCTTTTAAGGAACATGTTTCAGACCTTTTGGAGTTGGTTACACCAAAAAAAATGTAAAATGAAAAAAAATATATTTGGGGTGTTCGGGCTTCCTGAAGGTAATACCCGGGTATTAGGTTATGGGGCTTTGGAAAGGTTTAAGGTTTTTGGCGTGAGGGTTAAAATCACTGTCCAAAACCTTTGTAGGAAGTCTTTTCCAACCTTTTGGAGTTAGTTAGACAATAAAAAAATGAAAAATGAAAAAAAAAATTTGGGGTGTTTGGGCTTCCTGAAGGTATTAGGTTTTGGGGCTAGGGTAAGGTTTAAGGTTTTTGGCGTTAGGGTTAAAATCACTGTCCAAAACCTTTTAAGGAACAAGATTCAGACCTTTTGGAGTTGGTTACACCAAAAAAAATGTAAAATGAAAAAAAAAATATTTGGGGTGTTCGGGCTTCCTGAAGGTAATACCCTTCAGGTTTAAGTATTAGGTTATGGGGCTAGGGTAAGGTTTAAGGTTTTTGGCGTTAGGGTTAAAATCACTGTCCAAAACCTTTTTAGGAACATGTTTCAGACCTTTTGGAGCTAGTTTGACCAAAAAAAAAAAAGAAAAAGAAAAAATATATATTTGGGGTGTTCGGGCTTCCTGAAGGTAATACCCGGGTATTAGGTTATGGGGCTAGGGTAAGGTTTAAGGTTTTTGGCGTGAGGGTTAAAATCACTGTCCAAAACCTTTGTAGGAAGTCTTTTCCAACCTTTTGGAGTTAGTTAGACAAAAAAAAAAAGATAAATGAAAAAAAAATATTTGGGGTGTTCGGGCTTCCTGAAGGTAATACCCGGGTATTAGGTTATGGGGCTAGGGTAAGGTTTAAGGTTTTTGGCGTAAGGGTTAAAATCACTGTCCAAAACCTTTTTAGGAACATGTTTAAGACCTTTTGGAGTTGGTTACACCAAAAAAAATGTAAAATGAAAAAAAAATATTTGGGGTGTTCGGGCTTCCTGAAGGTAATACCCGGGTATTAGGTTATGGGGCTAGGGTAAGGTTTAAGGTTTTTGGCGTTAGGGTTAAAATCACTGTCCAAAACCTTTTTAGGAACATGTTTCAGACCTTTTGGAGTTGGTTACACCAAAAAAAATTTAAAATGAAAAAAAAATATTTGGGGTGTTCGGGCTTCCTGAAGGTAATACCCGGGTATTAGGTAATGGGGCTAGGGTAAGGTTTAAGGTTTTTGGCGTGAGGGTTAAAATCACTGTCCAAAACCTTTGTAGGACCTCTTTTCCAACCTTTTGGTGTTAGTTAGACCAAAAAAAAACGAAAAATGAAAAAAAAATATTTGGGGTGTTCGGGCTTCCTGAAGGTAATAGGTTTTGGGGCTAGGGTAAGGTTTAAGGTTTTTGGCGTTAGGGTTAAAATCACTGTCCAAAACCTTTTAAGGAACAAGATTCAGACCTTTTGGAGTTGGTTACACCAAAAAAAATGTAAAATGAAAAAAAAAAATATTTGGGGTGTTCGGGCTTCCTGAAGGTAATACCCGGGTATTAGGGTTATGGGGCTAGGTAAGGTTTAAGGTTTTTGGCGTTAGGGTTAAAATCACTGTCCAAAACCTTTGTAGGAAGTCTTTTCCAACCTTTTGGAGTTGGTTACACCAAAAAAAAAATGTAAAATGAAAAAAAAAATTTGGGGTGTTCGGGCTTCCTGAAGGTAATACCCGGGTATTAGGTTTTGGGGCTAGGGTAAGGTTTAAGGTTTTTGGCGTTAGGGTTAAAATCACTGTCCAAAACCTTTTAAGGAACAAGATTCAGACCTTTTGGAGTTGGTTACACCAAAAAAAATGTAAAATGAAAAAAAAAATATTTGGGGTGTTCGGGCTTCCTGAAGGTAATACCCTTCAGGGTAAGTATTAGGTTATGGGGCTAGGATAAGGTTTAAGGTTTTTGGCATAAGGGTTAAAATCACTGTCCAATATTTTTTAAGGAACATGTTTCAGACCTTTTGGAGCTAGTTTGACCAAAAAAAAAAAAGAAAAAGAAAAAATATATATTTGGGGTGTTCGGGCTTCCTGAAGGTAATACCTGGGTATTAGGTTATGGGGCTAGGTTAAGGTTTAAGGTTTTTGGCGTGAGGGTTAAAATCACTGTCCAAAACCTTTGTAGGAAGATGTTTCAGACCTTTTGGAGTTAGTTAGACAAAAAAAAAAAGATAAATGAAAAAAAAATATTTGGGGTGTTCGGGCTTCCTGAAGGTAATACCCGGGTATTAGGTTATGGGGCTAGGGTAAGGTTTAAGGTTTTTGGCGTAAGGGTTAAAATCACTGTCCAAAACCGTTTTAGGAACATGTTTCAGACCTTTTGGAGTTGGTTACACCAAAAAAAAAAGTAAAATGAAAAAAAAAATATTTGGGGTGTTCAAGCTTCCTGAAGGTAATACCCGGGTATTAGGTTATGGGGCTAGGGTAAGGTTTAAGGTTTTTGGCGTTAGGGTTAAAATCACTGTCCAAAACCTTTGTAGGAACTCTTTTCCAACCTTTTGGTGTTAGTTAGACCAAAAAAAAACGAAAAATGAAAAAAAAATATTTGGGGTGTTCGGGCTTCCTGAAGGTAATAGGTTTCTGGGCTAGGGTAATGTTTAACGTTTTTGGCGTTAGGGTTCAAATCAATGTCCAAAACCTTTGTAGGAACTCTTTTCCAACCTTTGAGAGCAAGTTAGACCAAAACAAAAAGAAAAATAAAAAATATATATTTGGGGTGTTCGGGCTTCCTGAAGGTAATACCTGGGTATTAGGTTTTGGGGCTAGGGTTAGGTTTAAGGTTTTTGGCGTTAGGGTTAAAATAACTGTCCAATATTTTTTAAGGAACATGTTTCAGACCTTTGGGAGTTAGTTAGACAAAAAAAAGAAAAGAAAAGAAAAAAAATTATTTGGGGTGTTCGGGTTCCTGAAGGTAATACCCGGGTATTAGGTTATGGGGCTAGGGTAAGGTTTAAGGTTTTTGGCGTTAGAGTTAAAATCACTGTCCAAAACCTTTTTAGGAACATGTTTAAGACCTTTTGGAGTTAGTTAGACAAAAAAAAAAAAAGAAAATGAAAAAAAAATATTTGGGGTGTTCGGTCTTCCTGAAGGTAATACCCGGGTATTAGGTTATGGGGCTAGGGTAAGGTTTAAGGTTTTTGGCGTTAGGGTTAAAATCACTGTCCAAAACCTTTGTAGGACCTCTTTTCCAACCTTTTGGAGTTAGTTAGACCAAAAAAAAACGAAAAATGAAAAAAAAATATTTGGGGTTTTTGGGCTTCCTGAAGGTAATACCCGGGTATTAGGTTATGGGGCTAGGGTAAGGTTTAAGGTTTTTGGCGTGAGGGTTAAAATCACTGTCCAAAACCTTTGTAGGAAGTCTTTTCCAACCTTTTGGAGTTAGTTAGACCAATAAAAAAATGTAAAATGAAAAAAAAAAAATTGGGGTGTTGGGCTTCCTGAAGGTATTATGTTTTGGGGCTAGGGTAAGGTTTAAGGTTTTTGGCGTTAGGGTTAAAATCACTGTCCAAAACCTTTTAAGGAACAAGATTCAGACCTTTTGGAGTTGGTTACACCAAAAAAATGTAAAATGAAAAAAAATATATTTGGGTGTTCGGGCTTCCTGAAGGTAATACCCTTCAGGTTTAAGTATTAGGTTATGGGGCTAGGATTAGGTTTAAGGTTTTTGGCGTAAGGGTTAAAATCACTGTCCAATATTTTTTAAGGAACATGTTTCAGACCTTTTGGACATAGTTTAACCAAAAAAAAAAAGAAATAGAAAAAATATATATTTGGGGTGTTCGGGCTTCCTGAAGGTAATACCCGGGTATTAGGTTATGGGGCTAGGGAAAGGTTTAAGGTTTTTGGCGTTAGGGTTAAAATCACTGTCCAAAACCTTTGTAGGAACTCTTTTCCAACCTTTTGGAGTTAGTTAGACAAAAAAAAAAGATAAATGAAAAAAAAATATTTGGGGTGTTCGGGCTTCCTGAAGGTAATACCCGGGTATTAGGTTATGGGGCTAGGGTAAGGTTTAAGGTTTTTGGCGTGAGGGTTAAAATCACTGTCCAAAACCTTTTTAGGAACATGTTTCAGACCTTTTGGAGTTGGTTACACCAAAAAAAATGTAAAATGAAAAAAAAATATTTGGGGTGTTCGGGCTTCCTGAAGGTAATACCCGGGTATTAGGTTATGGGGCTAGGGTAAGGTTTACATTTTTTGGCGTTAGGGTTAAAATCACTGTCCAAAACCTTTTTAAGGAACATGTTTCAGACCTTTTGGAGCTAGTTTGACCAAAAAAAAAAAAAAAAAAAAAAAATATATTTGGGGTGTTCGGGCTTCCTGAAGGTAATACCTGGGTATTAGGTTATGGGGCTAGGTTAAGGTTTAAGGTTTTTGGCGTGAGGGTTAAAATCACTGTCCAAAACCTTTGTAGGAAGTCTTTTCCAACCTTTTGGAGTTAGTTAGACAAAAAAAAAAGATAAATGAAAAAAAAATATTTGGGGTGTTTGGGCTTCCTGAAGGTATTAGGTTTTGGGGCTAGGGTAAGGTTTAAGGTTTTTGGCGTTAGGGTTAAAATCACTGTCCAAAACCTTTTAAGGAACAAGATTCAGACCTTTTGGAGTTGGTTACACCAAAAAAAAAATGTAAAATGAAAAAAAATTTATTTGGGGTGTTCGGGCTTCCTGAAGGTAATACCCGGGTATTAGGTTATGGGGCTAGGGTAAGGTTTAAGGTTTTTGGCGTAAGGGTTAAAATCACTGTCCAAAACCTTTTTAGGAACATGTTTCAGACCTTTTGGAGCTAGTTTGAGCAAAAAAGAAAAGAAAAAGAAAAAATATATATTTGGGGTGTTCGGGCTTCCTGAAGGTAATACCCGGGTATTAGGTTATGGGGCTAGGTTAAGGTTTAAGGTTTTTGGCGTGAGGGTTAAAATCACTGTCCAAAACCTTTGTAGGAAGTCTTTTCCAACCTTTTGGAGTTAGTTAGACAAAAAAAAAAGATAAATGAAAAAAAAATATTTGGGTGTTCGGGCTTCCTGAAGGTAATACCCGGGTATTAGGTTATGGGGCTAGGGTAAGGTTTAAGGTTTTTGGCGTAAGGGTTAAAATCACTGTCCAAAACCGTTTTAGGAACATGTTTCAGACCTTTTGGAGTTGGTTACACCAAAAAAAAATGTAAAATGAAAAAAAAATATTTGGGGTGTTCGGGCTTCCTGAAGGTAATACCCGGGTATTAGGTTATGGGGCTAGGGTAAGGTTTAAGGTTTTTGGCGTAAGGGTTAAAATCACTGTCCAAAACCTTTTTAGGAACATGTTTCAGACCTTTTGGAGTTGGTTACACCAAAAAAAATGTAAAATGAAAAAAAAAATTTTTTGGGGTGTTCGGGCTTCCTGAAGGTAATACTAGGTTTCTGGGCTAGGGTAATGTTTAAGGTTTTTGGCGTTAGGGTTAAAATCAATGTCCAAAACCTTTGTAGGAACTCTTTTCCAACCTTTGAGAGCAAGTTAGACCAAAAATAAAGAAAAATAAAAAATATATATTTGGGGTGTTCGGGCTTCCTGAAGGTAATACCTGGGTATTAGGTTATGGGGCTAGGGTTAGGTTTAAGGTTTTTGGCGTTAGGGTTAAAATCACTGTCCAATATTTTTTAAGGAACATGTTTCAGACCTTTGGGAGTTAGTTAGACAAAAAAAAGAAAAAGAAAAAAAAATATTTGGGGTGTTCGGGTTTCCTGAAGGTAATACCCGGGTATTAGGTTATGGGGCTAGGGTAAGGTTTAAGGTTTTTGGCGTTAGAGTTAAAATCACTGTCCAAAACCTTTTTAGGAACATGTTTAAGACCTTTTGGAGTTGGTTACACCAAAAAAAATGTAAAATGAAAAAAAAATATTTGGGGTGTTCGGGCTTCCTGAAGGTAATACCCGGGTATTAGGTTATGGGGCTAGGGTAAGGTTTAAGGTTTTTGGCGTTAGGGTTAAAATCACTGTCCAAAACCTGTGTAGGAAGTCTTTTCCAACCTTTTGGAGTTAGTTAGACCAAAAAAAAAACGAAAAATGAAAAAAAAATATTTGGGGTGTTCGGGCTTCCTGAAGGTAATACCCGGGTATTAGGTTATGGGGCTAGGGTAAGGTTTATGGTTTTTGGCGTAAGGGTTAAAATCACTGTCCAAAACCGTTTTAGGAACATGTTTCAGACCTTTTGGAGTTGGTTACACCAAAAAAAAATGTAAAATGAAAAAAAAATATTTGGTGTGTTCAAGCTTCCTGAAGGTAATACCCGGGTATTAGGTTATGGGGCTAGGGTAAGGTTTAAGGTTTTTGGCGTAAGGGTTAAAATCACTGTCCAAAACCTTTTTAGGAACATGTTTCAGACCTTTTGGAGTTGGTTACACCAAAAAAAATGTAAAATGAAAAAAAAATTTTTTTGGGTGTTCAGGCTTCCTGAAGGTAATACTAGGTTTCTGGGCTAGGGTAATGTTTAAGGATTTTGGCGTTAGGGTTAAAATCAATGTCCAAAACCTTTGTAGGAACTCTTTTCCAACCTTTGAGAGCAAGTTAGACCAAAACAAAAAGAAAAATAAAAAATATATATTTGGGGTGTTCGGGCTTCCTGAAGGTAATACCTGGGTATTAGGTTTTGGGGCTAGGGTTAGGTTTAAGGTTTTTGGCGTTAGGGTTAAAATAACTGTCCAATATTTTTTAAGGAACATGTTTCAGACCTTTGGGAGTTAGTTAGACAAAAAAAAAGAAAAATGAAAAAAAATATTTGGGGTGTTCGGGTTTCCTGAAGGTAATACCCGGGTATTAGGTTATGGGGCTAGGGTAAGGTTTAAGGTTTTTGGCGTTAGAGTTAAAATCAGTGTCCAAAACCTTTTTAGGAACATGTTTAAGACCTTTTGGAGTTGGTTACACCAAAAAAAATGTAAAATGAAAAAAAATATATTTGGGGTGTTCGGGCTTCCTGAAGGTAATACCCGGGTATTAGGTTATGGGGCTAGGGTAAGGTTTAAGGTTTTTGGCGTGAGGGTTAAAATCACTGTCCAAAACCTTTGTAGGAAGTCTTTTCCAACCTTTTGGAGTTAGTTAGACCAAAAAAAAACGAAAAATGAAAAAAAAATATTTGGGGTGTTTGGGCTTCCTGAAGGTATTATGTTTTGGGGCTAGGGTAAGGTTTAAGGTTTTTGGCGTTAGGGTTAAAATCACTGTCCAAAACCTTTTAAGGAACAAGATTCAGACCTTTTGGAGTTGGTTACACCAAAAAAATGTAAAATGAAAAAAAATATATTTGGGGTGTTCGGGCTTCCTGAAGGTAATACCCTTCAGGTTTAAGTATTAGGTTATGGGGCTAGGATTAGGTTTAAGGTTTTTGGCGTAAGGGTTAAAATCACTGTCCAATATTTTTAAGGAACATGTTTCAGACCTTTTGGACATAGTTTAACCAAAAAAAAAAAAAATAGAAAAAATATATATTTGGGGTGTTCGGGCTTCCTGAAGGTAATACCCGAGTATTAGGTTATGGGGCTAGGTTAAGGTTTAAGGTTTTTGGCGTGAGGGTTAAAATCACTGTCCAAAACCTTTGTAGGAAGTCTTTTCCAACCTTTTGGAGTTAGTTAGACAAAAAAAAAAGATAAATGAAAAAAAAATATTTGGGGTGTTCGGGCTTCCTGAAGGTAATACCCGGGTATTAGATTATGGGGCTAGGGTAAGGTTTAAGGTTTTTGGCGTAAGGGTTAAAATCACTGTCCAAAACCTTTTTAGGAACATGTTTCAGACCTTTTGGAGTTGGTTACACCAAAAAAAATGTAAAATGAAAAAAAAAATATTTGGGGTGTTCGGGCTTCCTGAAGGTAATACCCTTCAGGTTTAAGTATTAGGTTATGGGGCTAGGATTAGGTTTAAGGTTTTTGGCGTAAGGGTTAAAATCACTGTCCAATATTTTTTAAGGAACATGTTTCAGACCTTTTGGACATAGTTTAACCAAAAAAAAAAAGAAATAGAAAAAATATATATTTGGGGTGTTCGGGCTTCCTGAAGGTAATACCCGAGTATTAGGTTATGGGGCTAGGTTAGGGTTTAAGGTTTTTGGCGTGAGGGTTAAAATCACTGTCCAAAACCTTTGTAGGAAGTCTTTTCCAACCTTTTGGAGTTAGTTAGACAAAAAAAAAAAAAAGATAAATGAAAAAAAAATATTTGGGGTGTTCGGGCTTCCTGAAGGTAATACCCGGGTATTAGGTTATGGGGCTAGGGTAAGGTTTAAGGTTTTTGGCGTAAGGGTTAAAATCACTGTCCAAAACCTTTTTAGGAACATGTTTCAGACCTTTTGGAGTTGGTTACACCAAAAAAAAATGTAAAATGAAAAAAATTTTTTGGGGTGTTCGGGCTTCCTGAAGGTAATACTAGGTTTCTGGGCTAGGGTAAGGTTTAAAGTTTTTGGCGTTAGGGTTAAAATCAATGTCCAAAACCTTTGTAGGAACTCTTTTCCAACCTTTGAGAGCAAGTTAGACCAAAACAAAAAGAAAAATAAAAAATATATATTTGGGGTGTTCGGGCTTCCTGAAGGTAATACCCGGGTATTAGGTTATGGGGCTAGGGTAAGGTTTAAGGTTTTTCGGCGTGAGGGTAAAAATCACTGTCCAAAACCTTTGTAGGAACCCTTTTCCAACCTTTGGGAATTAGTTAGACAAAAAAAAAAAGATAAATGAAAAAAAATATTTGGGGTGTTCAAGCTTCCTGAAGGTAATACCCGGGTAATAGGTTATCGGGCTAGGGTAAGTTTTAAGGTTTTTGGCGTAAGGGTTAAAATCACTGTCCAATATTTTTTAAGGAACATGTTTCAGACCTTTGGGAGTTAGTTAGACAAAAAAAAAAGAAAAAGAAAAAAAAATTATTTGGGGTGTTCGGGTTTCCTGAAGGTAATACCCGGGTATTAGGTTATGGGGCTAGGGTAAGGTTTAAGATTTTTGGCGTTAGGGTTAAAATCACTGTCCAAAACCTTTTAAGGAACAAGATTCAGACCTTTTGGAGTTGGTTACACCAAAAAAAATGTAAAGTGAAAAAAATATATATTTGGGGTGTCCGGGCTTCCTGAAGGTAATACCCGGGTATTAGGGTTATGGGGCTTTCGAAAGGTTTAAGGTTTTTGGCGTGAGGGTTAAAATCACTGTCCAAAACCTTTGTAGGAAGTCTTTTCCAACCTTTTGGAGTTAGTTAGACCAATAAAAAAATGAAAAATGAAAAAAAAAAATTTGGGGTGTTTGGGCTTCCTGAAGGTATTAGGTTTTGGGGCTAGGGTAAGGTTTAAGGTTTTTGGCGTTAGGGTTAAAATCACTGTCCAAAACCTTTTAAGGAACAAGATTCAGACCTTTTGGAGTTGGTTACACCAAAAAAAATGTAAAATGAAAAAAAAAATATTTGGGGTGTTCGGGCTTCCTGAAGGTAATACCCTTCAGGTTTAAGTATTAGGTTATGGGGCTAGGATTAGGTTTAAGGTTTTTGGCGTAAGGGTTAAAATCACTGTCCAATATTTTTTAAGGAACATGTTTCAGACCTTTTGGACATAGTTTAACCAAAAAAAAAAAGAAATAGAAAAAATATATATTTGGGGTGTTCGGGCTTCCTGAAGGTAATACCCGGGTATAAGTTTTGGGGCGATGGTAAGGTTTAAGGTTTTTGGCGTTAGGGTTAAAATCACTGTCCAAAACCTATTTAGGAACATGTTTCAGACCTTTTGGAGTTGGTTAGACCAAAAAAAAAAAAGAAAAAGAAAAAAAAATATTTGGGGTGTTCGGGTTTCCTGAAGGTAATACCCGGGTATTAGGTTATGGGGCTAGGGTAAGTTTTAAGGTTTTTGGCGTTAGGGTTAAAATCACTGTCCAAAACCTTTTTAGGAACATGTTTAAGACCTTTTGGAGTTGGTTCCACCAAAAAAATGTAAAATGAAAAAAATATATATTTGGGGTGTTCGGGATTCCTGAAGGTAATACCCGGGTATTAGGTTATGGGGCTAGGTTAAGGTTTAAGGTTTTTGGCGTGAGGGTTAAAATCACTGTCCAAAACCTTTGTAGGAAGTCTTTTCCAACCTTTTGGAGTTAGTTAGACAAAAAAAAAAAAAGATAAATGAAAAAAAAATATTTGGGGTGTTCGGGCTTCCTGAAGGTAATACCCGGGTATTAGGTTATGGGGCTAGGGTAAGGTTTAAGGTTTTTGGCGTAAGGGTTAAAATCACTGTCCAAAACCTTTTTAGGAACATGTTTCAGACCTTTTGGAGTTGGTTACACCAAAAAAAATGTAAAATGAAAAAAAAAAATATTTGGGGTGTTCGGGCTTCCTGAAGGTAATAGGTTTTGGGGCTAGGGTAAGGTTTAAGGTTTTTGGCGTTAGGGTTAAAATCACTGTCCAAAACCTTTTAAGGAACAAGATTCAGACCTTTTGGAGTTGGTTACACCAAAAAAAAAATGTAAAATGAAAAAAAAATATTTGGGGTGTTCAAGCTTCCTGAAGGTAATACCCGGGTATTAGGTTATGGGGCTAGGGTAAGTTTTAAGGTTTTTGGCGTAAGGGTTAAAATCACTGTCCAAAACCTTTTTAGGAACATGTTTCCTAAAAAGGAAACATGTCCAAAACCTTTGTAGGAAGTCTTTTCCAACCTTTTGGAGTTAGTTAGACCAAAAGAAAAAACGAAAAATGAAAAAAAGATATTTGGGGTGTTCGGGCTTCCTGAAGGTAATACCCGGGTAATAGGTTATCGGGCTAGGGTAAGTTTTAAGGTTTTTGGCGTTAGGGTTAAAATCACTGTCCAAAACCTTTGTAGGAACTCTTTTCCAACCTTTTGGAGTTAGTTAGACCAAAAGAAAAAATTAAAAATGAAAAAAAGATATTTGGGGTGTTCGGGCTTCCTGAAGGTAATACCCGGGTATTAGGTTTTGGGGCTAGGGTAAGGTTTAAGGTTTTTGGTGTTAGGGTTAAAATCCACTGTCCAAATCCTTTGTAGGAACTCTTTTCCAACCTTTTGGAGTTAGTCAGACCAAAAAAACTAGGGCCCCGTTGGGGCACTGGCGGGACCGAGCCGCGTCGCGTCGCCCTCAGCGCGACCGCCTCCCCCTCGCGATTGCGTCACACTCAAGGTCCAAAGATGGTGTGCGCACCTGTCTTTGGTCTTTTACCATTATAATGAATGGGAGGCGCAGTTTCTACCAAAACACTCGCTGCAGACAAACTACATGTCCTATATGAAAAAAGTCTGGACCATGAGTGAGGGCACAAACACAGCTAGGATATATCCAAATGGCAAGTTGCTCCTCCTTACGGTGTTGCCGGGAGAGCGATGCGTTTCAGCCATTGAGCAACACGCAAGAAAAATAAAATTTCTCCTGCCATGGGGGGTAAGGAAAATGACCAATTCTTTTTTATCAAACATTATAATATATATTATATATTGCAGGGCATCAAAGTCTTGAATATGTGAGAGATAAGTAATATGATTGACTTTGATGCCTTTTAACTTTTTCTGTAGCATCAGATTTAATAGACAACTCCCTTTGGCGCCCCTCCGTGGCCATAACTACTTTGTCTGCTGTTAATAGACAGCTCCCTTTGGCGCCACTCAGTGGCCAAAATTACTTTGTCTGCTGTAAAATCATATTGGATTAATATTTTTTCCAGATTTTTTTTTGTACATCTCTTATTTTACTTCTGCCCTGTTCAAAACTAGCAAATGTTTCATTGAAAATAATTTTTTGTAACCCTTTAAGAGCCCATTTAAGACATAAAGTCACTAATATAGCAAAAATGTGAGCCTTTTAACTTTTTCTGTAGCATCAGATTTAATAGACAACTCCCTTTGGCGCCCCTCAGTGGCCATATCTACTTTGTCTGCTGTTAATAGACAGCTCCTTTGGCGCCACTCAGTGGCCAAAATTACTTTGTCTGCTGTAAAATCATATTGGATTAATATTTTTTCCAGATTTTTTTTTGTACATCTCTTATTTTACTTCTGCCCTGTTCAAAACTAGCAAATGTTTCATTGAAAATAATTTTTTGTAACCCTTTAAGAGCCCATTTAAGACATAAAGTCACTAATATAGCAAAAATGTGAGCCTTTTAACTTTTTCTGTAGCATCAGATTTAATAGACAACTCCCTTTGGCGCCCCTCAGTGGCCATATCTACTTTGTCTGCTGTTAATAGACAACTCCCTTTGGCGCCACTCAGTGGCCAAAACTACTTTGTCTGCTGTAAAATCAAATTGGATTCATATTTTTTCCAGATTTTTCTTTTGTACATCTCTTATCTTACTTCTGCCCTGTTCAAAACTAGCAAATGTTTCATTGAAAATAATTTTTTGTAACCCTTTAAGAGTCCATTTAAGACATAAAGTCACTAATATAGCAAAAATGTGAGCCTTTTAACTTTTTCTGTAGCATCAGATTTAATAGACAACTCCCTTTGGCGCCCCTCAGTGGCCATATCTACTTTGTCTGCTGTTAATAGACAACTCCCTTTGGCGCCACTCAGTGGCCAAAACGACTTTTAAGAATGTGGATTTTTGGGTCATCTTTGGCGCCCCCTAGAACGTAAACCGTGGGATGCAGCGTCATGATTTTTACAACTTTGAATGGCCATGGGGTGTAGATTGGCCTGAGCAAATTTGGTGTCGGTGGGACGAAAGCCTTAGGAGGAGTTAGTCACATTCCAATGTGTGCGAATCGGCAAAAAAATGCGAAATAGCCCTTTAACCGTACATTTTACAGACACGTGCCCATTGACTTTTTCATAGATCTTATTGAGATACACGTGATTGTCAAATTTTGTGTCAATATGACAAAGCGTATAGGCGTGACACTCAACAATGTGTATTTTCACCTTAGGGGACAAGAAAAAATTGAATTTTTTCTCCTGCAATGGGGGGCGCTCTTTTGGGGAGTAAAAATTCCTTCACAAATGTGTTGATGGCTGGACATTGCATCATCCTAGAAAATTCAAAGATCACAAAACAGCACAATCTCAAGTTCAAACACGACACAAACTCAGGTTCAACAAACACACAAACTCAAGTTTAACCAATACCCAATTCTCACGTTTAACAATTTCCACAACCTCAAGTTCAAACACGACACAAACTCAAGTTCAAACACGACACAAACTCAAGTTCAAACAACACCCAAATATCAAGTTTAACATCTGCCAACACCTCAAGTTCAAAAACACCACAAACTCAAGTTCTAAATGACAAAAACTCAAGTTCAACAAACACACGAACTCAAGTTCAACCAATGCCCACTTTGCAAGTTTAACAATTTCCACAACCTCAAGTTGTGGAAAAACAAAAACTCAAGTTCAGACACACCACAAACTCAAGTTAGAAAAACACACAGACTCAAGTTCAACCAACACCTAAGTCACAAGTTTAACAATTGCCACAAACTTCAGTTCAAAAAACACAAAAGCTCAAGATCAAAAACACCACAAACTCAAGTTCAAACACGATTCACAAACTCAAGTTCAACCAAATCCCAAATCTCAAGTTTAACAATTTCCACAACCTCAAGTTCAAAACCAACAGAAACTCAAGTTCAAACACGCCACAAACTCAAGTACAACAAACGCCACAAACTCAAGTTCAACAATTGCCACCAAGTAAAGTTCAGAGAAAAATACAGACTCAAGGTTAGCAATTGCCACAAACTCAAGTTCATCAAACACCACAAGCTTAAGTTAAAAAAATGACCAATATTCACATTAAACAATTGCCAAAAACCCAAGTTCAACATACTCAAGTTCAAAAATTGCAAAAAACTCAGGTTCAAAAAATACACAAATTCAAGTTCAAAAACACCACAAACTCAAGTTCAAAAATGCCGAAACTTAATTTCAACCAACACCCAAATCTCAAGTTTAACAATTGCCACAACCTCATGTTCAAAAACAACAGAAACTCAAATTCAAAAACACCAAAAACTCAAGTTAAAAAACCCCCACACAAATTCAAGATCACAAAACAGCACAATCTCAAGTTCAAACAAGACACAAACTCAGGTTCAACAAACACACAAGCTCAAGATAAACCAATACCCAATTCTCACGTTTAACAATTTCCACAACCTCAAGTTCAAATACAACACAAACTCAGGTTCAAACACGACACAAACTCAAGTGCAAAAACACCACAAACTCAAGTTCAACAATTGCCACCAACTAAAGTTCGGAGAAAATACAGACTCAAGTTCAACAATTGCCACAAACTCAAGTTCAACAAACACCACAATCTTAAGTTCAACAAATTCCAAAATTTCAAGTTCAACAAATGACCTAAACTCACACTTAACAATTGCCAAAAACTAAAGTTCAACAAACTCAAGTTAAAAAAGTGCCACAAAATGAAGTTCAAAAACACCACAAACTCAAGTTCAAAAAACACAAAAACTCAAGTTCAAAAACACCACAAACTCAATTTCAAACACGATACAAACTCAAGTTCAACAAACACCACAAACTCAAGTTCAACAAATGTCACAGTTTCAAGTTCAACCAACACCCGATTCTCAGGTTTAACAATTTCCACAACCTCAAATTCAAAAAACACACAAACTCAAGTTCAAAAACACCAGAACCTCAAGTTCAAAAAACATAATAAACTCAAGTTCAAATATTCCACAAACTCAAGTTCAATGAACACCACAAACTCAAGTTCAACCAACACCCGATTCTCAAGTTTAACAATTGCCACAACCTCAAGTTAAAAAAAACACAAACTCAAGTTCAAACACTTCACAAACTCAAGTTCAACAAACGCCACAAGCTCAAGTTCAACAAACGCCACAAACTCAAGTTCAACAATGCCACCAACTAAAGTTCACTAAAAACCAAAGACTCAAGTTCAACAATTGCCAAAAAATCAAGCGAAACAAACTCAAGTTCATAAGTTGTCACAAACTTCAAACATGACACAAACTCAAGTTCAAAAACACCACAAACTCAAGTTCAAAAAGACACAAACTCAAGTTCAACAAACAAAACTAACTGTTTAGAGTAATTTTGAGGTGTTTGAGAGGTTTTTTGTAGACTTACCCTAGTGGTCCTATGTTGTTGTTGATGTGAGGCGTTTCTTTTCCAGTAGTCTAAAATCTGTTGGAGGGGGAAAAGGTTCCAGCTGTCCAGCCGCGGCGGCAGCGGTGTGTCTGAAGTCCGGGGTCATCGGCGGGGGAAAGAAGATAGGCGCTCCGCGGCAAGGTTTGCTGGGACTCGGTGCCGTTGGCGGGTCGAAGCTCGGTGGTGGGCGGCTTGGAGTGATGGAGGTGCGGCGTCTTCTTTCAGGTGGTGGGGCGGCGTCTTCCTCGAGGCGGTGGTCGGTCTTCTTGGTCCAGTGGTCAGTGCTTTGTCTCAATAGCAGGAACAGGAATTGCTCTTTAGTGCACAGCACTTAAATGTGCTTTTGACAGGAGAAGACATCCCCAGAGTTGGGCTCAAGTCATGGTTTGTGCTGTTCCTCTCAGACATGGTTGTGTTCTCTTCTCGATGTTTGTATTCCAGAATGGATGTCTCTTGGTTGTATTTTAAACTTTCAAGTTGTTTTAAGTTAATTTTAATGTAGTTTATTTGTTTTAAATTTAGTTTTGCTACATTAAATTTGTATGCAATCGTAAGGGATTGTGGGTATTTTAGTTCTGAGGGATGAGAGCCTAAGGAATCAATCTTCCTGTTACAGCAAAGGATTGTGGGTAAAACCGTGAGTGAGTGAGGTACTTCCTTTCTGCCATGAGAGCCTTGGGAATCAATCTCCCTGTTGCAGCAAAGGATTGTGGGTAAAACCGTGAGTGAGGGAGGTACATTTTTCCTGGCATGAGAACCTCAGGAGTCAGTCCTTCCTAAGAAAAAAGAGGGGAGGGGGAAGACAAACAAAAGCACAGGAACCCTAAAATGAAATAAAATAAAATAAAATAAAATAATATAAAACAATGAAAAAATAAAAAATAAAAGAACAAAAGTGGATTGCAAAAGGGAAAGGAGAAGAAAAAAGGAAAAAAAGAAGTGTCAAGAGCAAATAGCAAAAAACAGAAGTGAGCTTAAAAACAGAGAACAGTTCCCTAAAAGACAGACAGAAATGTAAATTTGATCAATGTCCTAAGGGAAAATCTGCACGTGTATGTGTGTTCTTTTTTACTAGCTTAGTCTGGTGTCACTGATGGTCAGTTATCAATAAGTATTTATTATTTAAATTTTTGATGAAGTTGTTTGTAGTGGGGTCAGCTGGCTAATTTTAGTGTGTTAAAAAAGATGTTAGAGGGGGAGGATTTAGGTGGCATGGCGGTTCCCCTTCAGGTCTCTCTTAATCCTCAATATAGGTGACCCAACAGGGGTTACCCCCGGCCGGGGTAGGCCGAGGCTGAAGATCACCTATTTGTCCTCTGTGAAGGTGAAAATAAAGGGGCAGGGGAGGGAATAAGAAAGAGGGGGGTGTTAGGGGAGAGATGAGGAGAGAGAGAGAGAGAGAGAGGGGGGGGGGTGGAGAGAGAGAGAGAGAGAGAGAGAGAGAGAGAGAGAGAGAGAGAGAGAGAGAGAGAGAAGGGAAGAGGGAGAGGGGGTTTAAGGGAGAGGTGGAGATGGTGGAAAATAAAGATTGGTGAGGGGGATTTGGTGGCGGATGAAACATTCCATAGCTCCCCAGCTCTCACCATCCATGTGAGGAGAGTGAGCAAGGGACATAGTCACCCGACCCGACTAGGTCTAGGCTCTGCTCTCCTCACGGTCCTCACAAGATACAAAGAGATATGTAAACGTGGAAGTGAGAGTTCTCTAGGCAGAGTTTTGGGTTTGGTTTGAGCTGAGTTGGTCAGTTGATTATTGATTACTATTTTAAGTTCTAAAAGTGGATAGAGTCAAAAAGTCACAGAGGATTGTGGTGGGAGCAGGTGGTCCATCTGGCACCATTCTGCTCATGCAGGGATTCGAGTGATAGAAAGAGAATAGATCTTGCCACCGTGACTCGCCATTGAGACTCTCCTCACCTGCTGGTTTTCATCCTCTGATAGGAGAGAGAGGTACAGATCAGGAGAGAGGGAGAAAAGGAGGGAGGCAGGGTGGGGTCAGGAGTTAATTTGTCTTGAAAAGTATTTATCTTTTCATCATTGCTGTTAGGGTTTAGATGTTTTTTGTTTAGTTTTCTGAGGAATGTAGTGTTAGTATAGGTTCCAAGGTGGAGGATTCTTTGGAATTCACTCTCACCCTTGAAACTGGAAGATCTTAGATTCTATAAAGGGGGGGGGGGGGGTGAGAGGTTGTGTGCACAGAAGGAGCATGGGCTCAGACTATTCTCGGAATGATATTGTGACAAGTCTGTCCGAAGGTAAGTGGCTGGTTAGGTGTGGGAAAGAGATAGAGTGATAGCCCCCGCTTTCGTCAGTTGACTTGGCGGGCTTCCTGAAGGTAATACCCGGGTATTAGGTTATAGGGCTAGGGTAAGGTTTAAGGTTTTTGGCATATGGGTTAAAATCACTGTCCAAAACCTTTTTAGGAACATGTTTCAGACCTTTTGGAGTTGGTTACACCAAAAAAAAATGTAAAATGAAAAAAATTTTTTTTGGGGTGTTCGGGCTTTCTGAAGGTAATACTAGGTTATGGGGCTAGGGTAATGTTTAAGGTTTTTGGGGTTAGGGTTAAAATCAATGTCCAAAACCTTTGTAGGAACTCTTTTCCAACCTTTGAGAGCAAGTTAGACCAAAACAAAAAGAAAAAAAAAATATATATATTTGGGGTGTTCGGGCTTCCTGAAGGTAATACCCGGGTATTAGGTTATGGGGCTAGGGTAAGGTTTAAGGTTTTTCGGCGTGAGGGTAAAAATCACTGTCCAAAACCTTTGTAGGAACTCTTTTCCAACCTTTTGGAATTAGTTAGACAAAAAAAAAAGATAAATGAAAAAAAAAGGTTTGGGGTGTTCGGGCTTCCTGAAGGTAATACCCGGGTATTAGGTTTTGGGGCTAGGGTTAGGTTTAAGGTTTTTGGCGTTAGGGTTAAAATCACTGTCCAATATTTTTTAAGGAACATGTTTCAGACCTTTTGGAGTTAGTTAGACAAAAAAAAAAAGATAAATGAAAAAAAAATATTTGGGGTGTTCGGGCTTCCTGAAGGTAATACCCGGGTATTAGGTTATGGGGCTAGGGTAAGGTTTAAGGTTTTTGGCGTTAGAGTTAAAATCAGTGTCCAAAACCTTTTTAGGAACATGTTTAAGACCTTTTGGAGTTGGTTACACCAAAAAAAAAAAGGAAAATGAAAAAAAAAATATTTGGGGTGTTCGAGCTTCCTGAAGGTAATACCCGGGTATTACGTTTTGGGGCTAGGGTAAGGTTTAAGGTTTTTGGTGTTAGGGTTAAAATCACTGTCCAAAACCTTTGTAGGAACTCTTTTCCGACCTTTTGGAGTTAGTTAGACCAAATAAACAGAAAAAAGAAAAAAATATATTTGGGGTCTTCGGGCTTCCTGAAGGAAATACCCAGGTATTAGGTTATGGGGCTAGGGTAAGGTTTAAGGTTTTTGGCGTTAGGGTTAAAATCAGTGTCCAAAACCTTTTTAGGAACATGTTTAAGACCTTTTGGAGTTGGTTACACCAAAAAAAATGTAAAATGCAAAAAAAAAATATTTGGGGTTTTTGGGCTTCCTGAAGGTAATACCCAGGTATTAGGTTTTGGGGCTAGGGTTAGGTTTAAGGTATTTGGCGTTAGGGTTAAAATCACTGTCCAAAACCTTTTTAGGAACATGTTTCAGACCTTTTGGAGTTGGTTACACCAAAAAAAAAATGTAAAATGAAAAAAAAATATTTGGGGTGTTCAAGCTTCCTGAAGGTAATACCCGGGTATTAGGTTATGGGGCTAGGGTAAGGTTAAAGGTTTTTGGAGTTAGAGTTAAAATCAGTGTCCAAAACCTTTTTAGGAACATGTTTAAGACCTTTTGGAGTTGGTTACACCAAAAAAAAAATGTAAAATGAAAAAAAAAAAATTTGGGGTGTTCGGGCTTCCTGAAGGTAATACCCGGGTATTAGGTTTTGGGGCTAGGGTAAGGTTTAAGGTTTTTGGCGTTAGGGTTAAAATCACTGTCCAAAACCTTTGTAGGAACTCTTTTCTGACCTTTTGGAGTTAGTTAGACCAAAAAAAATGAAAAAAGAAAAAAATATATTTGGGGTGTTCGGGCTTCCTGAAGGTAATACCCGGGTATTAGGTTATGGGGCTAGGGTAAGGTTTAAGGTTTTTGGCGTTAGGGTTAAAATCACTGTCCAAAACCTTTTTAGGAACATGTTTCAGACCTTTTGGAGTTGGTTACACCAAAAAAAATGTAAAATGAAAAAAATATATATTTGGGGTGTTCGGGCTTCCTGAAGGTAATACCCGGGTATTAGGGTTATGGGGCTTTGGAAAGGTTTAAGGTTTTTGGCGTGAGGGTTAAAATCACTGTCCAAAACCTTTGTAGGAAGTCTTTTCCAACCTTTTGGAGTTAGTTAGACCAATAAAAAAATGAAAAATGAAAAAAAAAAATTTGGGGTGTTCGGGCTTCCTGAAGGTATTAGGTTTTGGGGCTAGGGTAAGGTTTAAGGTTTTTGGCGTTAGGGTTAAAATCACTGTCCAAAACCTTTTAAGGAACAAGATTCAGACCTTTTGGAGTTGGTTACACCAAAAAAAATGTAAAATGAAAAAAAAATATTTGGGGTGTTCGGGATTCCTGAAGGTAATACCCTTCAGGGTAAGTATTAGGTTATGGGGCTAGGATAAGGTTTAAGGTTTTTGGCATAAGGGTTAAAATCACTGTCCAATATTTTTTAAGGAACATGTTTCAGACCTTTTGGAGCTAGTTTGACCAAAAAAAAAAAGAAAAAGAAAAAATATTTATTTGGGGTGTTCGGGCTTCCTGAAGGTAATACCCGGGTATTAGGTTATGGGGCTAGGTTAAGGTTTAAGGTTTTTGGCGTGAGGGTTAAAATCACTGTCCAAAACCTTTGTAGGAAGTCTTTTCCAACCTTTTGGAGTTAGTTAGACAAAAAAAAAAAGATAAATGAAAAAAATATATTTGGGGTGTTCGGGCTTCCTGAAGGTAATACCCGGGTATTAGGTTATGGGGCTAGGGTAAGGTTTAAGGTTTTTGGCGTAAGGGTTAAAATCACTGTCCAAAACCGTTTTAGGAACATGTTTCAGACCTTTTGGAGTTGGTTACACCAAAAAAAAAAGTAAAATGAAAAAAAAATATTTGGTGTGTTCAAGCTTCCTGAAGGTAATACCCGGGTATTAGGTTATGGGGCTAGGGTAAGGTTTAAGGTTTTTGGCGTAAGGGTTAAAATCACTGTCCAAAACCTTTGTAGGACCTCTTTTCCAACCTTTTGGTGTTAGTTAGACCAAAAAAAAACGAAAAATGAAAAAAAAATATTTGGGGTGTTCGGGCTTCCTGAAGGTAATAGGTTTCTGGGCTAGGGTAATGTTTAACGTTTTTGGCGTTAGGGTTCAAATCAATGTCCAAAACCTTTGTAGGAACTCTTTTCCAACCTTTGAGAGCAAGTTAGACCAAAACAAAAAGAAAAATAAAAAATATATATTTGGGGTGTTCGGGCTTCCTGAAGGTAATACCTGGGTATTAGGTTTTGGGGCTAGGGTTAGGTTTAAGGTTTTTGGCGTTAGGGTTAAAATAACTGTCCAATATTTTTTAAGGAACATGTTTCAGACCTTTGGGAGTTAGTTAGACAAAAAAAAAGAAAAAGAAAAAAAAATTATTTGGGGTGTTCGGGTTTCCTGAAGGTAATACCCGGGTATTAGGTTATGGGGCTAGGGTAAGGTTTAAGGTTTTTGGCGTTAGAGTTAAAATCAGTGTCCAAAACCTTTTTAGGAACATGTTTAAGACCTTTTGGAGTTGGTTACACCAAAAAAAATGTAAAATGAAAAAAAAATATTTGGGGTGTTCGGGCTTCCTGAAGGTAATACCCGGGTATTAGGTTATGGGGCTAGGGTAAGGTTTAAGGTTTTTGGCGTGAGGGTTAAAATCACTGTCCAAAACCTTTGTAGGACCTCTTTTCCAACCTTTTGGTGTTAGTTAGACCAAAAAAAAACGAAAAATGAAAAAAAAATATTTGGGGTTTTTGGGCTTCCTGAAGGTAATACCCGGGTATTAGGTTATGGGGCTTTGGAAAGGTTTAAGGTTTTTGGCGTGAGGGTTAAAATCACTGTCCAAAACCTTTGTAGGAAGTCTTTTCCAACCTTTTGGAGTTAGTTAGACCAATAAAAAAATGAAAAATGAAAAAAAAAAATTTGGGGTGTTTGGGCTTCCTGAAGGTATTATGTTTTGGGGCTAGGGTAAGGTTTAAGGTTTTTGGCGTTAGGGTTAAAATCACTGTCCAAAACCTTTTAAGGAACAAGATTCAGACCTTTTGGAGTTGGTTACACCAAAAAAATGTAAAATGAAAAAAAATATATTTGTGGTGTTCGGGCTTCCTGAAGGTAATACCCTTCAGGTTTAAGTATTAGGTTATGGGGCTAGGATTAGGTTTAAGGTTTTTGGCGTAAGGGTTAAAATCACTGTCCAAAACCTTTTTAGGAACATGTTTCAGACCTTTTGGACATAGTTTAACCAAAAAAAAAAAGAAATAGAAAAAATATATATTTGGGGTGTTCGGGCTTCCTGAAGGTAATACCCGGGTATTAGGTTATGGGGCTAGGTTAAGGTTTAAGGTTTTTGGCGTGAGGGTTAAAATCACTGTCCAAAACCTTTGTAGGAAGTCTTTTCCAACCTTTTGGAGTTATTTAGACAAAAAAAAAAGATAAATGAAAAAAAAATATTTGGGGTGTTCGGGCTTCCTGAAGGTAATACCCGGGTATTAGGTTATGGGGCTAGGGTAAGGTTTAAGGTTTTTGGCGTAAGGGTTAAAATCACTGTCCAAAACCTTTTTAGGAACATGTTTCAGACCTTTTGGAGTTGGTTACACCAAAAAAAATGTAAAATGAAAAAAAAATATTTGGGGTGTTCGGGCTTCCTGAAGGTAATACCCTTCAGGGTAAGTATTATGTTATGGGGCTAGGATAAGGTTTAAGGTTTTTGGCATAAGGGTTAAAATCACTGTCCAATATTTTTTAAGGAACATGTTTCAGACCTTTTGGAGCTAGTTTGACCAAAAAAAAAAAAGAAAAAGAAAAAATATATATATGGGGTGTTCGGGCTTCCTGAAGGTAATACCTGGGTATTAGGTTATGGGGCTAGGTTAAGGTTTAAGGTTTTTGGCGTGAGGGTTAAAATCACTGTCCAAAACCTTTGTAGGAAGTCTTTTCCAACCTTTTGGAGTTAGTTAGACAAAAAAAAAAGATAAATGAAAAAAAAATATTTGGGGTGTTTGGGCTTCCTGAAGGTATTAGGTTTTGGGGCTAGGGTAAGGTTTAAGGTTTTTGGCGTTAGGGTTAAAATCACTGTCCAAAACCTTTTAAGGAACAAGATTCAGACCTTTTGGAGTTGGTTACACCAAAAAAAATGTAAAATGAAAAAAAAATATTTGGGGTGTTCGGGCTTCCTGAAGGTAATACCCTTCAGGGTAAGTATTAGGTTATGGGGCTAGGATAAGGTTTAAGGTTTTTGGCATAAGGGTTAAAATCACTGTCCAATATTTTTTAAGGAACATGTTTCAGACCTTTTGGAGCTAGTTTGACCAAAAAAAAAAAGAAAAAGAAAAAATATATATTTGGGGTGTTCGGGCTTCCTGAAGGTAATACCTGGGTATTAGGTTATGGGGCTAGGTTAAGGTTTAAGGTTTTTGGCGTGAGGGTTAAAATCACTGTCCAAAACCTTTGTAGGAAGTCTTTTCCAACCTTTTGGAGTTAGTTAGACAAAAAAAAAAAGATAAATGAAAAAAAAATATTTGTGGTGTTCGGGCTTCCTGAAGGTAATACCCGGGTATTAGGTTATGGGGCTAGGGTAAGGTTTAAGGTTTTTGGCGTAAGGGTTAAAATCACTGTCCAAAACCGTTTTAGGAACATGTTTCAGACCTTTTGGAGTTGGTTACACCAAAAAAAAATGTAAAATGAAAAAAAAATATTTGGTGTGTTCAAGCTTCCTGAAGGTAATACTCGGGTATTAGGTTATGGGGCTAGGGTAAGGTTTAAGGTTTTTGGCGTAAGGGTTAAAATCACTGTCCAAAACCGTTTTAGGAACATGTTTCAGACCTTTTGGAGTTGGTTACACCAAAAAAAAATGTAAAATGAAAAAAAATTTTTTTGGGGTGTTCGGGCTTCCTGAAGGTAATACTAGGTTTCTGGGCTAGGGTAATGTTTAAGGTTTTTGGCGTTAGGGTTAAAATCAATGTCCAAAACCTTTGTAGGAACTCTTTTCCAACCTTTGAGAGCAAGTTAGACCAAAACAAAAAGAAAAATAAAAAATATATATTTGGGGTGTTCGGGCTTCCTGAAGGTAATACCTGGGTATTAGGTTTTGGGGCTAGGGTTAGGTTTAAGGTTTTTGGCGTTAGGGTTAAAATAACTGTCCAATATTTTTTAAGGAACATGTTTCAGACCTTTGGGAGTTAGTTAGACAAAAAAAAAGAAAAAGAAAAAAAAATTATTTGGGGTGTTCGGGTTTCCTGAAGGTAATACCCGGGTATTAGGTTATGGGGCTAGGGTAAGGTTTAAGGTTTTTGGCGTTAGAGTTAAAATCAGTGTCCAAAACCTTTTTAGGAACATGTTTAAGACCTTTTGGAGTTGGTTACACCAAAAAAAATGTAAAATGAAAAAAATATATATTTGGGGTGTTCGGGCTTCCTGAAGGTAATACCCGGGTATTAGGTTATGGGGCTAGGGTAAGGTTTAAGGTTTTTGGCGTGAGGGTTAAAATCACTGTCCAAAACCTTTGTAGGAAGTCTTTTCCAACCTTTTGGAGTTAGTTAGACCAAAAAAAAACGAAAAATGAAAAAAAAATATTTGTGGTGTTCGGGCTTCCTGAAGGTAATACCCGGGTATTAGGTTATGGGGCTAGGGTAAGGTTTAAGGTTTTTGGCGTAAGGGTTAAAATCACTGTCCAAAACCGTTTTAGGAACATGTTTCAGACCTTTTGGAGTTGGTTACACCAAAAAAAAATGTAAAATGAAAAAAAAATATTTGGGGTGTTCGGGCTTCCTGAAGGTAATACCCGGGTATTAGGTTATGGGGCTAGGGTAAGGTTTAAGGTTTTTGGCGTAAGGGTTAAAATCACTGTCCAAAACCTTTTTAGGAACATGTTTCAGACCTTTTGGAGTTGGTTACACCAAAAAAAATGTAAAATGAAAAAAAAAAATTTTGGGGTGTTCGGGCTTCCTGAAGGTAATACTAGGTTTCTGGGCTAGGGTAATGTTTAACGTTTTTGGCGTTAGGGTTCAAATCAATGTCCAAAACCTTTGTAGGAACTCTTTTCCAACCTTTGAGAGCAAGTTAGACCAAAACAAAAAGAAAAATAAAAAATATATATTTGGGGTGTTCGGGCTTCCTGAAGGTAATACCCGGGTATTAGGTTTTGGGGCTAGGGTTAGGTTTAAGGTTTTTGGCGTTAGGGTTAAAATAACTGTCCAATATTTTTTAAGGAACATGTTTCAGACCTTTTGGAGTTAGTTAGACAAAAAAAAAAGAAAAAGAAAAAAAAATATTTGGGGTGTTCGGGCTTCCTGAAGGTAATACCCGGGTATTAGGTTATGGGGCTAGGGTAAGGTTTAAGGTTTTTGGCGTTAGAGTTAAAATCACTGTCCAAAACCTTTTTAGGAACATGTTTAAGACCTTTTGGAGTTGGTTACACCAAAAAAAAATGTAAAATGAAAAAAAAAATATTTGGGGTGTTCGGGCTTCCTGAAGGTAATACCCGGGTATTAGGTTATGGGGCTAGGGTAAGGTTTAAGGTTTTTGGCGTTAGGGTTAAAATCACTGTCCAAAACCTTTGTAGGAAGTCTTTTCCAACCTTTTGGAGTTAGTTAGACCAAAAGAAAAAACGAAAAATGAAAAAAAAATATTTGGGGTGTTTGGGCTTCCTGAAGGTATTAGGTTATGGGGCTAGGGTAAGGTTTAAGGTTTTTGGCGTTAGGGTTAAAATCACTGTCCAAAACCTTTTAAGGAACAAGATTCAGACCTTTTGGAGTTGGTTACACCAAAAAAAATGTAAAATGAAAAAAAATATATTTGGGGTGTTCGGGCTTCCTGAAGGTAATACCCGGGTATTAGGTTATGGGGCTAGGGTAAGGTTTAAGGTTTTTGGCGTAAGGGTTAAAATCACTGTCCAAAACCTTTTTAGGAACATGTTTCAGACCTTTTGGACATAGTTTAACCAAAAAAAAAAAAGAAATAGAAAAAATATATATTTGGGGTGTTCGGGCTTCCTGAAGGTAATACCCGGGTATTAGGTTATGGGGCTAGGGTAAGGTTTAAGGTTTTTGGCGTGAGGGTTAAAATCACTGTCCAAAACCTTTGTAGGAAGTCTTTTCCAACCTTTTGGAGTTAGTTAGACAAAAAAAAAAGATAAATGAAAAAAAAATATTTGGGGTGTTCGGGCTTCCTGAAGGTAATACCCGGGTATTAGGTTATGGGGCTAGGGTAAGGTTTAAGGTTTTTGGCGTAAGGGTTAAAATCACTGTCCAAAACCTTTTTAGGAACATGTTTCAGACCTTTTGGAGTTGGTTACACCAAAAAAAATGTAAAATGAAAAAAAAATATTTGGGGTGTTCGGGCTTCCTGAAGGTAATACCCTTCAGGTTTAAGTATTAGGTTATGGGGCTAGGGTAAGGTTTAAGGTTTTTGGCGTTAGGGTTAAAATCACTGTCCAAAACCTTTTTAGGAACATGTTTCAGACCTTTTGGACATAGTTTAACCAAAAAAAAAAAAAAAGAAATAGAAAAAATATATATTTGGGGTGTTCGGGCTTCCTGAAGGTAATACCCGGGTATTAGGTTATGGGGCTAGGGTAAGGTTTAAGGTTTTTGGCGTGAGGGTTAAAATCACTGTCCAAAACCTTTGTAGGAACTCTTTTCCAACCTTTTGGAGTTAGTTAGACAAAAAAAAAAAGATAAAAAAAAAAAAATATTTGGGGTGTTCGGGCTTCCTGAAGGTAATACCCGGGTATTAGGTTTTGGGGCTAGGGTTAGGTTTAAGGTTTTTGGCGTTAGGGTTAAAATCACTGTCCAAAACCTTTTTAGGAACATGTTTAAGACCTTTGGGAGTTAGTTAGACAAAAAAAAAAAAAAGATAAATGAAAAAAAAATATTTGGGGTGTTCGGGCTTCCTGAAGGTAATACCCGGGTATTAGGTTATGGGGCTAGGGTAAGGTTTAAGGTTTTTGGCGTTAGAGTTAAAATCAGTGTCCAAAACCTTTTTAGGAACATGTTTAAGACCTTTTGGAGTTGGTTACACCAAAAAAAAAAAGGAAAATGAAAAAAAAAATATTTGGGGTGTTCGAGCTTCCTGAAGGTAATACCCGGGTATTACGTTTTGGGGCTAGGGTAAGGTTTAAGGTTTTTGGTGTTAGGGTTAAAATCACTGTCCAAAACCTTTGTAGGAACTCTTTTCCGACCTTTTGGAGTTAGTTAGACCAAATAAACAGAAAAAAGAAAAAAATATATTTGGGGTGTTCGGGCTTCCTGAAGGTAATACCCGGGTATTAGGTTATGGGGCTAGGGTAAGGTTTAAGGTTTTTGGCGTTAGGGTTAAAATCACTGTCCAAAACCTTTTTAGGAACATGTTTAAGACCTTTTGGAGTTGGTTACACCAAAAAAAATGTAAAATGAAAAAAAAAATATTTGGGGTTTTCGGGCTTCCTGAAGGTAATACCCGGGTATTAGGTTATGGGGCTAGGGTAAGGTTTAAGGTTTTTGGCGTTAGGGTTAAAATCACTGTCCAAAACCTTTTTAGGAACATGTTTAAGACCTTTTGGAGTTGGTTACACCAAAAAAAAAATGTAAAATGAAAAAAAAAATATTTGGGGTGTTCGGGCTTCCTGAAGGTAATACCCGGGTATTAGGTTATGGGGCTAGGGTAAGGTTTAAGGTTTTTGGCGTTAGAGTTAAAATCAGTGTCCAAAACCTTTTTAGGAACATGTTTAAGACCTTTTGGAGTTGGTTACACCAAAAAAAATGTAAAATGAAAAAAAAAAAAATTTGGGGTGTTCGGGCTTCCTGAAGGTAATACCCGGGTATTAGGTTATGGGGCTAGGGTAAGGTTTAAGGTTTTTGGTGTTAGGGTTAAAATCACTGTCCAAAACCTTTGTAGGAACTCTTTTCTGACCTTTTGGAGTTAGTTAGACCAAAAAAAAAGAAAAAAGAAAAAAATATATTTGGGGTGTTCGGGCTTCCTGAAGGTAATACCCGGGTATTAGGTTATGGGGCTAGGGTAAGGTTTAAGGTTTTTGGCGTTAGGGTTAAAATCACTGTCCAAAACCTTTTTAGGAACATGTTTCAGACCTTTTGGAGTTGGTAACACCAAAAATAAATGTAAAATGAAAAAAAAATATTTGGGGTGTTCGGGTTCCCTGAAGGTAATACCCGGGTATTAGGTTTTGGGGCTAGGGTAAGGTTTAAGGTTTTTGACGTTAGGGTTAAAATCACTGTCCAAAACCTTTTAAGGAACAAGATTCAGACCTTTTGGAGTTGGTTGCACCAAAAAAAATGTAAAATGAAAAAAAAAATAGTTGGGGTGTTCGGGCTTCCTGAAGGTAATACCCTTCAGGTTTAAGTATTAGGTTATGGGGCTAGGATTAGGTTTAAGGTTTTTGGCGTAAGGGTTAAAATCACTGTCCAATATTTTTAAGGAACATGTTTCAGACCTTTTGGACATAGTTTAACCAAAAAAAAAAAAGAAATAGAAAAAATATATATTTGGGGTGTTCGGGCTTCCTGAAGGTAATACCCGGGTATTAGGTTATGGGGCTAGGGTAAGGTTTAAGGTTTTTGGCGTGAGGGTTAAAATCACTGTCCAAAACCTTTGTAGGAACTCTTTTCCAACCTTTTGGAATTAGTTAGACAAAAAAAAAAAGATAAATGAAAAAAAAAGGTTTGGGGTGTTCGGGCTTCCTGAAGGTAATACCCGGGTATTAGGTTTTGGGGCTAGGGTTAGGTTTAAGGTTTTTGGCGTTAGGGTTAAAATCACTGTCCAATATTTTTTAAGGAACATGTTTCAGACCTTTTGGAGTTAGTTAGACAAAAAAAAAAAGATAAATGAAAAAAAAATATTTGGGGTGTTCGGGCTTCCTGAAGGTAATACCCGGGTATTAGGTTATGGGGCTAGGGTAAGGTTTAAGGTTTTTGGCGTTAGAGTTAAAATCACTGTCCAAAACCTTTTTAGGAACATGTTTAAGACCTTTTGGAGTTGGTTACACCAAAAAAAAAAAAGGAAAATGAAAAAAAAAATATTTGGGGTGTTCGGGCTTCCTGAAGGTAATACCCGGGTATTAGGTTTTGGGGCTAGGGTAAGGTTTAAGGTTTTTGGCGTTAGGGTTAAAATCACTGTCCAAAACCTTTGTAGGAACTCTTTTCCGACCTTTTGGAGTTAGTTAGACCAAATAAACAGAAAAAAGAAAAAAATATATTTGGGGTCTTCGGGCTTCCTGAAGGAAATACCCGGGTATTAGGTTATGGGGCTAGGGTAAGGTTTAAGGTTTTTGGCGTTAGGGTTAAAATCACTGTCCAAAACCTTTTTAGGAACATGTTTAAGACCTTTTGGAGTTGGTTACACCAAAAAAAAAATGTAAAATGAAAAAAAAATATTTGGGGTGTTTGGGCTTCCTGAAGGTAATACCCGGGTATTAGGTTTTGGGGCTAGGGTTAGGTTTAAGGTTTTTGGCGTTAGGGTTAAAATCACTGTCCAAAACCTTTTTAGGAACATGTTTCAGACCTTTTGGAGTTGGTTACACCAAAAAAAAATGTAAAATGAAAAAAAAATATTTGGGGTGTTCGGGCTTCCTGAAGGTAATACCCGGGTATTAGGTTATGGGGCTAGGGTAAGGTTAAAGGTTTTTGGAGTTAGAGTTAAAATCAGTGTCCAAAACCTTTTTAGGAACATGTTTAAGACCTTTTGGAGTTGGTTACACCAAAAAAAAAATGTAAAATGAAAAAAAAAAAATTTGGGGTGTTCGGGCTTCCTGAAGGTAATACCCGGGTATTAGGTTTTGGGGCTAGGGTAAGGTTTAAGGTTTTTGGTGTTAGGGTTAAAATCACTGTCCAAAACCTTTGTAGGAACTCTTTTCTGACCTTTTGGAGTTAGTTAGACCAAAAAAAAAGAAAAAAGAAAAAAATATATTTGGGGTGTTCGGGCTTCCTGAAGGTAATACCCGGGTATGAGGTTATGGGGCTAGGGTAAGGTTTAAGGTTTTTGGCGTTAGGGTTAAAATCACTGTCCAAAACCTTTTTAGGAACATGTTTCAGACCTTTTGGAGTTGGTTACACCAAAAAAAATGTAAAATGAAAAAAAAATATTTGGGGTGTTCGGGTTTCCTGAAGGTAATACCCGGGTATTAGGTTTTGGGGCTAGGGTAAGGTTTAAGGTTTTTGACGTTAGGGTTAAAATCACTGTCCAAAACCTTTTAAGGAACAAGATTCAGACCTTTTGGAGTTGGTTGCACCAAAAAAAATGTAAAATGAAAAAAAATATATTTTGGGTGTTCGGGCTTCCTGAAGGTAATACCCGGGTATTAGGTTATGGGGCTAGGGTAAGGTTTAAGGTTTTTGGCGTAAGGGTTAAAATCACTGTCCAAAACCTTTTTAGGAACATGTTTCAGACCTTTTGGAGCTAGTTTGACCAAAAAAAAAAAGAAAAAGAAAAAATATATATTTGGGGTGTTCGGGCTTCCTGAAGGTAATAGGTTTTGGGGCTAGGGTAAGGTTTAAGGTTTTTGGCGTTAGGGTTAAAATCACTGTCCAAAACCTTTTAAGGAACAAGATTCAGACCTTTTGGAGTTGGTTACACCAAAAAAAATGTAAAATGAAAAAAAAAATATTTGGGGTGTTAGGGCTTCCTGAAGGTAATACCCTTCAGGTTTAAGTATTAGGTTATGGGGCTAGGATTAGGTTTAAGGTTTTTGGCGTAAGGGTTAAAATCACTGTCCAAAATTTTTTAAGGAACATGTTTCAGACCTTTTGGAGCTAGTTTGACCAAAAAAAAAAAGAAAAAGAAAAAAAAATATTTGGGGTGTTCGGGCTTCCTGAAGGTAATACCCGGGTATAAGGTTATGGGGCTAGGTTAAGGTTTAAGGTTTTTGGCATGAGGGTTAAAATCACTGTCCAAAACCTTTGTAGGAAGTCTTTTCCAACCTTTTGGAGTTAGTTAGACAAAAAAAAAGATAAATGAAAAAAAAATATTTGGGGTGTTCGGGCTTCCTGAAGGTAATACACGGGTATTAGGTTATGGGGCTAGGGTAAGGTTTAAGGTTTTTGGCGTTAGAGTTAAAATCAGTGTCCAAAACCTTTTTAGGAACATGTTTAAGACCTTTTGGAGTTGGTTACACCAAAAAAAAATGTAAAATGAAAAAAAAATATTTGGGGTGTTCAAGCTTCCTGAAGGTAATACCCGGGTATTAGGTTATGGGGCTAGGGTAAGGTTTAAGGTTTTTGGCGTTAGGGTTAAAATCACTGTCCAAAACCTTTGTAGGACCTCTTTTCCAACCTTTTGGTGTTAGTTAGACCAAAAAAAAACGAAAAATGAAAAAAAAATATTTGGGGTTTTGGGCTTCTTGAAGGTAATACCCGGGTATTAGGTTATGGGGCTTTGGAAAGGTTTAAGGTTTTTGGCGTGAGGGTTAAAATCACTGTCCAATATTTTTTAAGGAACATGTTTCAGACCTTTTGGAGTTAGTTAGACCAAAAAAAAAAGAAAAAAGAAAAAAAAATATTTGGGGTTTTCGGGCTTCCTGAAGGTATTAGGTTTTGGGGCTAGGGTAAGGTTTAAGGTTTTTGGCGTTAGGGTTAAAATTACTGTCCAAAACCTTTAAAGGAACAAGATTCAGACCTTTTGGAGTTGGTTACATCCAAAAAAAATGTAAAATGAAAAAAAAAATATTTGGGGTGTTCGGGCTTCCTGAAGGTAATACCCTTCAGGTTTAAGTATTAGGTTATGGGGCTAGGATTAGGTTTAATGTTTTTGGCGTTAGGGTTAAAATCACTGTCCAATATTTTTAAGGAACATGTTTCAGACCTTTTGGAGCTAGTTTGACCAAAAAAAATGAAAAATGAAAAAAATATATTTTGGGTTTTCGGGCTCCCTGAAGGTAATACCTAGGTATTAGGTTATGGGGCTATGGTAAGGTTTAAGGTTATTGGCGTTAGGGTTAAAATCAGTGTCCAAAACCTTTATTGGAACTCTTTTCCAACCTTTTGGAGTTAGTTAGACCAAAAAAAAAATGAAAAATAAAAAAAATATATTTGGGGTGTTTGGGCTTCCTGAAGGTAATACCCGGGTATTAGGTTATGGGGCTTGGGTAAGGTTTAAGGTTATTGGCGTGAGGGTTAAAATCACTGTCCGAAACCTTTGTAGGAACTCTTTTCCGACCTTTTGGAGTTGGTTACACTAAAAAAAATTTTACAATGAAAAAAAAATATTTGGGGTGTTCGGGCTTCCTGAAGGTAATACCCGGGTATTAGGTTATGGGGCTATGGTAAGGTTTAAGGTTTTTGGCGTTAGGGTTAAAATCACTGTCCAAAACCTTTGTAGGAACTCTTTTCCAACCTTTTGGAGTTAGTTAGACAAAAAGAAAATGAAAACTGAAAAAAAAATGTTTGGGGTTTTCGGGCTTCCTGAAGGTAATACCCGGGTATTAGGTTATGGGGCTATGGTAAGGTTTAAGGTTTTTGGCATTAGGGTTAAAATCACTGTCCAAAACCTTTGTAGGAACTCTTTTCCAACCTTTTGGAGTTAGTTAGACCAAAAAAAATGAAAAATGAAAAAAAAAATATTAGGGGTTTTCGGGCTTCCTGAAGGTAATAACTGGGTATTAGGTTATGGGGCTATGGTAAGGTTTAAGGTTTTTGGCGTTAGGGTTAAAATCAGTGTCCAAAACCTTTGTTGGAACTCTTTTCCAACCTTTTGGAGTTAGTTAGACCAAAAAAAAAAGAAAAAAAAAAACAAATATATTTGGGGTGTTTAGGCTTCCTGAAGGTAATACTCGGGTATTAGGGTATGGGGCTAGGGTAAGGTTTAAGTTTTTTGGCGTTGGGGTTAAAATTACTGTCCAAAACCTTGTTAGGAACATGTTTCAGACTTTTTGGAGTTGGTTTCACCAAAAAAAAAAAATGAAAGATGAAAAAAAAATATTTGGGGTGTTCAGGCTTCCTGAAGTTAATACCCGGGTATAAGGTTATGGGGCTATGGCAAGATTAAGGTTTTTGGCGTTAGGGTTAAAATCCCTGTCCAAAACCTTTGTAGGAACTCTTTTCCAAGCTTTTGGAGTTAGTTAGACCAAAAAAAAATGAAAATTGAAAAAAAATATTTGAGGTGTTCGGGCTTCCTGAAAGTAATACCTGGGTATTAGGTAATGGGGCAATGGTAAGGTTTAAGGTTTTTGGGGTTAGGGTTAAAATCACTGTCCAAAACCTTTTAAGGAATATGTTTCAGACCTTTTGGAGTTGGTTACTCCAAAAAAATGTGAAATTAAAAAAAAATTTTCGGAGTGTTTGGGCTTCCTAAAGGTAATACCTGGGTATTTGGTTAAGGGGCTATGGTAAGGTTTAAGGTTATTGGCGTTAAGGTTAAAATCAGTGTCCAAAACCTTTGTTGGAACTCTTTTCCAACCTTTTGGAGTTAGTTAGACCAAAAAAAAAAGAAAAATAAAAAAATATATTTGGGGTGTTTAGGCTTCCTGAAGGTAATACCCAGGTATTAGGTAATGGGGCTTGGGTAAGGTTTAAGTTTTTTGGCGTGAGGGTTAAAATCACTGTCCGAAACCTTTTTAGGAACATGTTTCAGACCTTTTGGAGTTGGTTACACTAAAAAAAATCTTACAATGAAAAAAAAATATTTGGGGTGTTCGGGCTTCCTGAAGGTAATACCCGGGTATAAGGTTATGGGGCTATGGTAAGGTTTAAGGTTTTTGGCATTAGGGTTAAAATCACTGTCCAAAACCTTTGTAGGAACTCTTTTCCAACCTTTTGGAGTTAGTTAGACCAAAAAAAATGAAAAATGAAAAAAATATATTTGGGGTTTTCGGGCTTCCTGAAGGTAATACCCGGGTATTAGGGTATGGGGCTATGGTAAGGTTTAAGTTTTTTGGCGTTAGGGTTAAAATCCCTGTCCAAAACCTTTGTAGGAACTCTTTTCCAAGCTTTTGGAGTTAGTTAGACCAAAAAAAAAATGAAAAATGAAAAAAAATATTTGGGGTGTTCGGGCTTCCTGAAAGTAATACCCTGGGTATTAGGTAATGGGGCTATGGTAAGGTTTAAGGTTTTTGGCGTTAGGGTTAAAATCACTGTCCAAAACCTTTTAAGGAATATGTTTCAGACCTTTTGGAGTTGGTTACTCCAAAAAAATGTGAAATTAAAAAAAAATATTTGGAGTGTTTGGGCTTCCTAAAGGTAATACCTGGGTATTTGGTTAAGGGGCTATGGTAAGGTTTAAGGTTATTGGCGTTAGGGTTAAAATCAGTGTCCAAAACATTTGTTGGAACTCTTTTCCAACCTTTTGGACTTAGTTAGACCAAAAAAAAAAGAAAAATAAAACAAATATATTTGGGGTGTTTGGGCTTCCTGAAGGTAATACCCGGGTATTCGTTTAAGGGGCTATGGTAAGGTTTAAGGTTATTGGCGTGAGGGTTAAAATCACTGTCCGAAACCTTTTTAGGAACATGTTTCAGACCTTTTGGAGTTGGTTACACTAAAAAAAATCTTACAATGAAAAAAAAATATTTGGGGTGTTCGGGCTTCCTGAAGGTAATACCCGGGTATAAGGTTATGGGGCTATGGCAAGATTAAGGTTTTTGGCGTTAGGGTTAAAATCACTGTCCAAAACCTTTGTAGGAACTCTTTTCCAACCTTTTGGAGTTAGTTAGACAAAAAGAAAATGAAAACTGAAAAAAAAAATGTTTGGGGTTTTCGGGCTTCCTGAAGGTAATATCCGGGTATTAGGTCATGGGGCTATGGTAAGGTTTAAGGTTTTTGGCATTAGGGTTAAAATCACTGTCCAAAACCTTTGTAGGAACTCTTTTCCAACCTTTTGGAGTTAGTTAGACCAAAAAAATGAAAAATGAAAAAAATATATTTGGGGTTTTCGGGCTTCCTGAAGGTAATACCTGGGTATTAGGTTATGGGGCTATGGTAAGGTTTAAGGTTTTTGGCGTTAGGGTTAAAATCACTGTCCAAAACCTATGTAGGAACTCTTTTCCAACCTTTTGGTTTTAGTTAGACTAAAAAAAAAAAGAAAAATGAAAAAGAATATTTGGGGTGTTCGGGCTTCCTGAAGGTAATACCCGGGTATTAGGGTATGGGGCTATGGTAAGGTTTAAGTTTTTTGGCGTTAGGGTTAAAATCCCTGTCCAAAACCTTTGTAGGAACTCTTTTCCAAGCTTTTGGAGTTAGTTAGACCAAAAAAAAAATGAAAAATGAAAAAAAATATTTGGGGTGTTCGGGCTTCCTGAAAGTAATCCCTGGGTATTAGGTAATGGGGCAATGGTAAGGTTAAAGGTTTTTGGCGTTAGGGTTAAAATCACTGTCCAAAACCTTTTAAGGAATATGTTTCAGACCTTTTGGAGTTGGTTACTCCAAAAAAATGTGAAATTAAAAAAAAATATTTGGAGTGTTTGGGCTTCCTAAAGGTAATACCTGGGTATTTGGTTAAGGGGCTATGGTAAGGTTTAAGGTTATTGGCGTTAGGGTTAAAATCAGTGTCCAAAACATTTGTTGGAACTCTTTTCCAACCTTTTGGACTTAGTTAGACCAAAAAAAAAAGAAAAATAAAACAAATATATTTGGGGTGTTTGGGCTTCCTAAAGGTAATACCTGGGTATTTGGTTAAGGGGCTATGGTAAGGTTTAAGGTTATTGGCGTTAAGGTTAAAATCAGTGTCCAAAACCTTTGTTGGAACTCTTTTCCAACCTTTTGGAGTTAGTTAGACCAAAAAAAAAAGAAAAATAAAACAAATATATTTGGGGTGTTTAGGCTTCCTGAAGGTAATACCCAGGTATTAGGTAATGGGGCTTGGGTAAGGTTTAAGTTTTTTGGCGTGAGGGTTAAAATCACTGTCCGAAACCTTTTTAGGAACATGTTTCAGACCTTTTGGAGTTGGTTACACTAAAAAAAATCTTACAATGAAAAAAAAATATTTGGGGTGTTCGGGCTTCCTGAAGGTAATACCCGGGTATAAGGTTATGGGGCTATGGTAAGGTTTAAGGTTTTTGGCATTAGGGTTAAAATCACTGTCCAAAACCTTTGTAGGAACTCTTTTCCAACCTTTTGGAGTTAGTTAGACCAAAAAAAAAGAAAAATGAAAAAAATATATTTGGGGTGTTCGGGCTTCCTGAAGGTAATACCCGGGTATTCGTTTAAGGGGCTATGGTAAGGTTTAAGGTTATTGGCGTCAGGGTTAAAATCAGTGTCCAAAACCTTTGTAGGAACTCTTTTCCAACCTTTTGGAGTTAGTTAGACAAAAAAAGAGAAAAAAAATATATATATATATATTTGGGGTGTTTGGGCTTCCTGAAGGTATTATTAGGTTATTAGGTTATGGGGCTAGGGTAAGGTTTAAGTTTTTTGGCGTAAGGGTTAAAATCAGTGTCCAAAACCTTTTTAGGAACATGTTTCAGACCTTTTGGAGTTATTTAGATAAAAAAAAAATGAAAAATGAAAAAAAAATATTTGGTGTGTTCGGGTTTCCTGAAGGTAATACCTGGGTATTAGTTTATGGGGCTATGGTAAGGTTTAAGGTTTTTGGCGTTAGGGTTAAATATCCAATATTAAGTTTAAAAATTGCCACAAACTCAAGTTCAAACACGAAACAAACTCAATTTAAAAAACACCAAAAACTCAAGTTCAACAAATACCCAATTCTTAAATTTAACAATTTTCACAACCTCAAGTTAAAAAAACCCACAAACATAAGTTAAAACAAGACACAAACTAAAGTTCAACAAAACAAAAAACTCAAGTTCAACCAACACCTGATATTCAAGTTTGAAAATTTTCACAGCCTCAAGTTCAAAAAACACACAAACTCAAGTTAAACAAACAACACAAATGCAAGTTCAAACACGACACAAACTCAAGTTCAACCAACACCCAAATCTCAAGTTTAACAAATTCTACAACCTAAAGTTCAAAAACACCACAAACCCAAGTTCAACAACACCACAAACTCAAGTTCAAACACGACACGAACTCAAGTTCAAACACGACACAAACTCAAGTTCAACAAACACACTAACTGAAGTTCAACCAACACCTGATTCTCAAGTTTAACAATTTCCAAAACCTCAAGTTCAAAAACAACAGAAACAGTTCAAAAAAACCTCAACCTCAAGTTCAAAAACGACACAAACTCAAGTATAAAAACACATAATCAAGTTAAAAAAATAACACGAACTCAAGTTCAACCAACACCCAAATCTCAAGTTTAACCAACACCCAAATCTCAAGTTTAACAATTGCCACAACCTCAAGTTCAAAAACAACACAGACTCAAGTTAAAAAAAACCACAAACTCAAGTTCAAACACGACACAACCTCAGGTTCAACAAAAACCACAAACTCAAGTTCAACCAACACATGATTCTCACGTTTAAAAATTTTCAGAACCTCAAGTTCAAAAAACACACAAATTCAAGTTAAACAAATAACAGGAATGCAAGTTCTGAAACGACACAAACTCAAGTTCTGAAACGACACAAACTCAAGTTCAACCAACACCCAAATCTCAAGTTTAACAATTGCCACAACCTCAAGTTCAACAAATACACAAACTCAAATTCAAACACACCACAAACTCAAGTTAAAAACACGACACAAACTCAAGTTCAAAAAAACCATAAACTCAAGTTCAACCAATACCCAATTCTCAAGTTTAACAATTTCCACAACTTCAAGTTCAAAAACAACACAGACTCAAGTTCAAAAAAACCAAAAACTCAAGTTCAAACACGACACAACCTCAAGTTCAACAAAAACCACAAACTCAAGTTCAACCAACACATGATTCTCACGTTTAAAAATTTTCAGAACCTCAAGTTCAAAAAACACACAAATTCAAGTTAAACAAATAACAGGAATGCAAGTTCTGAAACGACACAAACTCAAGTTCAACCAACACCCAAATCTCAGGTTTAACAATTGCCACAACCTCAAGTTCAACTAACACAAAAACTCAAGTTCAACAAATGCCACAAACTCAAATTCAAACATGAAAAAAACTCAAGTTCAAAAACACTACAAACTCAAGTTCAACCAAAACCCAGTTCTCAAGCTTAACAATTTCCCAGCCTCAAGTTCAAAAAACACACAAACTCAAGTTAAACAAACAACACGAACTCAAGTTCAAAAACAACAAAAACTCAAGTTCAACCAACACCCAATTTCAAGTTTAACAATTTTCACAACCTGAAGTTCAAAAACAACACAGTCTAAAGTTAAAAAAAACAAACACAAGTTTAAACACGAAACAAAATCAAGTTCAAAAACTCCACAAAGTCAAGTTCAAACAACATAAACTCAAGTTCAACAAACACACAAAGTCAAGTTCAAACACATCACAAACTCAATTTTAACAATTGCCACAACCTCAAGTTCAAACAATTCCACACCCTCAAGTTCAAAAACACCACAAACTCAAGTTCAAACTCGACACAAACTGAAGTTCAACAAATGCCCAAAACTCAAATTCAAACACGAAACAAACTCAAGTTAAAAAAACACCACAAACTCAAGTTCAAACACAACACAAACTCAAGTTCAACAAACACACAAACTCAAGTTCAAACATGACATTAACTCAAGTTCAACAAACACACAGACTCAAAATTAACAATTGCCAAAACCTCAAGTTCAAACAATTTCACACCCTCAAGTTCAAAAACACCACAAACTCAGGTTCAAAAACACCAGAAACTCAAGTTCAAACACGAAACAAACTAAAGTTCAACAAACGCCACAAACTCAAGTTCAAACATGAAACAAACTCAAGTTCAACAAACACACAAATCTCAAGTTTAAAAATTGCCACAACCTCAAGTTCAACAAACACACAAACTCAGCTTCAAAAATAATACAAACTCAAGTTAAAAACACGACACAAACTAAAGTTCAACAAACGTCAAGAACTCAAGTTCAACCAATACCCAATTCCCAATTTTAAAAATTTCCACAACCTCAAGTTAAAAAAAAAACACAGACTCAAATATAAAAACACCACAATCTCAAGTTCAAACATGACACAAACTCAAGTTCAACCAACACCCAAATCTCAAGTTTTACAATTGCCACAACCTCAAGTTCAACTTATACACAAACTTAAGTTCAAACACGACACAAACTCAAGTTCAACAAACACACAAACTCAAGTTTAACAATTGCCACAACCTCAAGTCCAAACAATTCCACACCCTCAAGTTCAAAAACACCACAAACTCAAGTTCAAACACGACACAAACTCAAGTTCAACAAACACACAAAGTCAAGTTCAAACACATCACAAACTCAAGTTCAACAAACACACAAACTCAAGTTTAACAATTGCCACAACCTCAAGGTGAAACAATTTCACACCCTCAAGTTCAAAAACACCACAAACTCAAGTTCAAACACGACACAAACTCAAGTTCAACAAATGCCCAAAACTCAAATACAAACATGAAAAAAACTCAAGTTAAAAAAAAAACCACAAACTCAAGTTCAAACACAACACAAACTCAAGTTCAACAAACACACAAACTCAAGTTTGAACATGACACCAACTCAAGTTCAACAAACACACAAACTCAAAATTAACAATTGCCAAAACCTCAAGTTCAAAAAATTTCACACCCTCAAGTTCAAAAACGCCACAAACTCAAGTTCAAACATGAAACAAACTCAAGTTCAAAAACACCAAAAACTCATTTTCAAACACAACACTTACTCAAGTTCAACAAACACACAAACTCAACTTCAAAAATAATACAAACTCAAGTTAAATACACGACACAAACTCAAGTTCAACAAACGTCAAGAACTCAAGTTCAACCAATACCCAATTCCAAATTTTAAAAATTTCCACAAACTTAAGTTAAAAAAAAACACAGACTCAAATATAAAAACACCACAATCTCAAGTTCAAACATGACACAAACTCAAGTTCAACCAACACCCAAATCTCAAGTTTAACAATTGCTACAACCTCAAGTTCAACAAACACACAAACTTAAGTTCAAACACACAACAAACTCAAGTTCAAAAATGACACAAACTCAAGTTCAACAAACACACAAACTCAAGTTCAACCAATACTCAATTCTCAAGTTTAACAAATTCCACACCATCAAGTTCAAACACACCACAAACTCAAATTCAAACACGACACAAACTATAGTTCAACCAACAGCCAAATCTCAAGTTTAACAATTGTCAAAACCTCAAGTTCAACAAACACACAGTCAAGTTCAAAAAATGCCACAAACTAAAGTTCAAACATGAAACATTGTCAAGTAAAAAATACACAAAATAAAATTCAACAAACACACAAACTCAAGTTCAACCACTACCCAATTCTCAAGTTTAAAAAATTCCAAACACTCAAGTTCAAAGACACCACAAACTCATGTTCAAAAACAAGACAAAGTCCAGTTCAAAAACAAGACAAAGTCCAGTTCAAACACGACACATACTCAAGTTCAACAAACGCCACAAACTCAAGTTCAAACACGAAACAATCTCAAGTTCAAAAACACCACAAACTCATGTTCAAACACAACACAAACTCAAGTTCAACAAACACACAAACTCAAGTTCAAAAACACGACAAACTCAAGTTGAAACACGACACAAACTCAATTTCAACAAACAAACAAACTCAAATTCAACCAACACCTGAGTTCAAAGTTCAAAAGTTCAAAAACAAAAGAAAACTCAAGCTCAAAACACACAGAAACACAAGTTCAAAAACGACAAAAACTCAAGTTCAAAAACACCACCCACTCAAGTTCAAAAGGACCACAAACTCAAGTTCAACATAACACACCAACTCAAGTTCAAACACACCACAAACTCAAGTTCAAACACAAGACAAACTCAAGTTCAACAAACGCCACAAACTCAAGTTCAAACAATACCCAATTCTCAAGTTTAACTAAATTCCAGGTCCTCAAGTTTAAAAACAAAACGAACTCAAGTTCAAAAACACCACAAACTCAAGTTCAAAAACAACACAAACTCAAGTTCAACAAAAACCACAAACTCAAGTTTAAACACGAAACTCAAGTTCAAAAACACCACCCACTCAAGTTCAAAAGGACCACAAACTCAAGTTCAACAAAAAACAAAATCAAGTTTAAATACACCACAAACTTAAGTTCAACAGAAAAACTCAAGTTCAAACACGACACAAAATCAAGTTCAACTAAAACACAAACTCAAGTTTAACAATTGCCACAACCTCAAGTTCAACAAATTCCACACCCTCAACTTAAAAAAAAACACAAACTCAAGTTCAAAAACACCACAAACTCAAGTTCAAACACGACACAATCTCAAGTTCAACAAAAACCACAAACTCAAGTTTAAACACGAAACTAAAGTTCAAAAACACCACCCATTCAAGTTCAAAAGGACCACAAACTCAAGTTCAACAAACACACAAAATCAAATTCAAAAACACCACAAACTCATATGCAAACACAACACAAACTCAAGTTCAACAAACACCACAAACTCAAGTTCAAACAGAACACAAACTAGAGTTCAAATAACACAGAAACTCAAGTTCAGAAAACACAGAAACTCAAGTTCAACAAAAACACATAATCAAGTTCAAAAACACCCCAAACTCAAGTGCAAACATGACACAAACTCAAGTTTATCCAACACCAAAATCTCAAGTTTAACAATTGCCACAACCTCAAGTTCAACAATCACACAAACTCAAGTTCAACAAAAACCACAAACTCAAGTTCAAACACAAAACTCAAGTTCAAAAACACCACCAACTCAAGTTCTAAAATACCACAAACTAAAGTTCAACAAACACAAAAAGTCAAGTTCAAAAACTACAAAAACTCAAGTTCAACCAACACCCAAATCTCATGTTAAACAATTGCCACAACCTCAAGTTCAACAATCACACAAACTCAAGTTCAAACACGACACAAACTAGAGTTCAAACAAGACACAAACTCAAGTTTAACTAATTCCACACCCTCAACTTCAAAATTACCACAAACTCAAGTTCAAAAACACCACAAACTCAAGTTCAAACACGACACAAACTCAAGTTCAACAAAAACCACAAACTCAAGTTCAAACACGAAACTCAGGTTCAAAAACACCACCAACTCAAGTTCAAAAACACCACAAACTCAAGTTCAAGAAAAACACAAAATCAAGTTCAAAAACACTAAAAACTCAAGTGCAAACACGACATAAACTCAAGTTCAAACAATACCCAATTCTCAAGTTTAACTAAATTCCAGGTCCTCAAGTTTAAAAACAAAACGAACTCAAGTTCAAAAACACCACAAACTCAAGTTCAAAAACAACACAAACTCAAGTTCAACAAAAACCACAAACTCAAGTTTAAACACGAAACTCAAGTTCAAAAACACCACCCACTCAAGTTCAAAAGGACCACAAACTCAAGTTCAACAAAAAACAAAATCAAGTTTAAATACACCACAAACTTAAGTTCAACAGAAAAACTCAAGTTCAAACACGACACAAAATCAAGTTCAACTAAAACACAAACTCAAGTTTAACAATTGCCACAACCTCAAGTTCAACAAATTCCACACCCTCAACTTAAAAAAAAACACAAACTCAAGTTCAAAAACACCACAAACTCAAGTTCAAACACGACACAATCTCAAGTTCAACAAAAACCACAAACTCAAGTTTAAACACGAAACTAAAGTTCAAAAACACCACCCATTCAAGTTCAAAAGGACCACAAACTCAAGTTCAACAAACACACAAAATCAAATTCAAAAACACCACAAACTCATATGCAAACACAACACAAACTCAAGTTCAACAAACACCACAAACTCAAGTTCAAACAGAACACAAACTAGAGTTCAAATAACACAGAAACTCAAGTTCAGAAAACACAGAAACTCAAGTTCAACAAAAACACATAATCAAGTTCAAAAACACCCCAAACTCAAGTGCAAACATGACACAAACTCAAGTTTATCCAACACCAAAATCTCAAGTTTAACAATTGCCACAACCTCAAGTTCAACAATCACACAAACTCAAGTTCAACAAAAACCACAAACTCAAGTTCAAACACAAAACTCAAGTTCAAAAACACCACCAACTCAAGTTCTAAAATACCACAAACTAAAGTTCAACAAACACAAAAAGTCAAGTTCAAAAACTACAAAAACTCAAGTTCAACCAACCCAAATCTCATGTTAAACAATTGCCACAACCTCAAGTTCAACAATCACACAAACTCAAGTTCAAACACGACACAAACTAGAGTTCAAACAAGACACAAACTCAAGTTTAACTAATTCCACACCCTCAACTTCAAAATTACCACAAACTCAAGTTCAAAAACACCACAAACTCAAGTTCAAACACGACACAAACTCAAGTTCAACAAAAACCACAAACTCAAGTTCAAACACGAAACTCAGGTTCAAAAACACCACCAACTCAAGTTCAAAAACACCACAAACTCAAGTTCAAGAAAAACACAAAATCAAGTTCAAAAACACTAAAAACTCAAGTGCAAACACGACATAAACTCAAGTTCAACAAGCATCACATACTCAAGTTCAAACACGACACAAACTCAAGTTCAAATGCAACACAAACTGAAGTTCGACAAACACACAAAGTCAAGTTTCAAAACACCACAAACTCAAGTTCAAACATTAAACAAACTCAGGTTCAAAACACCACAAACTCAAGTTAAAAAAAAATTCAAGTTCAACAAACACACTTACTCAAGTTCAAAACCCCAAAAACTCAAGTTCAAAAACAGCAAAAACTCAAGTTCAACCAACACCCAAATCTCAAGTACACAAACTCAAGTACAACAAATGCCACAAACTCAAGTACAACAAACACTACAAACTAAAGTTCAGTGAAAAATACAGACTCAAGTTCAACAATTGCCACAAACTCAAGTTCAACAAACACCACAATCTCAATTTCAACAAATGACCTAAACTCACATTTAACAATTGCCAAAAACTCAAGTTCAACAAACTCAAGTTCAAAAATTGCCACAACCTCAAGTTCAATAAACACATAAACTCAAGTTCAAACACGACACAAACTCAAGTTCAACAAACACACAAACTCAAGTTTAACAATTGCCACAACCTCAAGTTCAACAAGTTACACACCCCCAAGTTCAAAAACACCAAAACCTAAAGTTCGAAAAACACACAAACTCAAGTTCAAACAAGACACAAACTCAGGTACAACAAATGCCACAAACTCAAGTACAACAAACGCTACAAACTAAAGTTCAGTGAAAAATACAGACTCAAGTTCAACACTTGCCACAAACTCAAGTTCAACAAACACCACAATCTCAATTTCAACAAATGACCTAAACTCACATTTAACAATTGCCAAAAACTCAAGTTCAACAAACTCAAGTTCAAAAATTGCCACAACCTCAAGTTCAATAAACACATAAACTCAAGTTCAAACACGACACAAACTCAAGTTCAACAAACACACAAACTCAAGTTTAACAATTGCCACAACCTCAAGTTCAAAAACAACGGAAACTCAAGTTCAAACACGCCACAAACTCAAGTTCAACAAACACACAAACTCAAGTTCAATCACAACACAAACTCAAGTTCTTAACAACACAAACTCAGGTTAAAAAAACACACAAGCTCAAGTTCAAAAACACCCCAAACTGAAGTTCAAACATGACACAAACTCAAGTTCAAAAAAATCCCAAATCTCAAGTTCAACAATTTCCACAACCTCAAGTTCAAAAACAACAGAAACTCAAGTTAAAACACGCCACAAACTCTAGTTCAACAAACACACAAACTCAAGTTCAAAAACACCACAAACCCAAGTTCAACCAACACCCAAATCTCAAGTTTAACAATTGCCACAAACCTTAGTTAAAAAAAACACACAAACTCAAGTTCAACCAACACCCAAATCTCAAGTTTAACAATTGCCACAACCTCAAGGTCAACAAATTACACACCCCCAAGTTCAAAAACACCACAAACTCAAGTTCAACAAACACACAAACTCAAGTTTAACAATTGCCACAACCTCAAGTTCAACAAATTACACACCCCCAAGTTCAAAAACACCACAAACTCAAGTTCAACAAACACACAAACTCAAGTTTAACAATTGCCACAACCTCAAGTTCAACAAATTACACACCCCCAAGTTCAAAAACACCACAAACTCAAGTTCAACAAACACACAAACTCAAGTTTAACAATTGCCACAACCTCAAGTTCAACAAATTACACACCCCCAAGTTCAAAAACACCACAACCTAAAGTTCAACAAACACACAAACTCAAGTTCAAACAAGACACAAACTCAAGTACAACAAATGCCACAAACTCAAGTACAACAAACGCTACAAACTAAAGTTCAGTGAAAAATACAGACTCAAGTTCAACAATTGCCACAAACTCAAGTTCAACAAACACCACAATCTCAATTTCAACAAATGACCTAAACTCACATTTCACAATTGCCAAAAACTCAAGTTCAACAAACTCAAGTTAAAAAATTGCCACAAACTCAAGTTCAAAAACACACAAACTCAAGTTAAAAAATGCTGAAACTGAAGTTCAACGAACACCACAAACTTCAACAAATGTCAAAGTTTGAAGTTCAACCAACACCCAAATATCAAGTTTAACAATTGCCACAACCTCAAGTTCAAAAACAACGGAAACTCAAGTTCAAACACGCCACAAACTCAAGTTCAACAAACACACAAACTCAAGTTCAATCACAACACAAACTCAAGTTCTTAACAACACAAACTCAGGTTAAAAAAACACACAAGCTCAAGTTCAAAAACACCCCAAACTGAAGTTCAAACATGACACAAACTCAAGTTCAAAAAAATCCCAAATCTCAAGTTCAACAATTTCCACAACCTCAAGTTCAAAAACAGAAACTCAAGTTCAACAAACGCCACAAACTCAAGTTCAAACACAACACAAACTCAAGTTCAAAAACACCACAAACCCAAGTTCAACCAACACCCAAATCTCAAGTTTAACAATTGCCACAAACCTTCAAAAACAACGGAAACTCAAGTTCAAACACGCCACAAACTCAAGTTCAACAAACACACAAACTCAAGTTCAAAAACACCACAAACTCAAGTTCTTAACAACACAAACTCAGGTTCAAAAAACACACAAACTCAAGTTCAAAAACACCAGAAACTCAAGTTCAAACATGTCACAAACTCAAGTTCAACCAACACCCAAATCTCAAGTTTAACAATAGCCACAACCTCAAGTTCAAAAGCAACAGAAACTCAACTTCAAACATGAGACAAGCTCAAGTTCAACAAACACACAAACTCAAGTTCAATCAATACCCAACTCTCAAGTTTAACAATTTCCACAACCTCAAGTTCAAAAATTGCAAAAAAAACAAGTTCAAATACGACACAAACTCAAGTTCAACCAACACCCAAATCTCAAGTTTAACATTTGCCAAAACCTCAAGTTCAAAAACAACACAAACTCAAGTTCAAACACGCCACAAACTTAAGTTCAACAAACACACAAACTCAAGTTCAAAAACACCACAAATTCAGGTTCAAAGGTGTTGAGACCAAGAGCGACTTCGGCGACGGCTCCCAATGCAAAGTCTATGGACAGCCGCGACCTGACGCGACTTGGCGACTGCCAGCTACCTGCGTCGCGTTGCCGAGGTCGCGTCGCCGAGGTCGCGTCGCCGAGGTCGCAGGACGCCAAGTCTCGTCGCTCCCAAAGTTCAAATATTTTAACTGGGCTGAGGGATGTATATATGAGGGAGAAAAGGAGGGAGAAGGAAGGTAGGAGAAGCGGGTCAGCAGCGACCAGCCGCGTCCTGCGACCGCAGCTTTGGACCCGGTGTGAACACACCAGAGCACCACGCGACGCGACCTGGTCGCGGCTGCAATTACACCTAATCCGCGGAGCCAAATCCTTGCTGGTACTGACATTAGTCTTGCTGTGCTCAGACTACAATGATAGACGCATTGTGGATTGCGGAGATGAGCCTGTGATGCTTAAATATCGTGATGCCCGGCTGTTTAAATCTCCGACCTTGGCTGAATTCATAGCTTTCGGAGTATTTGTAGATGTCATATGTAAAGTGTTTTCAGCACGCAGAACTGAACTGGACACAAATCTCGCCATTATTTCTGATTCAGCCATGACATAGGGAGGGTCATTATTCTAGGAACATTACAAATCATTTTCAGCAAAGCTGCTAAGTACATTCAAAGATTCAGCCAAAGACTTGATCAGTCCGTAGTCGACCTGGCTCTAATCAGTTAACAATTCACCAAGCATCAAGCTTTTTCCTGCTTAATCTGCGGGTCTTTCTCTCACCTGGAGGTGAAAGTAAGCCATTACGCAGCAGTACGCCATTTCGGGAGGACATAATCAGCTGTTTAAAGTTGTCACCCCTGTCATGTATCTAGGCTTAGTCATTTGCTGCACATCAGTCTGCACTCTGCGTTATAACCGAAGTAATACAATAGGACCATGCCGCTTGAGAGTGAGTGGTATTTGTTTACAAATAAACTCCAAGTGGGAGCACCAGTGCGCACTTTTGATTGGACGCTGGTTGCCTAGGTGCAGGGGCCTGCCTTCCGCCTTTTGCGGAAGGAGGGAATTTTTATAGAGTCAGCTGCTTCAAACTTAATGCAGAAATAAGACAAAATGCAGAGGAAAAAAAAATAAAAATAAAATAATAATAATTTTATGTTTAAGAGAGAGATACAGCAGATGATGATACTGTGGCATCGGAGTCAGCAACTCGCTTAACTTGGGTGTGCTCCTCTTGTACAAAGTCTACGGGTACAGTACCTGGAGGAACCTTATCCTACCTTGTCCACCCCTGCCCACACCTCTAATCGGTGCCCTCAAACTGTGGCTACAGGCCAACCACCCAAGCCTCTCTAAGCCTACTACTCGGAGAAGCCAAGTTACTCCAAGGATGGGCATCTGAAATCAGCATGCCCATGACGCACCCACCTGGTAAAACGGGAAAGAACAAAGCTGTCTACTCTGTCAAATGTCCTTGAGCTGGGGAAGGCACAGGCAAAGCATCCCAACGGCTGTTCGTGAAGCCATTCATTCAGACTGCGTTAGTCTGAGTGCAGCCTTGCAATCCTTAGTGCTCTCTGTTGACAGCTACTTGAGAGCTGGTTAAGCAAAATCAGCATTAAAGTTTATACGATTCTGCATGGTCTCACTTTACCTCTTTTGTACCACCTTCTCTGTAGCCCCAACGCCCTAAATATATCCATTGTATGTTCTTTAATAGTCCACGGTTTTGAATCTCGCACTTTTTTTTTCTTTCTAATATTTCCAAAACTAACTCTGTCTTTGTTCTTTATCCTCCATGTCCCGCTGCCTGAGAGGCCGGCCACTGGCCAGCCAGCAAGAGTCTCTCTTTGCCACTGAAGAAGGGAAACCTATATTCAGATTGCAGCTTTCTGCTCACCTCTGCCTGCTCCGCCTGCTCTGCTGGCTCCTACCTGAGTACAACTCTACGCATTCGCCACGCATAGGCACAGCTACAACTGCATCTTCCATCGTCCCCGTCTCGACGCTCAAGGCTATGGGTCGATGGTCCCGATCAGCCTTTGAATGATACCTCAGGCCCAAGGCTGATATATTATTATTATTAGAATATTCCTATGCTCGATTAGCTACAAAAAAAAATTGCTGCTGCTCCTTAATTCTTTCCCATATCTATTGCATTACGCATATTCCCAACTATAAATTTGTGTATGGATTAAATTAAGCCTGATCCATGATCATGTTGTGAGGGTAACCAATACTATGCAAGCTTTGTAGGTGGGTAGGTTGCTTCATAGTTTCTCGCTGCTGGCTGCCCTCCCTCCCCCGTAGGTGCCTTCATGTAGCTCATGAAAGCTGGGGAGGGTTGCCAGTATGGCTGCTGCTTTTTCTGCCTTGGCTTTTCATATATGCACATGAAAGGGAGGGGAGGGCATTCCCTCTCATTGCCTTGGGATTCTATGCAAGCACATGACAGAGCAGAGAACTCTCAGAACAGAGCCGTACCGACAATGTTAAAAAAAATTTTTGCTAGTAATAAATAATTGATTCTAACTAAAGTAGTCCTGACTGAAATTAAGCATGGCTGTAGTTCAGGCAGGACACAAGGTACAGTCAAGCTAAAGGTTAAAGCCAGCTGATCTTAAGCTAGCCCTCAGTCAGATGACAGCTTAGCTGATTGCCCTCCACACATCCTTCAGATCGCTACACTGCTCATTCCTTTCACATAGGTGCAGCTACAACCGCAGCTATGACGGCTCCTGTGTCGACCCTCAAAGCCATGGGCCAATAGTCGTCAGCTGCGTACAAACGCTATCTGCGCCCCGAGGCTCGGGACATTCTCGAAGCCCAAAAACTATGAGTACCCATAACTTTGGCACATAGATGCTAATTAAATGAAATATATAAACACACCGCAAATAAATATCCATGCTTGGGCAACGGGTCTCTCTAACCCGTCTTTCTTTCAGCAGCGCTCACCTTCACTGCTAGCTCCTAGACTGCACGGCATGGTTGTTTTGGGGGGGTTCTGTTCATTGCTGCTCTACCCCCGCCTCCTCCGCCTTCATGATGGCACGTGGAGGGCGGGAAGGTGCTCTTCCTGCCGCTGGCCTTTCAGCGCCAACGTGGAGAACGGGGGCCCTGAACAGAACCTCGCGTGCGCTCCAAGCTATCGCCTTTCATGATGGCTCGTGAAGGGCAGGAAGGGGCTCTCTCTGCCTCGGGCTTCCACACAAGCACGTGGAAGGGCAGGGACCCGGAACAGAATCATGCCGCCAAATCTAAATTGCATAATAAAGCTAAAAATTTTGATAAAGTGAACCTGACTGAAATGAAGCATAGCGTTAGTTCTGTCAGGACACAACGTCAAGCGCTGATCCACAGCCAATGGCTAGTAGCCACCTCAACCAGATGATAATCAGCTGATTCACACCTAGCTCCTGTTGGTTCTTTGCCTATAGATTGCCTTATTTAATAACCCTTCCGGGCTCTTTAGATTGACTTCCCTCTAAAGTCCCTCGTGGCCGAAAAAAGCCACTTTTTTTGTCGGCTGTAAAATCATATTGGATTAATATTTTTTTCTGATTTTTTTTCACACATCTCTTATTTTACTTCTGCCCTGTTCGAAACTAGCAAATGTTTCATTGAAAACAATTTTTTTTAACCCTTTAAGTGCCAATTTAAGACAAAAAGTCACAAATATAGCAAAAATTTAAGGAAAATGACCCATTTTTTTTATAAAACATGATCAGAAACTGGTTATCTCTTGCAGGGTATCAAAGTCATGAATATGTCAGAGATTAGTAATATCATTGGCTTTGATGCATTTTAAGTTTTTCTGTAGCATCAGATTTAATGAAAAACTGCGTTTGGCGCCTCCCAGTGGCCAAAACTACTTTGTCTGCTGTTAAATCATATTGGATTAATATTTTTTTCTGATTTTTTTTCATACATCTCTTATTTTACTTCTGCCCTGTTCAAAACTAGCAAATGTTTCATTGAAAATAAAATTTTAACCCTTTACGGGCCAATTTAAGACATAAAGTCACTTAAAAAGCAAAAAAAAATGGAAGGAAAAATTTAAGGAAAATGACCAATTTTTTTATAAAACATGATCAGAAACTGGTAATCTCTTGCAGGGTATTTAAGTCTTGAATATGTCAAAGATTAGTAATATAATTGACTTCAATGCATTTTAAGTTTTTCTTTAGCATCAGATTTAATAAAAAACTGCCTTTGGCGCCTCCCAGTGGCCAAAACTACTTTTTCTGCTGTAAAATCATATTGGATTAATATTTTTTTCAGATTTTTTTTCATACATTTCTTATTTTACTTCTGCCCTGTTCAAAACTAGCAAATGTTTCATTGAAAATAAAAATTTTAACCCTTTAAGGGCCAATTTTAGTCATAAAGTCACTTAAAAAGCAAAAAAAATGGAAGGAAAATGAAGGAAAATGACCCATTTTTTTAATAAAACATAATCAGAAACTGGTAATCTCTTGCAGGGTATTTAAGTCTTGAATATGTCAGAGATTAGTAATATAATTGACTTAGATGCCTTTTAGGTTTTTCTGTAGCATCAGATTTAATGAAAAACTGCGTTTGGCGCCCCTCAGTGGCCAAAACTACTTTGTCTGCTGTAAAATCATATTGGATTAATATTTTTTTCAGATTTTCATACATTTCTTATTTTACTTCTACCCTGTTCAAAACTAGCAAATGTTTCTTTGAAAAATTTTTTTTCATCCTTTAAGGGCCCATTTAAGACAAAAAGTCTCTTATGAAGCAAAAAAATGGAAGGAAAATGGAAGGAAAATGACCTTATTTGCTTCATAAGAGACTTTTTGTCTTAAATGGGCCCTTAAAGGGTGAAAATTTTTATTTTCAAAGAAACATTTGCTAGTTTTGAACAGGGCAGAAGTAAAATAAGAAATGTATGAAAAAAAATCTGAAAAAAATATTAATCCAATATGATTTTACAGCAGACAAAGTAGTTTTGGCCACTGAGGGGCGCCAAACGCAGTTTTTCATTAAATCTGATGCTACAGAAAAACCTAAAAGGCATCTAAGTCAATTATATTACTAATCTCTGACATATTCAAGACTTAAATACCCTGCAAGAGATTACCAGTTTCTGATCATGTTTTATTAAAAAAATTGGTCATTTTCCTTAATTTTCCTTCCATTTTTTTTGCTTTTTAAGTGACTTTATGTCTTAAATTGGCCCTTAAAGGGTTAAAATTTTTATTTTCAATGAAACATTTGCTAGTTTTGAACAGGGCAGAAGTAAAATAAGAAATGTATGAAAAAAAATCTGAAAAAAATATTAATCCAATATGATTTTACAGCAGAAAAAGTAGTTTTGGCCACTGGGAGGCGCCAAAGGCAGTTTTTTATTAAATCTGATGCTAAAGAAAAACTTAAAATGCATTGAAGTCAATTATATTACTAATCTTTGACATATTCAAGACTTAAATACCCTGCAAGAGATTACCAGTTTCTGATCATGTTTTATAAAAAAAATTGGTCATTTTCCTTAAATTTTTCCTTCCATTTTTTTTTGCTTTTTAAGTGACTTTATGTCTTAAATTGGCCCGTAAAGGGTTAAAATTTTATTTTCAATGAAACATTTGCTAGTTTTGAACAGGGCAGAAGTAAAATAAGAGATGTATGAAAAAAAATCAGAAAAAAATATTAATCCAATATGATTTTACAGCAGACAAAGTAGTTTTGGCCACTGGGAGGCGCCAAACGCAGTTTTTCATTAAATCTGATGCTACAGAAAAACTTAAAATGCATCAAAGCCAATGATATTACTAATCTCTGACATATTCATGACTTTGATACCCTGCAAGAGATAACCAGTTTCTGATCATGTTTTACAAAAAAAATGGGTCATTTTCCTTAAATTTTTGCTATATTTGTGACTTTTTGTCTTAAATTGGCACTTAAAGGGTTAAAAAAAATTGTTTTCAATGAAACATTTGCTAGTTTCGAACAGGGCAGAAGTAAAATAAGAGATGTGTGAAAAAAAATCAGAAAAAAATATTAATCCAATATGATTTTACAGCCGACAAAAAAAGTGGCTTTTTTCGGCCACGAGGGACTCTGGAGGGTGAAAATTTGTCCTGGCTTTATTATTGACCTGGTGAAAATGTTGAATTCATGTTTTCGAGTAGAATTTCAAATTAAGCTTAGAAAAAAGAAATTCATCACATTTGCTGCAGTAAAAAAAAAAAAATATCCAAATAAGTCTCTTGTTTTTTCGTCAAATGGCCGAATTCGGCCACAGGGACCCGGAAGGGTTAAAACTGCACTAACACAGCCTCTTCCTCTATTCTGACCGCAAACAAGCAACACACTGCCACCCCAGCTCCACCCTCGTGCCAGCTAATTGCTCCGCTACCCTTGAAGCGCTCCTGTTCCGGAGGGATTCTGTTCATTGCTGCTCTACCCCCGCCACAGCCGCCTTCATGATGGCTCAAGGAGGGCGAGTTTAACAATTTCCACAACCTCAAGTTCAAAAACAACACAAATCAAGTTAAAACACGCCACAAACTCAAGTTCAACCAACACCCAATTCTCAAATTCAACAATTTCCGCAAACTCGAGTTCAAAAACACCACCAACTCAAGTTCAAAAACACCACAAAGTCAAGTTCAAACAAGACACAAACTCAAGTTAAATGAACACCACAAAGTCAAGTTCAACAAATGTCAAAGTTTTAAGTTCAACCAACACCCAAATCTTAAGATTAACAATTGCCAAAACCTCAAGTTAGAAAAACAACAAAAATTCAGGTTAAAACACGCCACAAACTCAAGTTCAACAAACGCCACAAACTCAAGTTCAAACACAACACAAACTCAAGTTCAACCAAATCCCAAATCTCAAGTTTGACAACTGCCACAACCTCAAGTTAAAAAACAACAAGAAACTAAAGTTAAAACATGCCACAAACTCAAGTTAAACAAACACATAAACTCAAGTTCAAAAACACCATAAACTCAAGTTCAACCAAAACCCAAATCTCAAATTTAACAATTGCCACAAACTTAAGTTCAAAAAACACACAAACTCAAGTTTAACAATAGCCACAAACTTAAGTTAAAAAAACACACAAACACAAGTTGAAAAAACACACAAACTCAAGTTCAAAAACAGCACAAACTCAAGTTAAAACATGCCACAAACTCAAGTTAAACAAACACACAAATTCAAGTTCAAAAACACCACAAACTCAAGTTCAACCAACACACAAATCTCAAGTTTAACAATTGCCACAAACTTAAGTTCAGAAAACACACAAACTCAAGTTCAAAAACACCAAAAAGTCAAGTTCAAACAAGACCAAAACTCAAGTTAAATGAACACCACAAACTCAAGTTCAACAAATGTCAAAGTTTTAAGTTCAACCAACACCCAAATCTAAAGTTTAACAATTGCCAAAATCCTCAAGTTAAAAAAAAAAAATTAAAGTTGAAACACGCCACAAACTCAAGTTCAACAAACGCCACAAACTCAAGTTCAAAAACACCACATACTCAAGTTAAACCAACACCCAAATCTATAGTTTAAAAATTGCCACAACCTCAAGTTAAAAAACAACAGTATCTCAAGTTCAAACACAACACAAACTCAAGTTCAAACACGACACAAACTCAAGTACAACAAACGCCACAAACTCAAGTTCAAAAATTGCAACAAACTCAAATTCAAAAAACACACAAATTCAAGTTCAAAAACACCACAAACTCAAGTTCAAAAATGCCGAATCCGAAGTTCAACCAACACCCAAATCTCAAGTTTAACAATTGCAACAACTTCAAGTTCAAAGACAACAGAAACTCAAATTCAAAAACACCACAAACACAAGTTAAAAAAACACAAAAATTCAAGTTCAAAAACACCACAAACTCAAGTTAAATGAACACCACAAAGTCAAGTTCAACAAATGTCAAAGTTTTAAGTTCAACCAACACCCAAATCTAAAGATTAACAATTGCCAAATCCTCAAGTTAAAAAACAACAATAATTCAAGTGAAAACATGCCACAAACTCAAGTTAGCCAAACAAACAAACTCAAGTTCAAACACGACACAAACTCAAGTTTAACTAACACCCAAATCTTAAGTTTAACGATTGCCACAACTTCAAGTTAGAAAAATAACAAAAATTCAGGTTAAAACACGCCACAAACTCAAGTTCAAAAACACCACAAACTCAAGTTCAAACACGACACAAACTCAAGTTCAACCAGATCCCAAATCTCAAGTTTGACAATTGCCACAACCTCAAGTTAAAAAGAACAGAAACTCAGGTTAAAACACACCACAAACTCAAGTTAAACAAACACACAAACTCAAGTTCAAAAACACTACAAACTCAAGTTCAAAAAACACCCAAATCTCAAGTTTGACAATTGCCACAAACTTAAGTTCGAAAAACACACAAACTCAAGTTTAAAAACACCACAAACTCAAGTTCAAAAAACACACAAACTCAAGTTTAACAATTGCCACAAACTTAAGTTCGAAAAACACACAAACTCAGGTTTAACAATTGCCACAAACTCAAGTTCGAAAAACACACAAACTCAAGTTCAAAAACACCACAAACTCAAGTTCAAAAAACACACAAACTCAAGTTTAACAATTGCCACAAACTTAAGTTCGAAAAACACACAAACTCAAGTTTAACAATTGCCACAAACTCAAGTTCGAAAAACACACAAACTCAAGTTCAAAAACACCACAAACTCAGGTTCAAAAAACGAAAAAAAAACTCAAGTTCAAAAACACCACAAACTCAAGTTCAAAAATCACAAAAACTTAAGTTAAAAATAAAAAAAAGAAACTCAAGTTAAAACACGCCACAAACTCAAGTTCAAAAACACCAAAAACTCAAGTTCAACCAACACACAAATCTAAGTTTAACAATTGCAACAAACTCAATTTCAAAAAACACACAAACTCAAGTTCAAAAACACCAGAAACTCAGGTTCAAAAAACACACAAACTCAAGTTCAAAAACACCACAAACTCAAGTTCAAAAAACACACAAACTCAAGTTTAACAATTGCCCCAAACTTCAGTTCGAAAAACACACAAACTCAAGTTTAACAATTGCCACAAACTCAAGTTCAAAAACACCAGAAACTCAGGTTCAAAAAACACACAAACTCAAGTTCAAAACACCACAAACTCAAGTTCAAAAATCACAAAAACTTAAGTTAAAAAAAAAACAGAAACTCAAGTTAAAACACGCCACAAACTCAAGTTCAAAAACACCACAAACTCAAGTTCAACCAACACACAAATCTCAAGTTTAACAATTGCCACAAACTCAATTTCAAAAAACACACAAACTCAAGTTCAAAAACACCACAAACTCAAGTTCAAAAAACACACAAACTCAAGTTCAAAAACACCACAAACTCAAGTTCAAAAATCACAAAAACTTAAGTTAAAAATAAAAAAAAGAAACTCAAGTTAAAACACGCCACAAACTCAAGTTCAAAAACACCAAAAACTCAAGTTCAACCAACACACAAATCTAAGTTTAACAATTGCAACAAACTCAATTTCAAAAAACACACAAACTCAAGTTCAAAAACACCAGAAACTCAGGTTCGAAAAACACACAAACTCAAGTTTAACAATTGCCACAAACTCAAGTTCGAAAAACACACAAACTCAAGTTCAAAAACACCACAAACTCAGGTTCAAAAAACACACAAACTCAAGTTCAAAAACACCACAAACTCAAGTTCAAAAACACCACAAACTCAAGTTCAAAAATCACAAAAACTTAAGTTAAAAATAAAAAAAAGAAGCTCAAGTTAAAACACGCCACAAACTCAAGTTCAAAAACACCAAAAACTCAAGTTCAACCAACACACAAATCTAAGTTAAACAATTGCAACAAACTCAATTTCAAAAAACACACAAACTCAAGTTCAAAAACACCAGAAACTCAGGTTCAAAAAACACACAAACTCAAGTTCAAAAACACCACAAACTCAAGTTCAACAAACACACAAACTCAAGTTTAACAATTGCCCCAAACTTCAGTTCGAAAAACACACAAACTCAAGTTTAACAATTGCCACAAACTCAAGTTCAAAACACCACAAACTCAGGTTCAAAAAACACAAAAACTTAAGTTAAAAAAAAAACAGAAACTCAAGTTAAAACACGCCACAAATTCAAGTTCAAAAACACCACAAACTCAAGTTCAACCAACACACAAATCTCAAGTTTAACAATTGCCACAAACTCAATTTCAAAAAACACACAAACTCAAGTTCAAAAACACCACAAACTCAAGTTCAAAAAACACACAAACTCAAGTTCAAAAACACCACAAACTCAAGTTCAAAAATCACAAAAACTTAAGTTAAAAATAAAAAAAGAAGCTCAAGTTAAAACACGCCACAAACTCAAGTTCAAAAACACCAAAAACTCAAGTTCAACCAACACACAAATCTAAGTTTAACAATTGCAACAAACTCAATTTCAAAAAACACACAAACTCAAGTTCAAAAACACCAGAAACTTAGGTTCAAAAAACACACAAACTCAAGTTCAAAAACACCATAAACTCAAGTTCAACCAAAACCCAAATCTCAAATTTAACAATTGCCACAAACTTAAGTTCAAAAAACACACAAACTCAAGTTCAAAAACACCACAAACTCAAGTTCAAAAAACACACAAACTCAAGTTTAACAATTGCCACAAACTTAAGTTAAAAAAAACACACAAACACAAGTTGAAAAAACACACAAACTCAAGTTCAAAAACAGCACAAACTCAAGTTAAAACATGCCACAAACTCAAGTTAAACAAACACACAAATTCAAGTTCAAAAACACCACAAACTCAAGTTCAACCAACACACAAATCTCAAGTTTAACAATTGCCACAAACTTAAGTTCAGAAACCACACAAACTCAAGTTCAAAAACACCAAAAAGTCAAGTTCAAACAAGACCAAAACTCAAGTTAAATGAACACCACAAACTCAAGTTCAACAAATGTCAAAGTTTTAAGTTCAACCAACACCCAAATCTAAAGTTTAACAATTGCCAAAATCCTCAAGTTAAAAAAAAAAAAATTAAAGTCGAAACACGCCACAAACTCAAGTTCAACAAACGCCACAAACTCAAGTTCAATAACACCACAAACTCAAGTTAAACCAACACCCAAATCTATAGTTTAAAAATTGCCACAACCTCAAGTTAAAAAACAACAGTATCTCAAGTTCAAACACAACACAAACTCAAGTTCAAACACGACACAAACTCAAGTACAACAAACGCCACAAACTTAAGTTTAAAAATTGCAACAAACTCAAATTCAAAAAACACACAAATTCAAGTTCAAAAACACCACAAAATCAAGTTCAAAAATGCCGAATCTGAAGTTCAACCAACACCCAAATCTCAAGTTTAACAATTGTAACAACTTCAAGTTCAAAGACAACAGAAACTCATTCAAAAACACCACAAACTCAAGTTAAATGAACACCACTAAGTCAAGTTCAACAAATGTCAAAGTTTTAAGTTCAACCAACACCCAAATCTAAAGATTAACAATTGCCAAAACCTCAAGTTAAAAAACAACAATAATTCAAGTGAAAACATGCCACAAACTCAAGTTAGCCAAACAAACAAACTCAAGTTCAAACAGGACACAAACTCAAGTTCAACTAACACCCAAATCTTAAGTTTAACGATTGCCACAACTTCAAGTTAGAAAAATAACAAAAATTCAGTTTAAAACACGACACAAACTCAAGTTCAACCAGATCCCAAATCTCAAGTTTGCCAATTGCCAAAACCTCAAGTTAAAAAAAACAGAAACTCAGGTTAAAACACACCACAAACTCAAGTTAAACAATTTCAAAAACCTCAAGTTCAAAAACAACAGAAACTCAAGTTTAAACACGCCACAAACTAAAGTTCAAAAACACCAAAGACTCAAGTTCAAACAAGAAACACAAACTCAAGTTCAAAAACACCAAAGAGTCAAGTTCAAACAAGACACAAACTCAAGTTAAATGAACACCACAAAGTCAAGTTCAACAAATGTCAAAGTTTTAAGTTCAACCAACACCCAAATCTAAAGATTAACAATTGCCAAAAACTCAAGTTAAAAAAACAACAAAAATTCAAGTTAAAACACGCCACAAACTCAAGTTAGACAAACAAACAAACTCAAGTTCAAACAGGACACAAACTCAAGTTCAACCAGCACCCAAATCTTAAGTTTAACAATTGCCACAACCTCAAGTTAAAAAACAACAGTAACTCAAGTTCAAACCTGCACAAACTCAAGTACAACAAACGCCACAAACTCAAGTTAAACAATTGCCACCAACTAAAGTTCAGGGAAATATACAAACTCAAGTTCAAACACGCCACAAACTCAAGTTCAACAAACACACGAACTCAAGTTCAATCAATACCCAATTCTCAAGTTAAACAATTTCAAAAACTCAAGTTAAAAAACAACAAAAATTCAAGTTAAAACACGCCACAAACTCAAGTTAGACAAACAAACAAACTCAAGTTCAAACAGGACACAAACTCAAGTTCAACCAGCACCCAAATCTTAAGTTTAACAATTGCCACAACCTCAAGTTAAAAAACAACAGTAACTCAAGTTCAAACCTGCACAAACTCAAGTTCAAACACGACACAAACTCAAGTTCAACCAAATCCCAAGTCTCAAGTTTAACAATTTCCACAACCTCAAGTTCAAAAAACCAACAGAAACTCAAGTTCAAACACGCCACAAACTCAAGTACAACAAACGCCACAAACTCAAGTTAAACAATTGCCACCAACTAAAGTGCAGGGAAATATACAGACTCAAGTTCAACAATTGCCACAAACTCAAGTTCAACAAACACCACAATCTTAAGTTCAAAAAATGCCAAAATTTCAAATTCAACAAATGACCTAAACTCACATTTAACAATTGCCAAAAACTAAAGTTCAACAAACTCAAGTTAAAAAAGTGCCACAAACTGAAGTTCAAAAACACCACAAACTCAAGTTCAAAAACACACAAACTCAATTTCAAAAACACCACAAACTTAATTTCAAACACGATACAAACTCAAGTTCAACAAACACCACAAACTCCAGTTCAATAAATGTGAAAAATTTAAGTTCAACCAACACCCAAATCTCAAGTTTAAGAATTGCAACAACCTCAAATTAAAACATGTCAAAAACTCAAGTTCTAGAAAAACACAAACTCAAGTTAAAAAAAACCACAATCTCAAGTTCAAAAAACACCACAAACTCAAGTTCAACAAACACACATACTCAAGTTCAAAAAACACACAAACTCAAGTTCAACGAACATCACATACTAAAGTTCAATAAATGTGAAAACCAACACCCAAATCTCAAGTTTAAAAATTGCAACAACCTCAAATTCAAATAAGCTACAAACTCAAAATCAAGTTCAACAATTGTCACCAACTAAAGTTCACTAAAAACCACAGACTTAAGTTCAAAAACACCACAACCTAGAGTGCAAACACGACACAAACTCAAGTTAAAAAAAACCACAAACTCAAGTGCAACATTTGCCACAAACTTTATCTCAACATACTCAAGTTCATAAGTTGCCACAAACTTATGTTCAAAAAACACACAAACTCTAATTCAAAAAATCCAAAAACAAAAGTTCAAAAAAGACACAAACTCAAGATCAACCAACACCCAAACCTCAACTTTAACAATTGCCACAACCTCAAGTTCAAAGACAACAGATACTCAAGTTCAAACACGCCACAAACTCAAGTTCAAATACGACACAAACTCAAGTTCAAAAACACCACAAACTCAAGTTCAAACACGACACAAACTCAAGTTCAACAAATGCCACAAACTCAAGTTCAAACACATCACAAATTCAAGTTCAACAAATGCCACAAACTCAAGTTCAAAGATGCCACCAACTAGAGATCACTAAAAACCACAAACTCAAGTTGAACAAAGACCACAAACTCAAGTTCAACAAACTCAAGTTCATAAATTGCCACAAACTTAAGATAAAAAAACACACAAACTGAAATTCAAACACGACACAAACTCAAGTTCAAAAAACACCACAAACTCAAGATCAACCAACACCCAAACCTCAACTTTAACAATTGCCACAACCTCAAGTTCAAAGACAACAGATACTCAAGTTCAAACACGCCACAAACTCAAGTTCAAATACGACACAAACTCAAGTTCAAAAACACCACAAACTCAAGTTCAAACACGACACAAACTCAAGTTCAAAAACACCACAAACTCAAGATCAAACACATCACAAATTCAAGTTCAAAAAACACCACAAACTCAAGTTTAAACAACACCCAATTCTCAAGTTTAACAATTTCCACAACCTCCAGTTCAAAAAACACACAAACTCAAGTTCAAACACGCCACAACCTCAATTCAAAAAACACCACAAACTCAAGTTCATACACGACACAAACTCAAGTTCAAAAAACACCACAAACTCAAGTTCAACCAACACCTGATTCTCAGGTTTAACAATTTCCACAACCTCAAGTTCAAAAAACACCACAAACTCAAGTTCAAACACGACACAAACTCAAGTTCAAAAAACAACACAAACTCAAGTTCAACCAACACCCAAATCTCAAGTTTAGCAATTGCCACAACCTCTAGTTCAAAAACAACACAAACTCAAGTTCAAACACGCCACATACTCATTTTCAAACACGCCACAAACTCAAATTTAAAAAAACACACAAATCCAAGTTCAACCAATACCCAATTCTCAAGTTTAACAATTGCCACAACCTTAAGTTCAAAAACACCACAAACTCAAGTTCAAACACATCACAAATTCAAGTTCAAAAAACACCACAAACTCAAGTTTAAACAACACCCAATTCTCAAGTTTAACAATTTCCACAACCTCCAGTTCAAAAAACACACAAACTCAAGTTCAAACACGCCACAACCTCAATTCAAAAAACACCACAAACTCAAGTTCATACACGACACAAACTCAAGTTCAAAAAACAAACAAACTCAAGTTCAACCAACACCCGATTCTCAGGTTTAACAATTTCCACAACCTCAAGTTCAAAAAACACCACAAACTCAAGTTCAAACACGCCACAAACTCAAGTTCAAACACTTCACAAACTCAAGTTCAAAAACACCACACAAACTCAAGTTCAAAAACGACACAAACTCAAGTTCAACAAACACAACAAGTCAAGTTCAAGCAACACCCGATCCTCAAGTTCAACAATTTCCACAAACTTAAGTTCAAAAACACCAGAACCTCAAGTTCAAAAAACATAATAAACTCAAGTTCAAATATGCCACAAACTCAAGTTCAATGAACACCACAAACTCAAGTTCAACCAACACTCGATTCTCAAGTTTAACAATTGCCACAACCTTAAGTTAAAAAAAACACAAACTCAAGTTCAAACACTTCACAAACTCAGGTTCAACAAACACCACAAACTCAAGTTCAACAAATGCCACAAACTCAAGTTCAACAATTGCCACCAACTAAAGTTCAGGGAAAAATACAGACTCAAGTTCAACAATTGCCAAAAAATCAAGCCAAACAAACTCCAGTTCATAAGTTGCCACAAACTTCAAACACGACACAAACTCAAGTTCAAAAACACCACAAACTCAAGTTCAAAAACACCACACAAACTCAAGTTCAAAAACGACACAAACTCAAGTTCAACAAACACAACAAGTCAAGTTCAAGCAACACCCGATCCTCAAGTTCAACAATTTCCACAAACTTAAGTTCAAAAACACCAGAACCTCAAGTTCAAAAAACATAATAAACTCAAGTTCAAAAACGACACAAACTCAAGTTCAACAAACAAAACTAACTATTTAGAATAATTTTGAGGTGTTTGAGAGGTTTTTTGTAGACTTACCCTAGTGGTCCTAAGTTGTTGTTGATGTTAGGCGTTTCTTTTCCAGTAGTCTGAAATCTGTTGGAGGGGGGAAAAGGTTCCAGCTGTCCAGCCGCGGCGGCAGCGGTGTGTCTGAAGTCCGGGGTCCTCTGTGGGAAGGTTTGCTGGGACTCGGTGCCGTCGGCGGGTCGAAGCTCGGTGGTGGGCGGCTTGGAGTGATGGAGGTACGGCGTCTTCCTCGATGGTGGTCCGTCTTCTTGGTCCAGTGGTCAGTGCTTTGTCTCAATTACAGGAACAGGAATTGCTCTTTAGTGCACTGCACTTAAATGTGCTTTTGAAAGGAGAAGACATCCCCAGAGTTGGGCTCGAGTCATGGTTTGTGCTGTTCCTCTCAGACATGGTTGTGTTCTCTTCTCGATGTTTGTATTCCAGAATGGATGTCTCTTGGTTGTATTTTAAACTTTCAAGTTGTTTTAAGTTAATTTTAATGTAGTTTATTGTTTTAAATTGAGTTTTGCTACATTAAATTTGTATGCAATCGCAAGGGATTGTGGGTATTTTAGTTCTGAGGGATGAGAGCCTAAGGAATCAATCTTCCTGTTACAGCAAAGGATTGCGGGTAAAACCGTGAGTGAGTGAGGTACTTCCTTTCTGGCATGAGAGCCTTGGGAATCAATCTCCCTGTTGCAGCAAAGGATTGTAGGTAAAACTGTGAGTGAGGGAGGTACATTTTTCCTGGCATGAGAACCTCAGGAGTCAGTCCTTCCTAAGAAAAAAGAGGGGAGGGGGGAAGAAAAACAAAAGCACAGGAACCCTAAAATAAAATAAAATAAAATAAAATAATATAAAACAATGAAAAAATAAAAAAATAAAAGAAGAACAAAAGTGGATTGCAAAAGGGAAAGGGGAAGAAAAAAGAAAAAAAAGAAGTGTCAAGAGCAAATAGCAAAAATCAGAAGTGAGCTTAAAAACAGAGAACAGTTCCCTAAAAGAAAGACAGAAATGTAAATCTGATCATTGTCCTAAGGGAAAATCTGTACGTGTGTGTGTGTGTTCTTTTTTGCTAACTTAGTCTGGTGTCACTGATGGTCAGTTATTGATAAGTATTTATTATTTAAATTTTTGATGAAGTTGTTTGTAGTGGGGTTAGCTGGCTAATTTTAGAGTGTTAAAAAAGATGTTAGAGGGGGAGGATTTAGGCGGCACGGCGGTTCCCCTTCAGGTCTCTCTTAATCCTCCATATAGGTGACCCAACAGGGGTTACCCCCCGGCCTAGGCTGAAGATCACCTATTTGTCCTCTGTGAAGGTGAAAATAAAGGGGCAGGGGAGGGAATAAGAAAGGGGGGGTGTTAGAGAGAGGGGGAGAGATGAGGGAGAGAGATGAGGGAGAGAGAGAGAGAGAGAGAGAGAGAGAGAGAGAGGGGTGTGTGTGTGTGTGTGTGTGTGTGTGTGTGTTAGAGAGAGAGAGAGAGAGAAGGGAAAAGGGAGAGGGGGTTTAAGGGAGAGGTGGAGATGGTGGAAAATAAAGATTGGTGAGGGGGATTTGGTGGTGGATGAAACATCCCATAGCTCCCCAGCTCTCACCATCCATGTGAGGAGAGTGAGCAAGGGACATAGTCCCCCGACCCGACTAGGTCTAGGCTCTGCTCTCCTCACGGTCCTCACAAGATACAAAGAGGTATGTAAACGTGGAAGTGAGAGTTCTCTAGGCAGAGTTTTGGGTTTGGTTTGAGCTGAGTTGGTCAGTTGATTATTGATTACTATTTTAAGTTCTAAAAGTGGACAGAGTCAAAAAGTCACAGAGGATTGTGGTGGGAGCAGGTGGTCCGTCTGGCACCATTCTGCTCATGAAGGGATTCGAGTGATGGAAAGAGAATAGATCTTGCCACCGTGACTCGCCATTGAGACTCTCCTCACCTGCTGGTTCGCATCCTCTGATAGGAGAGAGAGGTACAGATCAGGAGAGAGGGAGAAAAGGAGGGGGGCAGGGTGGGGTCAGGAGTTAATTTGTCTTGAAAAGTATTTATCTTTTCGTCATTGCTGTTAGGGTTTAGATGTTTTTTGTTTAGTTATCTGTGGAATGTAGTGTTAGTATAGGTTCCAAAGTGGAGGATTCTTTGGAATTCACTCTCACCCTTGAACCTGGAAGATCTTAGATTCTATAAAGGGGGGGGAGGGGGGGGCGGGGGTGAGAGGTTGTGTGCACAGAAGGAGCATGGGCTCAGACTATTCTCGGAATGATATTGTGACAAGTCTGTCCGAAGGCAACTGGCTGGTTAGGTGTGGGAAAGAGATACAGTGATAGCCCCTGCTTTCGTCAGTTGACTTGGCGGTTTGGGGTAGGCTGATCAAGGGCTTGCACTGGCTGGCGCATGTCGACATATCACATGTTCCCAGTCAAGTCTCCAAGCTCAATCTGTGTGTAAAAATTATGTGTTGGTAGGAAGTTTAATGACTCAGCTCAATTGGTATGCTATGCTGTCTATCTTTTAGACTATGTGTTTGTAGAGCAAAATTATGTATATATTATATTACAGGGCTAGGGTAAGGTTAAAGGTTTTTGGCATTAGGGTTAAAATCACTGTCCAAAACCTTTGTAGGAACTCTATTCCAACCTTTTGAAGTTAGCTAGACCAAAAAAAAAAAAATGAAAAATGAAAAAAAATTTGTTTGGGGTGTGAAGGCCTCCTTAAGGTAATACCCGGGTATTAGGTTCGGGGATAGGGTAAGGTTTAAAGGGGACCTGCCACCAAAATTTCATACCCATTTTTATCAATTTTTCATAATCCTTGATGTCCTCTGATCATGTTTGCAACATAATTTTAGCTGAAAAGTTATTTGATGGTTTGTTTTAGTATGCCTAAAAAACCTTACAGGAAAACCAACTGGTTTTGGCTCATTAACATTTATGGTAATGAGCTTTGCTCTGATTGGATCGCTGCTGTGAAGCCTGCTGTGCTCTGATTGGCTCAGCAGTGGAGGTTCGTATTTCGGTTTATCCACTGTTATTATGCTAATGCTAATAGCATATGCTAATGTGTGCTAAAGTAAGGTGCCCAGATGTCTGTAATGATATCCGGGGATATTCGGTGCGGCGGCGGTGGTGCAGGGGCTGCAGGGGCTGTGTGATCACAGACAAAGTCTCGGTACTATTTAGTAGCAGCGCATGCCCCTTGTAATAACCCCCGTAAGAACTGTTGTTCAGGACTGCTAACTAAATTCGGCTACTGTAATAACCGTTGTTCGAGCCCACACACAACATTTTTGCTCTCATTAATGAAATGCTTAAATCGGGGACATTTTCGGGGACAGCTTTTGCCGGGGACAGATCATCCAATACGGGGACTGTCCCCGGAAATCGGGGACGTCTGGTCACCTTATGCTAAAGGCTAAAAACGGCAGGTATTAAACCATATATTTTAGACCCCGAGTCCGAAGAGGAGGTGGAAGTTGAGGAAGAAGCCGGAGATCTCCAGCGGTGTTTTCTCATTCATTCTGCCCGGCTTTAAGTTCATTTTCCCGGTAGTGAACCGAAGGAAACACCGATCGTTTGGAAGAGACCCATAGCGGATACAGCGGTAGCTGGGTCTCGCTCTGGCTGTGACTGAGTACGAGAACGAGAGAGTGGGCGCGGCTCACCGAGGACGCGCTCGTGAATAATAATGAGCAAGGTCGGCGCAACGTAACACCGACGGGCTTTTTCAATTGGCCTGGTTTACTCGTTCCTTGATTTTAAACCTTTACAGAATGCAAACGACGTAACGGTTTGTTTTCACATGTACAACATAAGACGAACATAATATGGACCTTATATGACACAAAAAACCCCCAAAATTACATTTTTATGGCAGGTCCCCTTTAAGCTTTTTAGCGTTAGGGTTAAAATCACTGTCCAAAACCTTTGTGGAAACATGTTTCAGACCTTTTGGAGTTAGTTAAACAAAAAAAAAAGAAAAAAAATATATATATATTTGGGGTTTTCGGGCTTCCTGAAGGTAATACTATTATAAGGTTATGGGGCTATGGTAAGGTTTAAGGTTTTGATGTTAGTGTTAAAATCACTTTCCAAAACCTTTGTAGGAACTCTTTTCCAAGCTTTTGGAGTTAGTTTGACCAAAAAATAACAAAAATTGAAAAAAAAATATTTGGGGTTTTTGGGCTTCCTGAAGGTAATTCTCGGGTATTAGGTTGTGTGGCTATGGTAAGGTTTAAGGTTTTTGAAGATACGGTTAAAATCTCTGTCCAAAACCTTTGTAGGAACTTTTTTCCAACCTTTTGGAGTTTGTTAGACCAAAAAAAAATGAAAAATGAAAAAAAAAATATTGGGGGTTGTCGGGCTCCTGAAGGTAATACCTGGGTATTAGGTTTTGGGGCTAGGGTAAGGTTTAAGGGTTTTGGCGTGAGGGTTAAAATCACATTTTTTTTTGGTCTAACTAACTCCAAAAGGTTGGAAAAGAGTTCCTACAAAGCTAGCCCAGTAACCTAATACCCGGGTATTACCTTCTGGAAGCCCGAAAACCCCCCAATTTTTTTTTTCTTTTTTCTTTTTTTTTTGGTCTAACTAACTCCAAAAGGTTGGAAAAGAGTTCCTACAAAGGTTTTGGACAGTGATTTTAACCCTAACGCCAAAAACCTTAAACCTTACCCTAGCCCCATAACCTTATACCCGGGTATTACCTTCAGGAAGCCCGAAAACCCCAAATATTTGTGCTTTCTCTTTCCATTTGGTAAACTCAGCCCGTGCTTCTGCGCTTGCATCTGGGGCTAACGTGTCTTCCTCTGTTAGCACACCCCCATAGTCCTTTAGCCTTTAGCAAGTGTTCCATCTGAAACTTCCATGTTGTCCAATTCCCCGGTCCGCTCAGCTTATCAATAAACAGTTTGTCTTCCATTGTGAAATCCCACAACACTGTTTATCCTCACACAGCTTTTAGCAACGATCTGGGCCCATAACCTGTAGTTTTAGAACATGCTTTATTGCGGACGAGGTAAACACAACGAACGTGCTGAATCAACGTAACGATAGAAGTGCTTCACTGGATATGCACAAGCAGACGTAGCAGCAAGGTGGCAGAGTAGCAGCACCATCTATTGGTAAAAGTACTACTATATCACAACCATAGACTGTGGCTGTGTCTCATTTCAGAGACTGCATCGTCGAACGGCACATTTGAAGTGTGCGTGAGGTCATCATGAGCCACGAACGGTGTCCCATTTGGCACGAAATGCTAAGTGCGCTTCAAAATCGGTCTCAAAACCACACTGCCCCCGCCCCTTTTTCAAGCATGCATTTATGCACCCTTTCGTGCTGTTGGTATCCCAGAAATCTTTGCTTGCCGCTGCACAGCTGCGCATTTCGGGTGAGAGACTGGACTCGCTTGGAGACGCAGCGTGTCTTTAAAGAAAATACAAGAAATCCAAAAACAGCAGACAGCAGCTTTATGGCTTTATTTACTTTATTCTCTGAAATTTACAACTTTAATCTCTAAATCTTAAAAAATAAATAAATAAATAAAAAATACTCAATGTGTCAATGATACTCTGCTGTAGTTTTGTCAGCTTTTTAATTTCTGTTTTTGATTGTTGTAGCAGAGCGGATCAGTTCGTCTCTTAGGACTATAATGTTTGGTTTACAAATTTTAGTGAGTTCAGAGATCATGCTCTCATACAGCCTGAGCTGACTGTCTGCTGTTTTTGGATTTCTTGTATTTTCTTTAAAGACACGCTGCGTCTCCAAGCGAGTCCAGTCTCTCACCCGAAATGCGCAGCTGTGCAGCAGCACGCAAAGATTTCTGGGATACCAACAGCACGAAAGCGTGCATTAGCATTTCGTGCCAAATGGGACACCATTCGCGCCATGTGATGACATCATGCATGCTTCAAATGCGCTGTTCGACGGTGCGGTCTCTGAAATGAGACACAGCCTGTATATAGAATGGACAGCGTCTGCCTCCTTGCTGGGTGAAGCCACTCTGAGAACAGCACCCTCTGTTGATGGGCTGCAGTATAGTTCATAAATCCCGCCTCCGCCAGCAAAGCTTATGGAGCTGTGAACAAACTTTAGAAATTTATTACACAGAACATAAATTTTTCTCCCCCTTGCTTGTGATGTTGACATGTAGTTATTGTAAGACTGGTTTGTGCTCAAGTCCTCTTTTTGCTGTGAAGCTCCGTTTTTAAAAGTTATTAAGGGGGTCATGTTTTCTATGATTGACACCTGATACAGCCTATGGGCGTTCAGGGATTGCGTAGCTCATCACAGTGACTCTCGTCACAGTGACTCTCGGTGACTGCATGGCCGAATGCGTGGAAATGAAGAAAAATCCCGGAAATACCGTGAGCTTTTTGGCTTCAAATCCGTATGCAGGCGGTAGGCGGAACCAAGTTGTCCATAATATATACAGTCTATGATCACAACACCGTTGGTTTCCAGTCCTGCTGTCTTGTGTTCACTAGCCACTGCTTCAGCCTAACTTTGTCACCTAAAGGGAAACTTTACAAAAATATAACAGTGCCTACTGCCATTTGTCAAGTTTGTATACAACACAAAGTTAATGTTTTGCGTTCAGTTTAATTCTTCCTTTGTTGCATAACAGGCTAAAGCCAAAACTCTAAATTCAAAGACAATCACACAGTAAATAAATATATAAACTGTATAAATAATCTGGTTTCATCTTGTGAGTGATATGTCTTATGAACATCCTATTAAAATTGAGGAATTTCTTTACATCTAACAAAAATTTTAATGTCATTGTGATTTATTGAGTTTGTCATATGCAGCTGTCTTCATAACTAATTACATTACTCATAGTTTTATCTCAGTCTCATAAGTAACAGGGCTATCTTGAAAACTTAAATAAGATGGTAATCTACCATGCTGCTGTAAATGAGTATACTTATGACTTATCTATTTTATTTGATGACATAAAATAAGTAACAGTTATGCAACTTGTATAAGTAATCTTTTGAGCATGTCCTTCTATACACTTATTGGGTCTCGTTTTCTCGACGTTTTATCTCATTAAAGACAGTTTCAGAGCTTTATCTTAGACAAATATCGTTATGTCACCAGAAGCCGTAATGCCACTGTACGGAGGAGACTGAACCGGCGGTCAAACCTCTGCCAGACATTAGGACGGTGCATTTTAATTAAACCATTTCTAATTTTAGCGCAGGCTGCTCTCGTTGTAACATATCCTAGTAAAACTGGTTGATCCATTACCAAAACTACGTCTTATAACATCATGACACTCCATATATTCATTTACATGACCTTGTTCTCATAAAGTGATGCAACATTAGGGGAATGACTTAAATGCGAATTAATTCCTTTAACATTATGACTTCATCCCCTGAGTTTTCATTTCATGCCCTGATACTCCGTGGTAGTATTTAGTTGCTAATATGAATGTGTGTGATCGGTACGGTTTTTAATTCAAATTCAAAGTCAAGTAGTCATAATATTGTCATAGAAAAGAAGGTGGATTTCAAGGGGTTTCCTCATTTTCTAACTTCGAATAAAAATGCTTAAATAAGGCACAGAACTAACCACTTGGTATCTGTAAATAAACCCCATTAGCTAAATTTAACCAGACTGTTTAATGTTATAAAGCTAGCAAGCTGATGACTTCATAAAAAAACACAACCTACCAAAACAACTGCAAAGATCCCAATTTCACAGGTCAGTTAACATGATTTACTGCAAAACAACTCATTTTTCCAATGCAACAAAAAAGAAAAACGATGGAGGCGTGGCAGGGGGAGGTGTCGACAGAATCAGCGGGCGCAGTGACATTTTCGTGCTTGCCAGTGGCATGTAAAGTGTGCTGAAAGCTCGCCGATTCAAACCTGGTCAGCTTTCAGCGCAGGCGGAACGCAGCTGGTCTAGTAGTATTTTGGTAGACCGGCGGCGTATCGGCATATGTCACCGATGCCTCACCGGCAGGTTTCCACAGTGTCAGGCACATTTCAGTGTAATAAATAATCATCAACAAGTATTAATCTGAGTCGGCACATACATTTAGATCTATATAGATATATTCTGATCTATATCTGATCTGACGAGAGCGTTTGGCATGCGTTTGGATACACAACCTGACCGAATCAACACAGCTGAAACCACATTAAATTAAATGAAATATCTAGTAAATAGACACACATGATGAAGTTAACAAGATATTTAATTTGTCTCCCTCCTTTTCTTTCTTCCTCTTCCTCTTACTTCTTGCGCAGCTCGACCTGGACATGTCTCTGTGTCCTCTCTCCGTTCTGCTGCAGCTGCGGCTGAACAGATGATTTGTTTCAGTACTCAGATGAGTTATCTACTTGAAGCTGACATACGGATACTATCATATTCAGTTTTGTGAGTCAAATTTATTTTATATGCCAACATCAATGAAAGAAAGAGCAAGGCCACGGAGCGCGATGCGTCCTTCGCACAGATGGTTCAGATTTTAATGCCATTTTTTAAGTTTATGTTGTGATCTGTGCACACAACCCACCTTTGTCACGTGAGGTTTGAATATATGCAACTTTATGTGAGTGTCTTAATTAGTGGAAAAGGGTGTTTTTCTTACCACTGGGTCCAACATTACACACACCAAATCCATCTGTGCTCATATGAGAGAGTGTGGAGGACGACCAATGCAGTGCTTACAGTGACACTTGTTGAGCTGCTGCCTTTTGTCGCCATCGTGGTGGCATTACTGTCTTAAGACATCTCTTGATCTCTCTGACTACTTCACAAAATTAGTAATATGCCTCGCCGGTGGCGGATTTAAAGGCAAGGAGAGGAGCTTATGTGATTGGTGAAAACTGGTCTTGGCTGTGTTAAACCCACTCCACGCCCTCTCTCCTCCCTCGCAACGACTTACGCCGCTGGGAGGAGCTGAGTTAGAGAGGGGGGATACTTACGCCGGCCTGTGGCGCCCACCAAAATACCAAACTGTGCTTGGGGACGCCTTGTCGGCGCGGTGGACCTGACTTACGCCTCGTCTCCGGCGAGGCACGAAAATAGAGCCCTACATGTCAACATCGCTGTCAGAAGTGAGAAAAGTGTATTTTCTGTGTAATTATTTTCTAAATGCCGTCCACCGCTCCTTTCACTTTGCTGGTGGAGGTGGGGTTTATGACCTATATTGCAGCCCATCAACAGAGGGTGCTGTTCTCGGAGTGGCTTCACCCAGCGAGGAGACAGACGGTGTCTATCTTATGTACAGTCTATGGTCTAAATAGGTTGACATTTCCTGGACAGTTCATCGAAGTATATTTACAGGCAAAGCTTCTTTATTTTCATTGTTGGGTAAGGGTTAAGGCAAATGAATGCATATTTTACAATTGCTGCTGACTGAAAAAAATGCATTATAGACTTGCACACAATTTCTCATTTCTGTGTATGAATCTTCAGCTGCTTGCTTCTATGATATTTCTCCACGAAGGAACTTCTTTAAAGGAGGTGACTCCTCTCCCAACTGAAACAATTCAGCATCAAAAAATCTGTTTGGATTTACATTATTTCAACTGTTTCACGCTGACACTCAGTCTGGTCTCCAGCTCTGGGAGGAAAAACCACAGTCATTCATGTTTTTGGAGGATTTCTCTAAAAAACACACAATCCTGCTTTGTTTTTCTTGAAGGTGAGTCAGTTTTAAGATTCAATGAGATTAGCTCTTTCTGATTAAATCTATTCGGATCTTATCTGAAGTAACTGTAATAGAGCTGGAACAAAACGCAACAAATCTTGTGATTCTTGGACACACAGTTCCTTAATAAACCCCCATTTCCCTTTCAAGTCAAGAGGGTTTGGAAAGATCATTTGGCTGCCAAATGATCTTTGACAAGATGGCCGCCGAGGAGCAGACACACAGTTGGGCAGGTCCTGTGGGTTTGCTCCAAAAGTCATGTAAATACAAAAAAAGACCTCAGCTTTTGCCATTGTGTCTCTCGATTGCCTTTGTAACTTTCTATCTTCTTCTGAGTTTGACCTGTCCAAGAAAAAGGGATGATTTGACCCTGTTTCCAGCCAAATGGAGCCAACATGCTTTATACACAAGAGTACTGGATTATGGCCATGCCAGACCACCTCCAGGTAAAGACTAACAATCAGTTGCAACTAGTCCCTTTATGGGAATCGCTCATCTCTTGATGATACTGCTCCTGGCTGGTGATGTTGGAGTAAATCCTGGGCCGCAGGTTCTTTATTCAAACCTTCTGTAGGGGCGACAACCACAGCTACCCTGGCTACAACCAGAGCTAGCTGGGCTACCACTACTGCTAGCTGGGCCTCCACTACAGCTAGCCGGGCTTCCACCACTGCTATCTGGGCCTCCACCATTGCTACCTGGGCTTGCATCACTGCTAGCTGGGCTTCCACCACTGCTAGCTGGGCCCACACCACAGCTTGTTGGGCCTCCACCCTTGCTACCTGGCCCTCCACCCTTGCTACCTGGCCCTCCACCACTGCTAGCTAGGCCACCACCATTGGTAGCTAGGCTTCCCCCCACGGCTAGTTGGGATTCCACCACTGCTAGCTGAGCCTCCACCACTGCTACCTGGGCCTCTACCACTGATAGCTTGGCTTCCATCACGGCTAGATAGGCCACCACCATTGCTAGCTGGGCTCCCATCACTGCTACCTTGGCCTCCATCACAGCTAGCTGGGCTTTCATCACAGCAACAAGGGCCATGGCCACAACATGTGCTACAACATCAGGAGGAGATGCTTCACCCAGCCAAGGTCAGCTCAACAGCGTGTCACTCAGTGGGATCGAGCCAGGAAACTGCAACACAGCATGAGGTCACCACCACAATGCCCCGACCAAGAGGACAGTCTCCACACACTAGCACATGTAAGACTCGCAACCCAGTATTCAAGAAACATAAACAATTTAAATTATTCAGGACACTCAATCAGGCGAGGACTATCTGGGATCCAGTGTATAAAAAGGGGGGCTTGTTTGGGGGTCATTTAAATGTTCGCAGCTTGGTACCAAAACGTGAACAGATTGAACACTTATTAGGTAATTCCAATATCGATTTCATGGGTTTATCTGAAACATGGCTCACCAGCTACTCACCTGAGGCTGCTGTGTCACTACCAGACTATAAAACATACAGGAGAGATAAGGGACAGGGAAGGGGTGGAGGGGTTCTCTTATATGTAAAGATCAACTTGAAAAGTAAACGGATTACATTTTCCAGCAACATCAGCAACATCACACTTGAATGCGTTGGTGTAAACATCTCCCTTTCGAGAGAAATGTCTCTGACAGTCATCTGCATCTATCGCAAACCTACAGCTAACACAGATTTTTATGACCAACTCAAGGAACTCCTTAGATCATGTAATCATAAAAAGGAAATCCTCCTCTGGCGATTTCAACATCAACTGGGATAACAAAAAAGACAGAAAACACTTCAAGCTAATAACTGATTATTTCAATCTCACCCAGCTTATAGAGCAACCCACCAGAATCACACACCGCACACACTCCAGAATCGACTTAGTTTTCACCAATAGACCGGAAAGAATCACAAATTCCCACAACCTGTTAACAGGAATTTCTGACCATAATGCAATCTTTTTCTCTAGAAAAGTCAAATGTTCTAAAAACCTGTATCATACTCCAACCAACTGATCTAATAAACTGACAATCCCCAATAATCAACAAGAAAATGTGGATAGAGCTCTAAAAGATATTGGGCTCTATTTTCGTTCGCGCCGGTGAGGCGGCGGAGGGCGGCGAGCCCCGCGCAGTTGTATTTTCGTCTGGCGGAGCCCGGCGTAAGGCGAGTTTGGTATTTTCGTGGACTGAGTCGCATGGAGGCGAGCCGAGATCTGCCAAGCTGGGCGTGGTGGCGTGGCAGGGGGAGGTGTTGACAGAATCAGCTGGCGCAGTGACATTTTCGTGCTCGCCACCAGCGTGTAACGTGCGCTGAAAGCTCGCCGATTCAAACCTGGTCAGCTTTCAGCGCAAGGCGGAACGCAGCTGGTCTTGTAGTATTTTGGTAGACCGGCGGCGTATCGACATACGTCACCGATGCCTCACCGGCAGGTTTCCACAGTGTCAGGCAGATTTCAGTGCAATAAATAATCATCAACAACTATTAATCTGAGTCAGCACATACATTTAGATCTATATTGATATATTTTGATCTATATCTGATCTGATGAGCGCATTTGGCACGCGTTTGGCACGCATTTGGGCACACAACCTGACCGAATCAATACAGCTGAAACTGCATCAAATCAAATTGAATATCTAGTAAATAAACACACATGATGAAGTTAACAAGATATGTAATGTGTCTCCCTCCTTTTCTTTCTTCCTCTTATTTCTCGCACAGCTGGACCTGGACACGTCTCCGTGTCCTCTGTCCGTCTTGCTGCAGCTGCTGCGGCTGAACAGATGATTTGTTTCAGTGCTCAGATGCGTTATCTACTTTAAGCCGACATATGGATATTATAATATTCAGTTTTGTGGGCCAAATTTATTTTATATGCCAACATCTATGAAAGAAAGAGCCAGGCCATGGAGCGCGATGCGTCATTTACGCACAGATGGTTCCGATTTTAATGCCATTTTTGGAGTTTATGTTGTGATCTGTGCGCTAAACCCACTTTTGTCACGTGAGGTTTGAATATATGCAACTTTATGTGAGTGTCTTAATTAGTGGAAAAGGGTGTTTGTCTTACCAGTGGGTCCAACATTACACACACCAAATCCATCTGTGCTCAGATGAAAGAGTGTGGAGGACACTTGTTGAGCAGCTGCCCTCTGTCGCCATCGTGTGGCATAACTGTCTTCAGACATCTCTTGATCTCTTTGACTACTTCATGAAAATAGTAATACGCCTCGCCGGTGGCGGATTTAAAGGCAAGGAGAGGAGCTTATGTGATTGGTGAAAACAGGTCTCGGCTGTGTTAAACCCACTATACGCCCTCTCTCCTCCCCGTCTACGACTTATGCTGCCGGGAGGAGCTGAGTTAGGGAGGGGGGATACTTACGCCGGGCTGCGCGGCTCACCAAAATACCAAAATGTGCTTGGGAACGCCTTGTCAGCGCGGCGGATCTGATTGACGCTGCGCTTGCGGCACATCTCCGGCGAGGCACCAAAATAGAGCCCATTGACTGGTCTGGCTTCATGGAATGGGATGATGCAGACACTGGCATTGACATTTCTCTCCAAAGTCAAAGACGTTATCCTCTCTTTTTCCAGGAGGAGCCGCCAGGGGAAAAAGAAGTCCACCTCTCTCCCCTGGCTCAACTCTGCCTGCTTAAAACTAATGAAAAATAGGGATCAACTACTAAAAAAAATCTATTAAATCCGGTCTTAACATAGATAGACTCAACTTCACAGTAGCCAGAAACAAGGTGACATCAGAATTGTGCAAGGCCAAAGCTAATTTCTTTATCCAAATTATTGAGAACGCTAGAGGTAACAGTAAAAAAATATGGCAGAATATGAATAAATTAACAGGGAAACAACACAAGCAGGTAACAAAGGGGCCCATTTTGTTCTCATTGTACAATAATGATTTACCAGATTTTTGTATAAATGTAGATGTCCAGCTCTATGCCGACGATGCAGTAATATTTACAAAAGCCACAAATCCTGAGGAGGCAGCTCGTGTGCTTTCTTCAGCTCTGACTCACATACAAACATGGCTTTCTAGATCGTGTCTTATTCTGAATGCAAAAAAAAACTGTTTATTTTTGTCAAAGCAATCTGCCTCTACCATGCTTTCTCGCTCAGGTGTTTTTTGGGTGCAGTAGAGCTGGAAGTTGTGAATGAGTTTAAATGCTTAGGGGTGATTATAGACTCCAAACTCTCTTTTAAAAAACATGTTAAAATGATAACCAAAAAAATTAAATTCCATCTCTATAACTTTAAGCAAATAAGAGGTTCCTTGTCAGATGATATTGTCACTCAATGATATTTTCACATCTGAGCTACTGCATCACTAGGTGGTCCATGACAGGTTCTACTGTCCTGAAACCAGTTGAGCCCCTGTACAAAAAAGCACTTAAAATTCTGGACAAAAAAACATTTTCTTAACATCACTGCAACATTTTAGTAAATATAATTTGCTGAGTTTTCCTAATTACTGTAAATTCTCATCTGTGTGCTTAATATATAAAGCACTTCATGGCCTGGCGCTACCTCCACTTAACATCTTTATCAGATATAAACCGACCAGGACGACCAGAGCTGTTACTAACAGGGACTGTGGGGTTCCCTTCAGAAAAACTTCCTTCAGTCAAAACGCCCTATATATTAAAGGGACTGCAATTTGGAACACACTCCCCTCATCGATAAAAGAATGCTCCACTCTGACCACTTTCAAGAAGCACCTGAAGATTTGGATTAGAGCCAACCAAACTTGCCATCACCTTTGAATGCATTATATTCTTTTGCTGTGTCTTAACTTATACCTGTAACATACTTTATTGCTCTTGTCTTATACTTGTAATATACTTAACTGTTGTATAGATCTATGCTGTTTTTATATTCATTTGAAATGTATTTGTTGGGTCTAAAACCTGCAACATTTACCTGATAACATATAAAGAAGAGAAAGACAATGGTATATACTCGAGGAGAATGGACAGAGATAGCATCAGGTACCATCTCGAAACCACTCTGTAAGGTATTTCTGCCCAGTGTCTTTATTTAGGGTTGTCCCTGGTTACACAATGTTTCTAAAGGGGGGGTGGGGGGGGGGGGGGGAATATGTGCAGCAACGTAAGCATTCTCATAAAACATAATAACGAACAACTGTGAATATGTGAAGGTCAAGGCGATATTGTTGCATCTAACGACCTCCTTCTGATAAGAGCGTATCCTCCTCTTATCCCCCCCCCCCCCCCCAGCAGACTGCAGCGTGGAACAGAACACTTGTCACCACAGACTGATAAAACATCTGCAGCGTCTTACTACAGACGTCTATTGATCGGAGTCTTCTCAGGCAAAAAAGACAGCTCTGCCCCTTTCTGTAGATGTAGTCTATATTCTTAGACCAATCCAACTTATTATTCAGATGTACACCTAGGTATTTATATGATGTCACTACTTCGATGTCCACTCCACAGGTGTTCACTGGCTGAAGAGGGGGTTTGGATCTACGGAAGTCTATGACCATCTCCTTTGTCTTTGAGGTGTTGAGGAGGAGGCAGTTTTTGTGACTCCAGTCACTGAAGGCTCTTATTAGATCTCTGTATTCAGCTTCTTGTCCATTTCTGATGCATGCCACAATAGCGGTGTCATCTGAGTTTTTCTGGATGTGCCAGGACTCAGTACTGTATTTGAAGTCTGACGTGTACAGTGTGAACAGGAATGGCGCCAGCACTGTCCCTTGTGGAGCCCCTATACTGCTCATTAATGTCCCAGAAACACAGTTCCCCAGCCTGACAAACTGTGGCCTTCCTCTAAGGTAATCTGTGATCCAGGAAACACTCCCAGGAAGGATCCACTCCCATCTCTGTGAGCTTGTCTTTGAGTATGGTGGGTTGGATGGTGTTGAATGCACTTGAAAAGTCAAAGAACAGGATCCTCACATAAACCCCAGGTTCCTCCAGATGAGACAGGGCATGGTGAAGCATGTAGAGGACAGCATCATCCACTCCAATGTGTTCTTTGCAAACTGCAGGGAGTCCAGTTTGTCTTTGACCCCAGACCTCAGAAG